TGGATCAGCAGCCACCTATCGAAAAGAAATCTCGCCCCAGTTCTCGCATTGAGACGATCTCAGCAGATGTATCCACGGCCTCATCGTCGCCTCCGACTGTTACCGGTGAGCAAACAGATGCCTATTATCCTTACCAACCCATGCCCTTGAGTGCCGGCCCAGAGGTAGCATCCTTCAGTGCTGCGGGCTATCCTGGGAATCCGATGGCACATTTTCCACCAGGTGAGTAACCGTGATCTTTCTAACAACCGCCAAAACTCCGGATTGTGACGACTGACCACGTGGGGTGGCTCTAGATGCGACAGCACCGATGGATCCGTCCGTTCCCTGGGACGAGTTTACTAGCCTCCCATCAGACCCCCAGATGCTGGCAACAATGTCCGCAGCAGGGAAACCAATGGTCAACATGCCCCCGCATGCATGGAGTCAACCGGGAACTCCCATGGCCGCCATGCCGCCAAACCCTTCGCTACCCGGCGCACCTACGGTGCCATCGCAATCGCAGTCTCTCAGTCCCGCTTCCCCGTATACCGTGCAACCGGATGGATCAGTTTGGCAAATGACTCCGAACCGATCAATGACGTTCCCCGCACAGCAGAACATGACTGCGCCATATGCTAGCCCCACCGGATTCGCACAACCGATGCCCGCCGACCTCAAGCGCAGAGTGACAAGCCCTGGTCAGGGCTATCATGCCAGTCCTATGAACCCGCAGAGTCCCCAGGCCGACCTCCAAGGCACGCCGGTACCGGTCTCATACGCTGCCCAGCCCACCTCGATGGGCTACCCTAGTGCGTGGCAAGACGTCAATGGATTGCAACAGATGAACATGGTTCAATACCCCGTCTACACAGATGCAACGACGCAGCAGGCCGCGTTTGGCAGTCCCCCGATGGGACACCCCGGCCAACCTCAATAACTACGAAGAACATCGAACCTATAGAGAAAGGGCAACCCTGGTGAAGAGCGACGATTTCAGTTCCTTAATATATACCCCCATTCGATATTTCGCATTTCTTTTTGGCTTCATAAATATCTATCTCCCCGGTGGGTTTTCCTATACACTATATACTAGCTAAGCATTAGCGGGCGCAAGGGTTTCTGGGCGGCATTTTCCACATCATCATTATCATTTATTTGTTTCATGTGCTCCTGCTTCACTACTATACCTACGCAGCTCGCGGTTAGACTCTGTCTCTGCCTCTCTCTCAGTCTCCTTATGTTGGTCCCCTCTTGTCATTTTTTCCCCCACAGTACGGTCAGGTTACTCTTTTTTTGTTATGTTTTGGATACTCATTACGTGGTCTTATGAACTGAACTGGATATAATCAGCCACGGGAAATGCGTGTCCTGTGATCATCTAGATGTATTGTCTATGCATTTTACTTAGAGAGGCTTGGTTACTATACAGCACGCTTGAATGGCATTTTTACTACGCATACACATGATTACTATGTTTCCCAGCAGCACTTCTCAATTAACGCATTCCAGAATTCTACTTCAAAATGTATATACAGAATGTCAACTCATGTCATTAACAAGACAGGGGTAGGTATAAGTGTGCTGCGGTGGACTAGGCTTGCCGAGGTTTGGCCGGTGATACAGTTAGAGAATTGCAATACTGCACCGTACAGTAGTGTCTACCTTATATGAGTATCTGCAACAAAGTGGATACTATATTAAGTTACTCCGTCAAGTCAAACAGCTACTGTAGCATATCGAGTTAGACTCGACTAGACTGAATAGTAGTGCAAAGGCCCCTTCCTGGGCCTGCCAACCTCAGCCAGACAGGACTGATATGGATTTTAAACGTTTTATCTACTTAAAGGTGGGTTGAGAAAATAAACCTGGCATCTTACTCTGGTCTCTCTTGTCCAGCAGGCTTGTTAAGGCTGGCTAGGTGCTTAAGCCTCTTTTGCTAACACACTAGTGCTGCTCCTACTGATAGTCCTACCTAACCTAGATGGTATGCGCCATGCGGGGGTGGGGAGCTTTGCATATACATCAAGTAACATGATTTTAATATTCATGTGAGCCTTGGCACAGTCTCTCACAATGGATTTAAAGTGTTAATTGTGTGGATGGTAAGTAGTTGATCTCTCTCTACTAGGGTTGTACTTCGGAAATTGTTACCGAGGATCACAGAAGATAAAACGTGCGTTGAAAGGATATATCTATGCCGGACAACAGACAGGCTGATAAAATTCACGCAGATTAAGTAGAAAACACCGGTTATCTGCTGTTTTATTAAGGGGTCAGCAACGTTATTTGATGTGTTTGCAGAGTTTTGACACCGATATACTTTATCAAGATACGGGAAACTTGCTCGGCTCGGCCCAACCTTATCCTCTAATGAGCCTGTTTCTACGGAGCTTTCATGTCTCTCCTTTGCAGAACGTCGGAAAACTATATCCGCCAGTAAACAAGGTTTGCCATAACCGCGGACTAGAAATCCCCAGATAGTTACCGGTGAACATGAGCCGGTAGCGGAACTCTCAGCGATCGAAGCCGACACTGTTGTCTGCCCGTTCGTGCACCGTAGATAGATACTTCCGAGTCCCATCAGGTTAGTAGTATGCAAGCTCCAAAGAGATGGCTTCGAGTTTATCGTGAAAGATATCACCCAAGATACTGCGAGTCTTGCGCAACCCGGCGATAGCTAAATTTTGGCCAATGGCGAAGCCAGCGGTGGCTGGGAGTACGGTGTAGATATAGTACCGGAGATAAAAACCTCGCGTTTCGCAGTCCTGCCAATGAGGGATTGGAAGCTGAGGACTTTCCTGGTCGCGCTTCATCTCTGCTTATCTTGTGACAAGGATGCGCTGGGTCGGATCCGCACGGGACGAGCCTTTCTCCGCGGTGGACAGGGTCCAGTATGGGGAATTGGGGGAAATAAATCCACGTAGAAAGAAGCCTGGGGTGTCGCCTCACCACTATGCTCCCATAATCCCGCTTGGACAATATTAGCTCGTAGGAACCCCCGGGAGAGAAGTCGTCTGGGGTATGGATGTGGAGAGACCGGTCGGTTACGGCAAGACAGCGACAAGATATCAAGATAGCGTCAAGATACCAGGAGAGATAGCCATGCCGAATATTTGACGGATAACATGCACGTAATCTAATACTCCTTAATGCCCCCAGTAAGGGTTAACCGGGCTAGGCTGACGTGTTTTGTTCAGTCTTATCTCAACCATTGTAGCCGGCAAATGAAGGAAGTTGCCCATGGTTATCTTGATTATCACGTCTTTGAGGGCCGATAGTCGGCGTGAGCTCATCATTCGCTCTGGTGCTTTCTCTGCGACTCTTGATTAGCATAGCCTTCTTTGACCGACAACAGCATCACCTGCAGTACAAAACCCAGGTAGTTTCGCATTGGACTGTGGAAGGCTAAAGTGAGGCCTTTGAAGGAAAACTCTTCGCCCTCTTATCGGAGATTCTTCTGAGGTGAAAAGCGAACCCATATAAGTCTCACTTGACAGAGACGAGTGACAGACGACGATGCTCAGTAAACTCCTTCGAACCCAAGCCGAATGCCTTGTTCTTTTCTATTTCTTCAGCCGCTGGACCCCATCCAGTCATCAGTTCGACAGCAGCACGTTTGCCGTCTTTTTATAGTAGGCAAGTGGTCACGCATACGCTACTGTCGTCTCGACCCTCTCCAGGACCCCAATTTTGTGAAGCGCACTGGCCGAATCCGCCGGGACTCATCTACGGCGCCGGAGGATGATAGCTTTGCCTGGCCATTACAAGTTAAATCGTTCTTTTTGAGTGCGCCATTTTTTTCTGCCCCAACCCGGTACCCTCAACCATCGAGGTGCGTTTTCCCTGTCTTCATATTTATTTTTCTTCATGCTGTCTCCCTGCACCATCCTGCGGTCGACTCCGAAATCTGGTGACAGGGGTGCGCCGTATCGCATTTGGCCCGCACATTTCCCAACATCCGCCGCAACCGCCAAAAAAAATATCCAGCACCAATATCGAACATTCTGAAGGAAAACTTATCGAGCTTGCATGGTGGCTCAATTGAGCGCGTAGGGGAGTAGTGTCTGCCAATATACGACCCTGGCGAGGCACAGTCGATGTTGTTTGCTCCACGGAATTGACGTCGCTGAAGTCAAGACAGGGCTTATGATTCCCGATAGTCCGATTGCTTCTTTCCCCATGGTCAGCAGTGGCACAGTGGCACTTGGTCCAAGTTACGGTGCAGCCCGTCTCCATCAGATCCACTCCATCCGCATCCCGGGGAAGAGAAGTCAATCCAGCCCATCAAGTGAAGGCATTAATCATCCCAGTCAAGGGATAGTCAGACATTACACAACTGCCTGCGGGATATGCACCAAGGGAGCCCTTCAGTGATCAGTCCGATGGCATGCGATCCATCCATTTTAGGCAGCATCTTGAAGGGCATTGTCTCCGTTTGCTCTTTTGCACACGGCACAGAGCGAGGTGAGGGAATCCTTTCGAGTCGGGTACAGGATGCTCGTTGGTGGGTGGAAGAAAGGTTGCCTCATGATAAGCAACAAAAGGAATTTACTCCGCTCGAGTATGACTGGGCGGGGTGGGCTGAGGACACGCGACAGGGCGGGTTTTTTTTTTGGTTGTTATCGCAAGGCCCAAAATACGATGGGCGAGATCAGCAATTCGATGATTCCGATGCAACGAAGATGGTATCAACACGAAACTCCGGTTTCTGACTCCCGCGGGTTGTATGGTGCCGAGAGGCAGATGAACGTCATTTCGTTTAATGCTGCCTGATCTTATTTGTGGCTCTTCTATCATCCTCGAACCCTTTGATTCTCCGAAGGCACTCGTACGAAGAATGGATGATCGCGACCGCCACTTCATCCACTTTAAGATTGCCGTTGACGACGCGGAATCCGTGCTTTTTGCCACGCCGAAAGCCACCTGCATGACTCGGTGACTGGGCGGGTCTTTCAATGCCATCTTGCAGCTTGGTGTGAATTCTGGGGCAAGTAAAGTTGGTCCAGAGTCCAGGCCTCACAAGCAGCCGGTGCATTTGCTCAGATTCCTTCGCTTGATGGTGACAGTGACCCGGACAAATCCAATTAACAATTACATATGCCGAGCCTCTTATCAGCTTATCAAGCTGATTACAGTGGGAACCGTCACTGCAGCCGCGTGGAACGGTGGGATAAGGTACAACCGACTCTTCGACGAATCGACGAGTGTCCTTGCAAGCGTAGTCTCAACAGTGGGCCCTCACGTTTGTCTATCCTGCGGGGCCTTGTTCTCGGTGTCTTCGATTTTTGGAGTCAAGGTGGGTTTATCGAATTGTCCTGGAACCGGGATGCCTCACTTGCCACCAACCTTCCTCCTAGGCCCATATCGAGCATGCATGCTTTTCGGTCTTCGAATCTTGGATTTCGTGGGCTTCGGCTGAGCGCTTCAGTGACGAGTCCAAGAGACCCAACGGTTTCGTGGGCAACCTTGTCCAGCCTTGGCAGCATTGGACCTGTTCATTCGACCGATCTTGTAGCCACGGTTGGCACCGTCAGCTCGGGGAATACTACTAACACATACATACATAGTATGGGGAGGCTCTTCCCTGACGCGGTCTTTGCACGTTGGCTCAGTTTCCTTCTCCAGTAGGAGGGCAGATGATATCACCCTTTGCGGAGTTCCAAGCGATCGACCTTTGTGCGACCGGAGAGAAGCTGTCTGATACGCGACCAGACAAGCCACTGCCATGACTGCTGACGATCACAAGAACGAGGACCAAGACACTGATGCAACCGGGGAAGATTCAGAGTGAGCAGTCCGCCCTCAAGCTGGCAAGGGTCCCCGCGATGTCTGGTGGGACCAGCACGGCCTCCGTCCCTCGCTTTGTGAATAGATGGATGCGGATAGGCTGCGTTCTTCGCAGGATGAAGCTTTTAGTCGCTCCTTGCTGCGCTTGAAACGAGCTGACGAAACAATTGATACCGCAGCTCAATACCGGATCGTACGGTGTTCGGGTAAGATAGGAACCAGCAGCTCAGCTCCGCCCAAAAACCAATCTCCGGGTAGCCTAGTCTGCTTTTCGATCTCGAAGCCGTTTCGACCACATTTCGACCACAAAAAAAAGGCTCATCAAGGAGGGTATCTGAAATTCTGAACCATGGTACGCTCTTAGGCTCGGCCACGATGCTGGAACTTTGAATTACTACCTTTCTTAGTTCCCAGTCCCACCAACGGCCGACGCAATTGGAATTCAGAGGAGGCCTGCCTCGAGGATGGTTTACTTCGGGCACCAAACCTCCCGTCCATCTCGGCACGTCTCCGGTCCAGACGGACTGCCCGATGTCGTCCGCCCCGCCAGGCTGCTTCGATGGCTTTCCTATATCGGGCGTAGCAACGGCCGAGACCACCTCCGACGAGCGGACGTTGCCGGCGCCCTTGACCTTTCAGTGTGCGATATACCTCGAGGACCGGAGCTGGATGCCCCTCCAGGCCTACACCGGTGTATACTTCAAGCTTCATTGTCCCAACCACGCTACCAGTCGATCTCGCTAGACCATTTACAGTTACGCTGTTTTCCGGTCTGGAAGGGATAAAGCGTGCTTGGGCTCATGCTACTCAAATCGGAACCAGTGGTTGCGAGATGGCAGAACTGCGGCTATTTGGACCAAGCATTGACGTTGATATAAAAAGAAGAGTCATTGCACGAGTCAAGACCCAGCAGCCGAACGCCCGAAACTACGCTTAATCAATCGTGGACGGCACGAGATATACCGAGGCCAAAGCCCAGCGGCTTGGACAAGTCTTGGATCTCACTGCAGTCATCAGGACACGCTAAGAGCAAGACACAGGTCCACTGCGATTGGCGGGCTTATCCCCCCGAGGCCGCCACTCCCAGGTCAGACGGAGAAGCAGCAGGGATCACAGCCGGTACTTTGGGATTCCGCAGGAGTACTTTGCAGGAACGCAGTGATGCCCAGTTAACTGATCGAGCAGCTTCGAGCGCTGTCGTCTCTCGATTCGAGAGCGCACAAAACTGACAAAAGTACGGGTGATAGATGAAGGTTTATTAAGCTCGGATTTAGAGTGTACTCCGTTTCGAGGAAACTCTGCGCTGCTTGCCACCGTATTACCGCGTATTACATTCGAGCAGCCGTACAGAGTATATTGATGTCGCGGTGTGCTGTCCTCCGCCTCAAAATCGTCCAAAAGAGAACACAGCAAAGCGTAGATGTTCAGTGGAAATTTCAAATTTATTAAGATGAGTAGAGTTCAGCGTCGAGCTTGACGGTCAGTGCGCTTGCACAGAACTGACGGTTTTCGCTTTCTTACGGCGGGAAAGAAAAAAAAAAAAAGACCGTCTGGACAAGAGAAGAATCCGGAGTAGAATGCACCCATGCTGCGGATTAAGGTACTTCGTACTTACATGAGGGGGGTCATTTCCATTATTTTGGCTATTACCTGAATCCATAATTCATCCTTACAGCTGTTTATCATCGAGCTAAGAGTCCGCTCCGTCTGCATCATCCATCCGACTCCCCCCTCCAACACTGTCTTCACTCATTCCTCGTAGTATACCCCTCCTCTCCCTTTTCTTCTCTTCTCTCCCCTTCTCTGCGGACGCAATCCAATCCAATCCCAGTCCCAATGCGCTTCGTGGGCTGTATCTGCACGAGCCTCGTTTGCGATCCCAGCACCACGACGCCAATCTAGCTGGAGCTCATCCTGGGCTACCCCCACAAAGATAAGAAAAAAAAGGCACAACCCGGAAAACCCCAGGCTTGGAGCAACTGCCGAAATCCAGAGCATCAAATATACCAAAAAAAAAAAAAAAAAAAATATTAAAAAAAAAAAAAAAAAAAAAACGAAGAGAAAGTAACGGCTTGAGCCGGATTGTCTGCAGTCTCCTAAATCTGTCAGAACTGGAGCAAATAAAAAAAACTAGAAGAAAAAAAAAAACTGGGGTATGCATCCCGAGTTTCAGAGGCCTGTTCATTTGGTCATTTAATAATTGTCGATTCTTTGGATGGAGTTGATCCATTGATCTCAGACTGACCCGATCCTAGTTTCCGCTCTCTTCTGCGCCTTCTTCGCATCTTCCCTGCAATTTCCAGCGCTCCAGCCATCACCGAGACGCTTGGAGCCGGCCCTGAGGCTTCTGGTCGTTAACGGCGGGTAAGTTGAATTTTCCATTCCTCGCTGTGGTCTCTCTTTCCCCAGGCTAACTGTTCCGTGCTGAAGGGGCCAATTATCGACGTCTGCTGCACGACTTCCGCTGACTCCTCCGTTCCCTCCATCTCATCCTCTCGTCGTTTCTTATCTACCACCCTCCCCTTCCCTGTCTTTCTCCCTCTCCTCCTTTTCTGGCCCTCCTTATCTGTTTTTTCTTTATCCTCCTTACGGGCTTCCAATTAGAGGAGCCCACGAGATTTCCAACCCAAGATCATGTCTGGGTTGACTCTCGGGGGAGGTTCTGGTGGCCGTGTGCGACCGACACAAGCCGCCGCCGCTGGCTTTCCCGCTACGCATGATTTCGCCGGCTTCGATCGCTCGTCCTCCTCGAAAGCCCCCTCTTCCAGCCGCCATCCCAACTTCGCTTCCCATAATTTTGCTACGCCGTCGCAGCTCTCTGACGATTTCTCTCTCGAGTCACCGTCGGACTCGGCTCAGGCCCATGACAGCCTGCTCGGAGACTCATTATTTCCGGAATGGAGAGCTGATACTCCGAAAGGGATCGACAGTCCTGATGAGATGCAGAGGAGGGATCCGTTAGCGACTCAGATATGGAAGCTTTATTCTAGAACCAAAGCTCAGTTGCCCAACCAAGAGCGCATGGAAAATTTGACTTGGCGGATGATGGCTCTGAGTTTAAGGCGTCAGGAAAGGGAACGCGCCCAGCAACAGGCCCTGTACGTCATCGTCGAGTGGTGTTTCTTATTTTCTTTTTCCTTCGCTAATCCCTTCTAGGTTCTCCAGCCAGAACAGTCCTGTTCCGGCCATGAGTGGTATTGCTCAGCTCCGTCTCTCCGATCGTGCCTCCAATGCCCCGGCCCATACTGCGGACACACTCCCCGATCCTATGAACCTTGACGATTTCATCATTCCGTTTTCTCCTCCCGACCACCCCTCCCCTCCAACCACGAAACTCTCGGAGCCGACGCCTGGCGCTATCCCTATCAAGTCTCGCAGGGATCAACCCGAGTCTGAGGCCACTCCCGTACCTGCATCGTTCCCTCACCCCCCTCAGGACCAGCGGAGGGATAGTGAGTTTGGTTACGTGCCGCGCAGAGTTCGCAAGACGAGCGTCGACGAGCGTCAGTTCTTCAACCTGCAGATTCCTTCCCGCAAGCGGCCGGCAGAGTCATCTCCTCACGTGCCACCCTTGTCTAACAATCTGTTGGCTCATGACCCGGATTTTGCGCATGCTGTGCCGGAGTATACCTTGGACTCTTCGCACGGGTTTTCTCTGCATAACCAAGTGAACAGTCAGAATCTCGCTAGCGCTCACAACCACCACACTTCTCCGGGTATGGCATTTGCGCTAGATAGCTTCAACCTCGGCGATGATCCCATTCTTTCATCTGCAGGGCCTTATCAACAGCAATTTGCCTTTCCGCCGAGCGATTCGCCAATGACTACTGGAAATCCTTTTGCCAACCTCTACGCTCAAACTCCGATCGCCTCGTCGCTGAACTCAACCGACTTCTTCTCTCCTCCACCTTCTGGATACCAGTCGACTGCGTCGACTCCACAACCCGGTTACGATGGCGAACACTCCAAGTACTTCGATATGCCTGCTGATACACGGGCGCAGCGCAGAGTTCCCAACTATGTTACTCAGCGGTCGTCAAATCTTTCTGCGTCCCTGCAACCCCGATATATGTATAACCAGGGAAGTTCATCCCAGGATGTTTCACATCAAACTGGGCAAATGAGCAATCAGTCGTTCTCGATCCCCCAGCATGTTGATCCAAACCAGGTGTTGAATCCGAATGATTTCAATGGGAACAACTCTGCTATGTTCACCTTTGGTGCAGACTCTGATAACGAGGATGAGGATGACGGGGGCCAGTTCAGGAGCGGTGGATTGGCGATGCCCGCCGAGTTTGGCGACGAAACCATCGGTGATCTGAATGGCAATATGCCGTGGGATACATCCTATCCCAGTTCGTTCCAATCGCTACCTGGTTTTACCCCCCAGCATCGGAAGCACGTCACCATCGGGTCGGCCGATATGATAGACGCCCCCGGAGAGTGGAACCAGAGTGGGAGCTTGGGGCGAACTCATGGATCGGTTGCGTCCGTCAGTGAGGTTCGCAATCGGGATCAAGATCCACGAAGACAAAAGATTGCTCGCACAACATCCACTCCGAACACGGCCCAGCTGCTACGCCAGAGCATGGCATCGCCGCAGACCTCGCATACCTCCCCCAACACTCCACCCGAGTCGGGTCTGAGCAGTGCTGCGCCATCCCGCCCGGCTAGTCCAGGTGGGACCAAGAATGGTGAGCAGAGCGGTCCAACCACATGTACCAACTGTTTCACGCAGACTACGCCACTCTGGCGGCGTAACCCAGAAGGCCAACCATTGTGCAATGCATGTGGTCTGTTCCTCAAACTGCATGGCGTGGTACGACCACTATCGCTTAAGACCGATGTAATCAAGAAACGTAACCGCAACAGTGCCAATACCATTGCTGTTGGGTCCTCGCGGGTATCCAAGAAATCTTCACGCAAGAACTCGGTTCAACAAGCGCCTCAATCCTTGCCAATCTCCAGTCGAGCTCAAAGCAACACCGCATCCGAGTCTCCTCCCGCAATGCCGGGTAATTCATCCAGTCGAGGGCCCGGAGTCGTTCCTATTGCGGCTGCGCCGCCTAAATCTAACCCAACAACTACGTCTCCAGGCACACCTAATGCTCGCCCGGCGGTCCAAGTGGCGCCAAAACGCCAGCGTCGCTTGGAGAGAGCTTCCGAAGCTGATGCAGCTGATGATGCCAGTCGACCGAGCAACTCATCTGGTGGAAGATCCAAGGTTGTTCCGCTGGCTCCGGCCATGCCTCCAGCAGCAGTTAACCCGGCCAACCACAGCATTGCTGCCGGTCAAGGAGCCAGCCAAGAGTGGGAGTGGTTGACTATGAGTTTGTAGGGTGTTCCGCGTATTCTTACCTGCAGCTGCTCATGATTGTGTTGTTGTTTATCCTTATATTCTTTTCTTTTCTTTTCTTTTCCTTGCCTTTTTTCTGCCCTTCCGCGATGATATTTTTTATGCGACATATAGACCTGATGACCATTACTGAGCTGGGATTCTCGCTAGAGCAGGCGTTTGATGATACGAGGCGGAACTGACGGCTAAAAATGGCTTTACACCGCTGATTAATGGTTGACGAGTGATGCAATTTTCGGTTCGGTTATTTGTCGACGAGTCTTTCCTTACCTCTAATTTGCAGGTTGACGAGAATACTCGGGGATGGACCGGAATACGCAAACGTCTGTCTCTGGGAAGATGTCATTTCAGCTATGTTTGTGTGCTTGACTTGTGATTTCTGCTTGATACAACCGCGTCTGTCCGGAACCTGGCCTTCGTCTGTTTGTTTTTTGTTTTTGCTTTTCTCCATTTCTCTCTGTTCTTATTTGCATTCGAGGCCAAGGCCGGGCAGAAGTGCGCATCTCTTTGATTTAGTCATTAATAGATTATTGATTGCACAATGGTTGATCCCATTAAAATTGTACTGAGTAATTGAGTAGTTCATAGTTGGCCAATGAGCGACTGCAGAACATGCAATGCACGTGATCACACGTGATAATATAAAATTTCCAAAGCATCGACCATTCAAGAATCGATTCCTTCACCATAACGACAACACTCACGTCCAATTGAAAAGAGTACTTTGAACGTTTCCGGCACAATTCACTCGCATTCAGGCTTTCCAAACTTAATATCGACCCGCCCCGTCGTAACCCCGAAATCGGCAAATAGCCAACATGGGCGCCAGTACCAAGAGAAAGAAGGAGAAGCAGCAGGACTTCCAGGTATGTCATCGAGATCTTTTATAAAATAATTCCATGCTCATACAATCCTAGAAACCAAAACTCAAGGTCGGCAAAGCAAAGGCCAAGCCAGACAATTTCACAGACACGAGTTTTAAGTCTAAATGTATGCATGCCGCCTTATCCAATCCTCTCTCCGGCATGATATTTCATGTTCAGTATCGCCATCATCTCAATCAACGGCTCATTTGAACCTTTACTTGAGGCTTTGCGCGAGAGAACCCGAAGAAAAAAGAAAATCCAGGCTAACAACCCACAGCAATAACGCTAAACCAACAATCTCTAACCCTAAGCGCCCCTTCCACCACTTCCCAATTCACGCACCACCTCTCCCTGCTCTCCTCAAAATCAGACTCTCAACGCCGCGACTCCATAGCCCACCTCACTACCTCAATCCAATCAAAACCAACCTCCTCCCCCCTCCCCCACCCTGTAAGTGTCATCCTGCCCCCTCTCCTCCCACTCATCCTCGACTCCAACGCAGCAGTACGAGGTAACCTCCTCAAACTCCTGCGCGTGCTACCCGAGCACGACGTCCGCGACCACGTCACACAGCTCATGCCGTATATCCGCGCCGGGATGACACATCTCGCAGCCGAGGTGCGGCTCAGCAGCGTGGAGATCCTGGGGTGGTTGCTTTCTGTTGCGGGCGAGGAGGTTGTCGGAGTTGCGGGCGGCTGGGTGAAGACGCTGAATTGCTTCTTGTCTGTGCTGGGGTGGCATGTGCAGGCGGCGGATTCGAAATGGACATCTGCCAAGCCGATCCCCTCTGGTTCAGGACCTGGGTCTGGGTCTGGTGCGAAATCGTCATTCGGGAAGGCCGGTGCGAAGGGACGACCGCAGGTGCGGTTTTTGGCTGTCCTTGCGGAGTTTCTGGATGCGGGAATTGGATCTGAGGATTCGTCTATGGAGGATGGGGATGATGAGAGTCGGTATCTGTTTGGTGGCGAGGCGGCGTTCCCTATTGTGCAGTTCCAGTCGCAGATGATACCGAGCTCTGTGGCGGCGCCGTACCTGTACCTGAATTTGTTTGGGGCGCCGCGGGATGAGGAGGGGGAAATGTATGAGACGAGGGAGGATCGGTGGAGAGTGTTTGAGAGCAGGGGATTTCTGGCTGCGGTGGAGAGGGGCGTTGAGGGCGCGCGGAGCGAGGGGGGTGAAGTTGGGAGGGCGAGCGCTGGGGTTACGAAGGTGTTAGCTGAGGCGAAGGCTGGGTTGTAACCTCTGTCTCGTGGTTGAGTCGAGGCTGAGACGACTATTCTACCAGTTCAAGCTGTCATGGACCTGCTTTGTGCTTGTTCGGTGGGAATCAAGTGGCAACATTCCCTAGGATTCTCATCCATTGCAAAGCGAAAGATATCTCCAGGACGTTGCCTCAACACACATGAGCATCGGCCAGAATTGAAGTCATGCAATCGATTCGAGAATACCCCCAGGGTTTCATCTATTGCCCTCCAAACCAATTCAGCCGCTCCGATGGCCTCACTCCATTGATATACGCAGAAGCCACGGGCCATTGGAATACCAATTCACTCTGTATATAGATATCAAAATACAAGTCTTAATCATAAACAGTCCAACGATTAAACCCCAGACCCCTTCTCCTTCCCTCCGTCCCCATTCCCAATATTAACCTTCTCTCCACCTTCTAAACCGTCCACCTCCCTAGCCTCATAAACCTCATCCGCCAAAATCGCCCTATCGACCAACGCCTCTTTCACCGGAAACGCCCACGATAGGAAAACATAAACCACACTCGTCCCTACAAACCCCAACAACCACCCAAACTGATACGGATGAATGCCCTTCCCCACTCCAATCTTCTCATTGACGGAATTAATCAGTCCAGGCAGGGAGGGAACAACACCAGCAAGGAACGCCACGACTGCTCGCCAATTCACCAACCACCTACTCCCATACCGATACACCGGATTCTCAGGCTGGTACAGCGCAAGCGTATCATATTTCATCCCTTTCACCAGCCAAAAGTCCCAGAGCATGATCGCCGCAATGGGGCCGAGGAAGACCGCATAAGCAGACATGAAGTTCAGGAAGTTGCCAGCCGAGGCAAGGATCTTCCAGGGTACAAGCGCCCAGCTCAGCATGCCACAAATAATCTGGCCACGTCGGAGATTCACGTTCTGCGGTAGCAAGGCCATCAGGTCGTTTGCGGCGGAGATGGAATTCGCGCTGATGTTTACGCCGAGAGAGGCGAGGGCGAAGGAGAATGCGGCAAAGAAACGCGCAGCGCGGCTAGACCAGTAGCTTATTAGCACCAGGGGGTCCCAGGGGATGGAGGGGGTTGAGTAGCGCGACCAGCCTGCGGAAGAGGCGACGATGCCGATGAAGGAGATGAAGGTAAAGATTATGGGGAGAAGGGGGATGTAGAGGAGTTGCCATTTGGGGGAGACGCGGGAGTAGCGGGAGAAGTCTGACTGATAGCAAGCAAGCAACACATTAGCATGCAAACTGTCATGGGGTTAGGGCTAGGTAAGTAGTAGATAGATACCTGGTTAACGCTAAGAGTAGCATAATTCCCCAGCACAGAGGTCATACTAGCCAAAAACACCCAAGAGTACTGACTCCCCTGGGCAGAGGGCTTCTGGTCAAAAACCGGTCCCGGCCCTTCAACGACAAGTGCCCAAATAAAGATCGCAATCCAAGCCACGGGGACAATAATACTCTTCGCAACGAAGAGCCAACGCGCCTTGTTCGGATGCACGCAAAGAAACGGGAACTGCACGAGGAAGAAAATCAAGTACGCGACCATCGTATTCGACTCAATGCCCTGGTCTTCAGGGATCGCATTGTGCATTGTCAAAAATGAAGGCCAGATCGCGCCAATCATCGCCTTAATAGCATTTGCACCGTTGACGTTCTGGATCGCGAACCAGAAGACGGCGAGGATCACACGTGATAGGATGGCGATGTACGAGCCCCAAAAGCCCCAGCTTGCGCGAGCAATAACGGGGAAGGGGATGTGGTAGATTGAACCGACGGCGCCATTGGCAGCGATGACGAAGGAGATGATGAAGAAGGAGAGGGCGACGATACCGAGCGATTCGCGCCAGGAGAGGCCGACGGCGATGATGCTCGATGCGAACTGCCAGGTTGCGGCGTTGAAGGCGTCAGAGATCCAGTATGCTATTGCGGACAGAGTATCAATAGTTGAACGAATGGCTCAAGCACTCCGTTGGGGCCTCGAAGAGAAATGTGGGGGGATACCGAGAAAGCTAAGAGGACCCCAGAGTCGCCCAGCGCGGGGAACAGGGTCCAGGTCGAGATTCGTCCAGCGCGCATTGCCACTGGCGAATGTAGACTGCGACTGTGCGACGCGAAGATGGAGCTGAGGGTGAGGGAACTTCATCGTGCGAGGCAGATGCAGGTTGCTCGGATTTGCATTTCAGAGAGGGACAGCTGGGAAAAAGGCCTGATCAGCCCATTGGCGAACGGGGTTGCATGCACGATAAGCAATTAAGCACAGAGATAAAAGTGATAGCCCCTGCGGCTGCTGCCATTGGTGCCCTCATCCCTCAGTCTCTCGGCTTATCTTAGGGACAATATAATCCATTATTGTTCTTGCTCGTAACTATTCATGATATCCACAGTTGGATGTTAATATAATGTGGTCTTGGTGATATCACCAGCCAGCCAGTCCTCGCATTTCCCCAGCCGCCCCATTCGGGCAGACTCAACGACAGGTCACCATCACACACTGCATCGCTCCAACCCACAACCCCTTGCTCGCTTTAGAATGCATCATCTAATTTTCGCCGGGGAGCCGAACATCCTCCCACCCCCTCCCATCGCCAACTCCCGGCAGGCTACCCTTGCGCCGAATCCCGTTCCACTCCGTCATGTTCATCCACCCAATCTGCTGGAATCCACCAAAGCCTCCAATCCAGTATACATGCGTGACCACCATCTTGGCCCAGTAGCTCGAGTGCGGCGACCCGATCCGTCCGGGGAGCCAAACCTTCGAGTCGGGGTGGGCAGCCACATAGCAATCTCGCAGCGCCGCCTCCGTGCCCGACGGCACAGGTGTCTCAAACGACTCGATGTACCCCAACAGCGTGACGCGGGGGAGACCGGCCTCGCTGAGCGGGAAGCCCGGGAAGACAGGCTTAGTGTTGTTCAGGTGATCCCACCAGTCGATAGAGAGACTGATATTTGACCCAGCGGCAGTGTTACGGAAGGTGGTTGCAACGCGGAGGGCAAGGAATGTTGGGCTTCCATCTCCTCCATTTCCAGTATCAGAGGGCAGCGCTTCGTCACAGTCGGCAAAGTATTCTTTCAGGCTGATGGACTGGCCAGCAACGCTTTCTGGGGCGTGGCTTCGGGGCGGCAGAGAGTCTGGGAAAATGGTTGAGGCGACGCCAGATTTAGAGAGAGCAAGGAGTCGCCGGGCCATTAAAGTCGAGGTCCACCATGAAGGTGGTAGGATGGATGACACCTCCATCTCCTCCGCCGACCCGGGGTCCACCGAGATAAAATCACCCTCTTCGGTCGGAACGTATGGTGAGGAGTCCTGGGTTTCAGCCATCACGGCTTGGCCGGACCCTTCGACATTGAAGGGGGTCAAGGGTGTTGCGAGGACTCCTTGAGACAGAGCTCCAAGCATAAAGAGTCCGTAGACCAACTTCGCGATCGGGGAAGGAGCCATAGTGGGCTATCGTTGTCTTTGAGACGCTCGGGGGCTAAAACAAACGGAAAGTCTCCGAAAAATGAAATCTCTCAGCAAAAACAGTCAAAGAATGGTATCCTCAACGCTCTTACTGGCATTTACGGAACCGGGGAAGGGGGGCGGAGAGAAGAAATGAGGGGAAACTTGGGAAAAAGCGCGTGGGCAGGGCCTTGTGAATGGAATCCCGAGCACATTACCCCTCTAGGCCTAGTCCCGGTGTGGTCTGATCTTATCAGATCGTGCTACTCCTAAACTGGCTACTCTACTTTCAGTCATGTGATGGACAAATAATAATGTTTATGTAATCAGATTATGGCTTCGCTGCCGAGCCGCCTGTTCAAGCATAAGGCCTCTTTTCTGCCTCAGGCGCACTTTGATCGCCACCCTCCTCGTCGGAAACCGGAGTGACTCACCTTTTGGGGCAATTTTTTGGTGCAATCGGGACCTGAGACGATCCCCCCCGATGCCGGCTGAATCGAAACCGGGCACAGGGCCAGTGAGTCATAAAGGCTCAGCAGGTTAGTCTCATGCTACCAAAGATAGAAGTGGGGGGAGGAGAGGCATCACCTGAGTAGTGAGAGGCTCAGTTACCAGAGCATCGGCAGCTCTTGAGCTTGCGGCCTATCGTTAACAATTCGGGCGTCCAGCCAGCCTCAGCTGAATAGCGTAACCCGTGGATCAGAAGCCTCGTCCAAACGTCAAAGGGGGAGCCGAGGGATTGTTCGTTCGTCATGAGGGGAGAAATGAAACTCCTGCTTACTTGTAAAAAGAGAATAACGACTTATGAAATGGGAACCAGGTGGACTTGGCATCTAATATCAAACAAGAATAGAATAAAGAATCACAAATCACATTTCAAGAAAACAAAACCCGTCGAGACTCCGAGGGACACCAGTAAACTCCACCTGATTGCAATATGCAATCCTATCCCCTACTCCATGGATGAGATGACGAGAATAAGAGATACTCCCCGGTCGGGGAAAGATCAGAATTGCACGCGCGCAAATCAATCCATTCCATTTCCTTCCAATCACTCCAGTTCGTATGATATGAACAGATCAAGCAAGTAGGTGACATCAAAGAAAATGACAAAGAGTGCAGTGGTCCTCCCCAACATACATCATACACCAGTGAGCTGGACCAGGCTCACTGAACATAGGTCAAAGTCATTATAAACTCCCATCTCCGAAGCCCAACAACGGTAGTAAGGGTATATACAATGGGTAGAAAAAAGGACACGCTTTTTTCCCGTTGCGATTATAGACCTCGAAGCTCGTAAAGAACTGTTTCGACCTTTGCCCTTTTGCGCCGCTGAAAATTTGCAGAAAGAGAGCAACTCGGTCGACGAGTCGTAGAAGCCGGCACCAAATAAAAATTATGCAATAGGTGGTGTGAATAATAGCAACTTTTCCTTGTTACAGAAAAGAAACGCAGAAAGGTAAACCCGGGTTTCAAACAGGACCAAGAGCGCAGGGGAAACGAGAGCATTTGTGACAAACCCCTCCCAGTCATGTCAGTAGTCCACGCGCAACGCTGGGTGTAGAGCGATCTTTCTCGCTTCACTCCCACAGCAAGCACGCTTCATTCCAGCTGGACCAGACAACGGGACACCAAAACCCAAAGCGCTCAGTGAAGGGAGCGACGGCGAAGGGTCTACAGACTGCTGAGACATGCGGAGCAAGTCCGCCATGTTACCGTCCGGAAGAACAGCTCCTTCCGGAGCAGTGTCGGAATGCATCAAATGTCGCACATGTTGTTGTAGCTGCAGATCATCAGATCCAGTCCGGCCACGTTTCCGGCACTGGCGTCGTTGTGAGGCTTGACCGGTCGACTTCTGTGGATGAGACGCGACGCCCGACAGCTGGCACAAGCTTTGTGCAGCTTCATGAGTCGATGTCATATCCGACGGGGGCTCAGTCGAGAAGCCAGAAATTTCTCGAACTCGCCGCGAGTATGTCTCTGGCGAGCTAGGCACATCGCTATTATAAGACTCGTCAGTAGGCGAGGCCATGGGCATGTGTTTCCGGGTCCCCTTTATCGAGTTGCCAGTGCATCGCAAAGTCGCTTGCATAGCTAAGCTAGGCAGAGCCGGCGCACTAGTCCCACAAGACCCGGAGGACAAGGAAGAGCGAGAGGACTGAGAGGACAAGGTTGAGACATCCGAGACCATCGACTCCGGTGATGATGCAGATGACGTCGAGCGGGCCAATGACGAACGACGCATAAATGTCGGGAAGCTATCTAGTGCGCTGCTAGCCTTTGAGCAAAGCGACGGACGCTGGTCATATATGGACCGCGCGGTACACATACTCTGGGACATGGCAGCACACATTTGACGTCGGTAAGAGGGGCGGCTAGCACTCGCTGCAGGAGTGGAAGCATTGCTCGGCTGGGGGGTCAACTGTGGGGTTGGCAGCAAAGGAAGTCGAGGAATTGAGGGCAGGGATGGGAGAGAATTGTCCGATCGGTTGAATTCCGGAATCTGAGCAATGGAAGGAAGCGATGTAGGCTCTGCATTAACCGAATGAGGATAAGTCGGTGCCCGCGTGCAGGCACTGCGAGGCGATGGGGAGTTTGATGCAAAGCCACCCTCAAATCCTCCCACGCTCGTAGGAGTCGTAGGCTCGTTGTCAATTTCCTCCAACTCGGGCGTGAGTCTAGGAATGACGGTGCGCCAGGATTGCCCGTCGAGGGCGAGCATATTACCAGCGCCGGGAGTGTACTTCAGAACGATGTCCGTCCACCGTTGGAAAGTGGCTTCGGAGATGTGAAGCTTCCAGTCAACAGCTTCCAGGAACATCAACTCGTTCTGATTTATTTCAGTCGTGTTCAGACCAGATATCTTGCTCCAAGCACGAGCGGAATAGTTGCGGTCCTGAAGATATTTTGACGCAAGGATCAAAGCCGCCAAGAACATGCGTCGGCCACACTGCATGGCCCGGCAAACCGGCTTAGCTCGCGACTGATCCTGCGTCTGTTCTGGGTTTGGCACGTGTGACTTGATTTTAATCAAATAGTAGAGGGCAACTTGCAACGTGCTGTAGCTAGTCCGCGAACGACGAAGTGTTTCTTGGATGAAGGTCCGAAGAGGCAAAACACCCTTACATCCTGTATTTGAATCACTCCTAAGGGAGACCGCGGATAATGGCCAAATGATTTCGACGATCAATGACGCAGTGTCTTTACATAGGGGAGGTAAAAGATTTAGCGACTTTTCACCCAATAAAAGAAAAAAAAAAAAAATTGTTCCTTCACTCACCGACAAGATTATCGACAAAATTGACCTTCCGCTCAGATTGCCGTAAAAGACAAGGCGGAGGGCGCGTGCATGATGCGCCGTTAGACTGCAAGCCACTGCTGGTACGTCGAGGATGCTTGCGCAGCTCCGGCGGAACAGCGGCATCAGCAGTAGTTGGGGCGTTGCCCCTGAAACAACCACGCACACCACCGGTGGCACCTAATCCTCTCCCCCCGGCATGGTATTCACCTTCATTCTCCCAGATGACATCAACAGAGCTTGTCGACGTCGAAGAGTTGGAGCTTTTGGTGGATACCGCATCTAATGAGAAAACCGAAGAGGAAGAGGAGGATGCCGAAGACGAGATCGACGAGGCATATGGATGCGCATAAGGCGCTTTGTATTGAATGCTTTGGTTTGAGTCTCTCAAACCTAACACGTCAATCGCGTTCATATCCGAGATTCTGTAGCGTCTCGCGACCCGAGTACCCACAAAATATGTCTGCTAAAGGGGGACTTTCGTCGTTGTAGAACCAACAGTCGAATATGGTGATGGCGATGTGGAGAAGTTATTGTAACCGTGAGTTTGTCAGAAATACCGTTATGCAATTAACCGTGAACGAGAAGCGATAAGACAAGAAACCGTCTTGATTTCGCAGGCGACGGCGAGCCTAAGAGCGATAATACTCCAGTTTGTATTAGAGTATCAAGATAGGATAAGGAAGATTAGGTAGTTGGATGCAAAGTCACCCAACAAAAGTCGTGGCGATTAGGTAGAATATGTAGTCGAAGTCGGAAGAGAAGAACGTGGCAACGAAGTGAAAGGATTCACTGTCTAATGTTCCGGTCACCGATTGTAGAGTCCAAGTAGATCAAGCCGGGGAATATAGTGAGATGGCAAAGAGACACGTCGGTAGTGACTCTTTCAAAGACAGATGTTGTATGGAATATGACTCAGTAAGAGACAGCAACCATGTCAGAAGAGGCTGGAAGATCTGGGGTAATGGATTCTGCAATCAAGGTGACCGGAACAAGAGACGAGGCAACAGGGTACATTGTGACCGAGAGGGGAATGTGAAGTTATAGAAGCGAGCCGATAGAACGGCGGACCGACGAAGCAAGCAGGCAGGTACGGTGTCGTCCGGCGCTTGTCCAGGCAGTCAGCTGTTTATCGGGAGGCAAACACGAGGTCAAGCGAGAAGGAAGAGTGTGTCGTTATGAGGCTCGATTAGGCTGATGTGAGGAAGAACTAGTCAGCAAAGAGATTCTTCCGAATTTATGGATCCTTTGGCGCCTGGTTATGACTCTAACGTGTGAAGGCGAACGGGTAGAAACCAAGGGTCCGCCGTCTGGTGACTATACGGGGAGGGCGGCGGAGTCCAAGACAAATGACTAACTTGCGGACCCAGTGAAAAACAAAGGAGAAAAAGAGATAATGGTTGGGTTAGGCAGGAAAGAGAGAGAGAGAGAGAGCTGGACAGAAGGGTGGCACAGGAGGGACAATAAGAAACAGCGATTCGCAAGACAGTCAAGATCAGAGGGTTACTCACCGTGGAGTGGCAAGAGTGGCGGAACTGAGGGAGAGAGCGGATGCAGGGACCACCGAGATGGCGAGACCAGGAGAACAGAAATAGCAGGGCCAACTATACAGACGCCAGAATATTCATCAAGAAAGGTAGAAGTGTCGAAAAAAGAGGCTTTTAAAAAGAATAAAGATAGAAGGGCAGAGGGAGTCAGTTCAGCCCTGGGGAGAGAAAAGAGGAAGAGGGAGAGAGGATCGGGAAGGCAGAGAGAGCAGCCGGCGACGGCGACGGCAGCAGAATGAGACTCTGGGACGGGTGCGGATGTCGATGACTCGTTCGTCTTCACCCCCGACCTGAGATAGCAACACAGCCCGACCTGGTGCTTTTCGTTCTATAATTATTCAATCTTAATCTTAACTTATAATTTATTCATTATTTTCATCCCCTTTCCCTGAGGTCTGTCTTCCCGTCCCAACAGCCAGCGCTTTGTGCCATGCAACTTTTTGACTTTTCCCTTGTACTTTATTGAAATGACTAACAGAATGCTGGCTACAAGTCCGGACTCCGGAAGGCTTTTAAGAGTCATTATGATAACGGGCGATAGACCGACATGGACTGATAGCGGTCTTCGTCTGTCGAGGCTAGAATCTCCTTGCCCAACCGTCAGACTCCGTCGACTATTGTCTTGTAGTCTTCTAGCCCCCAGGTCTTCTTCTTGGGGAGATTCGACTCGAATTCCACTTCCATACTTTAATCAGACTAGTAGAATAGCGCGATATCGGCTCGAACAATAGGATGCGATCGTGGTTGGACGTGCATGTATGGAATTCCGAAGAGAGTAATCCTGTCTCCATTCGCGTGCCCATCATTCGATGGAAGCAGAGAAAGAGCATGAACACCTCTGAATCCATTTCATCCAACTTCCAACCCTCCCTCACCCTGCTCCTGAATGCGGCCAGCCAGTAAGATTCGCTGTGTTTGATGCGGAGGTTGACGGCGGCCCAAACCAAAGAAAAAATTCGGTGGTCAGCCAACCACCACGGCCGGATTTGCCAGCCACGCCACCCCTTGACATCCCGTCCAAGTCAGGCTGAGCTTCGACAGAGGCAGCAACACCCAACCAGGCTGCTGCTGCCCATCCTTGTGAATTCGAGGTGGTTCTCACGTTATCATCCGAGGGTGTGAATAATTTTGATAATTAGCTTCACAGGTGGAAAGTGCCCGTGGAGATGGACGTGGAGGTCCAAAAGCCAAGGCGCTTCCGGTCGGACGCAGATTGATGACAACTGTCTGTGGAACCAACCAGGCTGCACCTTCCAAATGGGCAGCCTGCACCCAATCGAATGGTGTTCAGGAGCAGAATCAGATGCTGTGCAGGGCGCTTGACATGACTCAGATACCAGCCCTCGCCATCCTCACAACTTGCATCTTTACTCCGTACTTTGTCCGAACCCCCGTAATCACGAGAGCCAGAGGATTTACGACGACAGCTGGCATTTCCCACTGTCATTCCATCCGAGAAGCCGTGGGCCATGGGCCATGGCGTCGCGTCCCGTAAAGCTTGCTCATCATCAGTAGTATTGAACCACCAAATCATCGGATAAAAAAACCTGCCCATGTCTTCCCACGAGGCGTGCGCAGGCTGAGCAAAGGCTGGACAAATACTAAGAATAACCCCAGGCTGTCACTGCCACCGCACCATCTCCAGCCTTCGCCGGAGTTGGAGTTGAAGACGGAACTGAAGAGAAATTCCCTACTTTACCCGTGCCCCACGTACTTTGAGTCATGCCAGGACTTTCTGAAAGGCCACGCGGTCCCAGCCAATCATAATGCACTTATTCTGGATCTCTCACAAGCACCTGGTTGGCTTCCCCGCGTCAGAAACTTGGACAAACTCTCGACAACACGGTCTTGAGCAGCTGATGGAGGGGACCTTTGGCAACAAAGAGGACGAGATTTTTCACGATGCTCTAGCAAACCGGATTCTTCAATCGAGAGGCTGCCCGACAAAAAGGACGGGAATCCGGGCGGAGAGCAGTGTCTTTCCGTTCACCGGCGAATGTTCCTGAAGCGGTTTGGCTTCCTTCCTGATGAGGAAGGTGTCTGCCTATGTTCATTAATAAAGTTATGCCCCAGAGCTAGGCCATGATGAGTCAGTTTGAGTAGCATAAATTCATGTGGGGTATCTTTTCCACCACACTAGTCCAAATACGGATGGTCATCTTTTGGGCCGGCATCCATATGGCATTACACTTTCTTCCATTTAACTATCATGGTTTGCACGTTGTTTGCTTGTATGGATTGCGGACAAGTCTAAATTAACTCTTACTGAAGCCTATCTACAACTATAACAGTAACGTAGATGTTGCCGTAAATGTCGACATCACAACTTTCTTTATATATATATATTCCAGGGGCTCAACCCATCTATAGACTATGGCATTAAACTAAATACATTCATTGCGCTTATATTCAGCTTCACAATCCAAACAATTCCACACTGTCGTAAAATAACAGGTACCAACCTTGGAGGAGAAACACTACTTCAAAACGGGTATATCCCACACCAAACGAGCCATTGATAATCCCTCACCCGGAAGAATAAAGAAGAAAAGAAACGAAACCGGTTAATTAAATCATATCGTACCATTATCATTACCTCGAGGGACGCCCACCCACCCCCGTCCCCGCCGCGACACCACCCGCCGCATTCGGAGTCGCATCCTGGACAACACAAAGTAGGTACTTCCGGTCAGGTACAACCACAATCTCATGCTTCTTCGTGCGCAACCGAAGGAGCTTCACCTCATCATCGTCCTGCGCCCCCTCGCCCTCGCCCTCGCCATCTTCCCGCGTAGGCCCGGCCGCAGATCCAGAACCATTCCCTAATACTGACTCATGGATACCGTTCGACGAAGCCGCGGTCTCGCCTTGTGGGTGAGAGAGCGAAAAACTGAGATTCGAAGCGCTAGATACGAATGCGAAGATATGTGCTGCCAGAGCTTCTGCGGCGGAGGGTTGGTAGGGTTTCGTTTGTGTTGATGTAGATGTGGGAGAAGTGATGGAGGGTTGTTGGGTTTCTGCCTGTGGAGATGATGGAGCGGTGGCGGCAGCGGTGGTAGTCGATGCCTCTTCTGTGGAGGCGCCAACTGTCGTTGGGGAAGAGGCTTCGCTTCTTATAGGTTTAGGAGGGCCTAAGAGGCCCGTTGTTTGGATAATGGAGCCATCTCTGCGGGAGAGGATTAGGGTCGATTGAACCCCCGGGCGGGAAGTGAGGTGGGAGAGAAGAGCAGAGACATGTTGTGGAATTTGCGGGGACTAGTAGATGGTTTTGTCAGTATATGTTTGTTCTTTGCGAGACCCATGGTGGAGAGGGAAATGTACTGTTGTTGAGTTCGCCATTTGCTGAGTTGTTGCGGGGAGGTGACGAGAATGGTGAGTTGGTAGGGCCGCTCAGGGATGCAGCATACGCATAAAGCTTCTTTTATAGCGCTGCTTCGGGAAATTCAAAATGCTAGTTGTTGTAGAGCTCGACTCGGTTCGCCAGGATCATTTGATTGTAGGATAAATGAAGCTGCTTGTGTTGTTGTCAACAATCTCGATGATCGCCCACAATATCAGATGACTAAGCACCTTCTTTGGCTTGGCTAGGGCAAGGGGTCGAGGATTGAATACTAGTCTCCTCTTTCTTCTAGTAAAGGGACTATATTTTTTTTCCTTATGAAAGACAAAGGCACTATAACCCTATGGAATTTTGCAGATACAGAAATAAAGGAGTCTTAGATATTATGGCATCTTGAGAGAATGGAATTATTATGTACAAAGTGACTGGAGTTTGCCGAAGAAACTAGACACACTATTAGGAACACAATAAAGCGAACGGTAGTCCAAAAAGAGAAACATGGAATTAGCAGCAATGAACACCACGGTGTGTGGTCAATGGCGGAAATGAGGTAGAAAGGAAATCCAAAGTGAATGGCAGGCAACCTTAGCGAACAACAAATAAAGGTATATAGTCAACCGTCTGGCTTAAGGCTTTCTAATTCATCATTTTGGATGAATCTGAGACCCAGTTGAGATCGAATTCGTCTATAATCTCCTCCAAATCCCTGGTTTGCGTATCGCATTCTTCATCGTAACTGCATGTAGTGAACGAGTCGGGACTTGCAATCCAGCTTTCTGGACGGTAAGGGACTTTCTTATCTCGAGTGCGTTTGATGTGCTCCATCGAAGGAACTTCAGAGATAGAGGAGTTTGTTGTCGATAATGAAGATCTCCCCGTAAGAGGAGGTGCAGTGGTCGATGCTGTTGAGGTTGCTAGCAGACTGGATAAATCTTGTTTGACGCCCACATCCAAAGCCGCAAGGAGCGCCGCCTGAAGGATCTTGTTCTGGCGTTCGAGGTGCTCGATGCGTCCCTCAAGTGAAGAATTTACTTTGGGTCCTTCTTGGTGGCGACAGGACTCGTAAGGTTGGCAATCTTTTGGAGAGCGATGTTTCCCAAGGGCCTTTTCGGAATCACATCTCCTGTAATCCTGTTGTCGTTGGGCGTTGCCGGTACCCTGACGCTTCTTCAACGACCGGCCCCTCTTAGAGGTAGGCTCATCGATAATGATTGGAGTTTGTTTCCCCCGTCGGCGTTGGCCAGAGGTTTTACGCGGTGGATTCCAACAGAAGTCCCCGCCTGGACCTTCATCGTCTGACGATGGAAGAGGTATCTCGAGCGCATCAGGAACATTCGGCCCTGTGGAGTCTCGCCCACACTTTGCTTCGACGCTCCGCAAGTTATCTTTTTGTTGGCAAATGCCGTGATCCCTACCGGAAGCCGGGCGCGAAACATCCTCAAGAGCCTCGAGTGCGGTGGTCATAGTACTTGCTGGGGATGTACAAAACTGTCGGTTTTGAAAGGCATGTCGCAGGGGGTCGTTTGGTGGAGGAGACAAAGGAGGCGGCGAGGAAGGCCCAGATGAAATCTTTCTTTGATATTGACGTTGAGCTCTCATTTGGGAGTCACTCTGTGATAGTGATATCTGGCCGCGGCCATGGACCTGAGATGGAGGCTCCTCGACAGTTTTACCCTTACTTGAGCCTTTTTCCTGGCGACTCACACGCAAGTCTTTCATTATCACTGAACGAACTTTCTCTTCACGACTACGCCCGGCTTTCCCTAGAGAGCCATGGCGCGGCTGCACTGGTATTGGTGGCCCGACGGCCGTTGTATTGGTGGTTGCTGGATCCTCGATTTCGGTAACCAGCCTTGGAAATGGGGAATCACGGCCACGGGTAGGACTGTTGGTATGTTCTGAACTCTTCAGCGACGACACGCTGTTTGGGGTATTTGGAGTGAGATGCTTCGTGTCAATCTGAGCGGATTGTTGATCTAAAGACATCTTTTGATCACTGACATCATGGGATCGAATATTTGGCCCTGGTACTGAAGGCAATGGTCTGGATGGTGCTGGGATGGGAAAGACATTAATGAAACTAGGGAGCAATGACGAATGGCGGCGACTTGATTTGGATTGGGTGTTCCTAGACTTGATACTTTCCATACCATCTGCTAAAGGTCGATCCGACCCACGTGAGGAAAGCTTGGTGGATTGTCGCGCTTCTGAAATATTCTCTTGAATTCCAGGTAGGCTGTTGGTGGAACTTCTGGCCTCGATGCTACTTGACCCGAAGAAAGTAGCCAGCGCTGGGGTGCTCTGAGAGCCAGGAGTTGGCGAAAAGCATCGATTTGGGGTTGGCGACCGTCCGGCTGGAATACGTAACGTCGTTCGACTTGAAGTGCGCGGGACAACCGCATCTGGGAATAGTTTCAGTGTAGGCGAGCTCTTAGAGGTGGTTGCCGAGTTGGATGGAGGCGGTTTAGTAGTGACTGGTGTAGCGCGTTTTGGCTTCAATTCTAATGGTTGGATATCAAACTGCCTCAGTTCAGCATATTTTAGCCCATAAACGAGGCAAATTCATATAAAATTCTCACATTGCTCTTGTTACCCGAGGCCCTTGGCTGAGCAGGATGGTTGGACCTTGGGCCTGTTTGTGGTTCTTTGCCAGCCTTGCGGCTCATGTCCTCCGCGTCCGAGTTTGAAATCTTGGTTGTTGATTTAACTGGCGTATCAGGCTGTGGTACATGTTGAGCGGCGAGGGGCCCGACGGTTGCTGTCTTTCTGTGCTGCTCTGTCGGTGGCTGATAAGGAGGAGGAATGGAATCTTCGAGTGGAGAAAAGTTCACAGCAGCCTCAACGAATGATGCGAGATCACGGAGGTCGAGCGACGAGAGTTGACTGCTTGCTTTCGAACCCGGCTCATCTCTGGTTTCAAGTGGGCTCTCCAGCCATGGCTGGCCGATGGTCTCGACATCCCGTCTAGAATTTGACTTGAAACTGAGGTCCGAAACAGACTTGGAACTAGACGCAATTGAAGAAGAATTGCGCTTATGTCCCCATTTTCGGTATTGAGCTATCGGAAAGGAGCTGTTGTTGTGTAGTGTTGCCACTTGACGAGAAGCGTCCTCGGCTTTGGCGTTTGAGTCTGTGCCCTTCCTGTTGCGAAGGGCCAACCTGAGGCGCCTCTGTCCAGCTTTGATCATGTTTTTGGGCCCAATCGACTGCGACTGATCTGGAGAGAATACGTGGGCTTGGAGGAATTGAACAATCTCTGTGACATTCTCGTTGTTCGATCGCGGTTTGGGAGCGGCGCGAGAATGTATATCATCTACCATGGGCACATACTCTTGGGATTTCGGAGGCAAAGCCGACATGGTGTAATTTGCGCGTTTGGATGATTGTGAAGCGGGCCGATACATGGGAATAATTGGACTCGGTGCCTCGAGGATCCATTCGATCTCGTTGTGCTTCTGCATAAGTGTTCGAGGCTAGGGCTAAGCCACCGGGAAGATATAACCTTAGCAGCTTCGACAGGGGTATGGAAGCTCAATGTTCGACAATATCTGCAGGGCTAGCGTTTGTTCGAGTCAAGGATGTGAAGTTCTGTGCACGTTGTATTCTTTCATGGAAGTCGCCGAAAGGGGGGTGTTCGTTTGCCAAAAAGGTCGATCAGGACCATCAACGTCATGCAGGTGACCAAAAGATCCCAAAGGGGATACCAAGCATGAAGAAAAGCAAGGGAAGTCCGCGAAATGTATATTGATGTGTCGATATCTACAAACAACGAGCAAATGAGAATACAGTTCCGAGGTTTGAAAACTAATAGTCGTCGGCAGAAGAGGAAAATCTCTCGGGAAGAAGGAAGAGGATTTCTGGAGTTTAAGAAGGTGCAGCTCGGGAATCAGCACTGCCAGTGTCTTTTTTTTTTATATATATTCGGAGATATTTCATCGAATTGGCGCTTGATGCAAGAGCGCAGAAGATGCAACGCCAATTGGGACCCATATCTCGTTCTTGATAATTCGGAGATAAAGTTAGACCAAAGCAAAGCTGGTCTGCGAGGCCTTCCTGTGTGCTCGGATCTCGAGCGATCCAGGCCAGGAGGAGGGGAAGCATTGGCAATGAACTGGAGAGAGTATGCACGACTGGTGGATCTATTGATCGACTGAAGTGGAAATCAGCCTCGATTTGGACAAGGCAAAAAAAAAAAAAAAAGCAAAAGTGGACTAATAAACGTTGGCGGAAGATCCTGAATCCTGACCATCGTTTCTGTCGGACGATGAACACATCGATCGGGGTATCTACTGGCGGAGATCTCGTCAGCCGTCAAGCGAGATGATAGATGCTCGTTAGCTAGAAATGATACTCGATCTAGAAATTCGGAAGCCCGGAGATCGCCCGCGTATTTCAGAACGTCAAGTCTGCCTTCCTCAGGAGGCCTTTGCCCACATTTTTGCTCCGTCGAGAAATGGAAGAAGCCTCGCCTCTCGAAGAATAGCCCGGCTATGGGCCTGCCTCATTGCCTCATTATTCCGCCGATGCAGGTCTCAAAGAGAATGACTTGGGGCGTGGACCTGCCCCATTGAAATGACCCCTCCCATCAAGGCGATTGGATCGATGCTTAGTCTCCTGGCCGTGTAATCTTGGACCGCGAACCGTTCCCGCGTCAATGCTTTGGGCATGGGTTCCTGAAGCCGATCGATGCAAGGGGTATCTCGTATTACCCCTAAAGTCTTGTCCCTCCGGAAAACCAAGAGTGGACTATAACTAATCATATCTGTGGATGGTTCGTAATCTAGGCTACTTCTGATCCTTGAGAGGTCAATCGTTGCAAACGCAAAGGAAGAGAGACAGATGCCTTTCCTTCACAGCCAAAATAACGCTTTGGACGGCCAGACGGACGGAGGATTCCCAGTGGACGAGGATAAAGAGTGGAGTGACAGCTGCCGGGCAAGAGGCAAAGCCCGTCTGCACTTTGCTGGGGTTGAAAATGGGCAAACGCAGAGCTGGCACCAATGGGATAGTGGCAGACCAGGCATCCCCGTCATTGTGACAGATGGGCAAACAGGAGGAGCATCAGTAAATCCAGAAGAGTGGGTCCCGGGATCAGAGAGCCAGAAAAACAAATGAACGCAATAGAGGAGTGGATCGGTGTGGAAGATGGAAATGGAGGGAGAGAGGGGAGAGGTTGGAGAGGCGAAGAAAGAAAGAAAGGAGAAGGGAGGTGGCTGTTACAGATCACATTACTCCCGTTGCACACAGTCCCCGCCTTGTCTTTGTCAATTCGTTGAATACCAAGGAAAATCCCCAATATTAAGAGTCTCAACCGTTGGAGAATAGCTCGATGCAATCAAGTAAAAACTAACGGCTCGAACAATATCAAACAATAACACGCAAATCATGGTGTAAATAAGCAAACATGCCTACTCTGTGAGAGTTTCTCTCGCCAGCTCAGACTACGGACTTTTACAGCTGCCCAAGAATAATTGAAGAGATAAAGATAGACTGAGCTTGTGAGGTAAAATTGGCTAGTAAGCAATAGTATTTCCATTATTCCAGCACAGCGAGCTGCGGTTTGAATCCTTCCTCAACATTGACCGGGCCTGCTGTTTGTTTGCGTGAAGGATGCTGCTAGCCTGCTACCCACACTGCAATTTGACTTTAAGTCTCAGCAAACCCCCCCCCCAAAAAAAACAAAGAGGAGAGGATTCGCCAATGCATGTGCCATAAAGAGTGGAGGATGCTCTGAATCGCTGTAAAGTTGGGGCGAGCTGGGCAACTCTTCGGATCTTGGTGACTAGCGCTGCCCTAAATTCGAGGCCACTGCTCAGGCCAAAGAACAGGCCGCCTCCTTGCGGCAGATCAATGTGCACATCGCCAATGCTGGGGTGAAATTCTCCGATATCAGTGCGCGGTCTGACCCATGAGCCACTGGATGTATGGGTTCGGCCTTGACTTTCCATTTTCCACGGCCTGTAACATCGATTCTATGTAGTGGCTGTCCGGGCTCGCGGCATGAGTCGCTGTCCTGCAACTAATTTGCTCCTCCGGGAAAGGCTGAACCTTTTTTGCAAGCTACTAACTGCGTCTTCCAACTACTTGAACTTCGTTCTGGGTTGGCTCCCCACGTATGTGTGAGCCGGAGCTCCATCTTTCGGAGGAATATGTCATGCTTAAGTTATGCCCGTTCCCGAATGGCCTCCAAGCTGCGGGGACTGCTTTGCGATCAATCTACAGCCGGAGATCTGAAGACGAAATCAAGATGGGACCAAACTTTAATCAGCTTAACAACCAAGGTGCTTCAGAGAGCTGTATCCCAAATATGGTGGCGATTTCCAAGCCACAGCTGACTGTAACGTATCTACGAGGAAGCGAAAAATCCGTCTTGCTTTAAGAATCACCGGGTATATGCACATGAAGACTGCCTGCCTCCCCTCTTTCTGGCACAAAAAGGCCCAGACCTATGCAAGAATAGCAACAAAAAAGTAAATAAAGTAATTGAAAAGCAATAACCAAACGCCACTGTATGCTTGCCGCTATGTGTTCGACGCTGGCATGCACGACCGGTCTAAATCTCCAGGCGAAGAATGATGCTGAGGCCAATCCCAAGTTGAGTTTGAAAGGTCTGAAGATGAAACGGGGTTGAGATAATACACATAATGTGAAGGGTATTGCAAAGGCGAAGCAGGAAAAGTGATACAGCACTGGCGCTTTTTTTCAGGCAGGCTGCACGTATGTGAGATAAACCGAGCGGGAGATGTATTGTTTACCGTCGCTTTGGCCGAATGAACGGATCGGCCTCTTTCTTTTTCCGCATGGGTGGTGGCGGCCGAGGTCCGTTTCCTGGTCGTTGTGGTGGAGGCCGAGGAGGATTCTAAAGCAGGGAGGTTAGTCAGTACATACTTCAAATCGTAGCCCGATGTGTGGACTTGCTAAACATACACTTGCAGGACCTGGGCCTGTCTGCGGGCCCCCCATGTTTTTATCACTGTTTAGCGGGGCGTACGCCGGTCCATCCCGTGAAGGCTTCACCAAACTCTGAGGTACATACCATTAGTCAAATTTTAATCATACTGATGAGATATCATGAACTTACCTCTGTGCTTGGCGGGGGGACTTTGGCATCAAGCTTGCGTCGCTGATTCTTTGGGCCAGTTGGTGCACTTCGAGGTGCACTTTGATCTGCCTTTCCTTGTCGAGAAATCTTGGAGCCATCAGACGCTGGAGAGTCCGTACGCTTGCGCTTGCTCGAAGCATCGGTGCTTTGGACCTTCGGCTTCTCTGTAGGAACTTGGATAACGGGCACCTTGGGATCATGTCCGCCTAATTGCTTCTGTCGCTGCCTCTCAGCTCGTGATTTCTGGTTTCGAGAATGATGGAGCTCATCCCGTGCAATTCGCATCTTTTCATGTTTTGGTAAGACGGCTGTCGAACGACAGTTATTTGAGCCATGGCCAAATTGCCCACATTCCATGCAGCGTTCAGCGGTGCAATTGAACTTCGTATGGCCGGCTTCTCCGCATCTGAAGCAATTGCCCCGCGCTATTTCCTTCGACTCCTCGTTGTCACAGTTAGGCGTCAAGTGAACGAAGCTTCCGCAAATACCACAGTTGCGCGTTTCGTCCAAGCCATTATAGCCACCTGATGGCCCTTCAGGCTTTGATACCAGAGGCGTACCTTTCCTTGATGCAGTTCCAGATGAAGAAGACTCAGATGGAAGGTTATCAAGAGATGCTGAAGATGGTCGGGAGATAGACCCAGCAGAAGGGGCCCTCGATGACACCGCAGGTTCTGGCGCGTCGGCTTCAGCCATTTCCACGTTCTTATAGCCAGTAAACTGGGGTTTCTTGAGAATAGTCGGGATATCACCACCAGTGTATAAGCTTCTCCGACGAGCGTCGGTTATTAGACCTTTCCAGAATTCTCCCTGGATTAAAGACTGTGAATTGCCGAGGACCCAAAGTGATGACTTGGCACGGGTCAAACCGACGTTCATACGACGAATGTCGGACAAGAAACCAATCCCTTTATTAGAGGCTCGGACACAGGAGAAGATAATGACCTCGGCTTCTCTACCCTGGAAGGCATCCGTAGTGTTGAAGTCGATTACATTGAAGATCGAGTTTCCATATTTGTTGGCGAATTGGTTTTTAAGCTCCCTTAGCTGACCTTTATACGGAGTAATGATACCAATCTTGCGGCTGAAGTTATAGTCCCGGAAATCTGTCAACAGGCGTTCATAGAGCTGCATTGCAACCTTCAACTCCGCAAAGTTTACCAAGGAGTGTCCTTTGGTAGCACTTTGGTGGAGACCCTGCACGTCGAAAAAACGGTACGGACTAAGAAGCTCGCTTTGATGCCATGGGCGAGTACGTAGACGCGCCATGTTGGGGCCATCCTGTAACCTACCCTCGTAGAACGCCGTGCGCGGAAACATACTGATTTCTGGATGCATACGATATTGAATGTCCAGCAGATGCACATCCTTGGGGTGATTTGACTGCATTCGAACGAACAAGCTCTGCTCGTACTGGTACTTTGAAGCGACCTTTGACAGAACCGTAGGTGGCAGTTGCTTTGGATCTCCGACAAGGATACATTTGGAGCAGCCATATTTGAGCGGAATAAGTGCGCTCAATTCGATCGATTGGGCCGCTTCGTCAATAACGACTGTTTCGAATTCGATGCTCAAGTTTTGGAACATGTCATGCCCACTACCACTGAGGGTTGCGCAAATGACATGAGCTCCGTCAATTATCTCCTGCTGAATCCGTCGGCGGTTAAGGTCTGCGTCGCGAACAGCAGTGTGGTTTTTGTCTCTCGCGTTATCGATCTGTTGGCTCAAGAGCGTCTTTTTCTTTTTGAGCAGATCGAATTCTCGCTCTAGTTCATGCGGGACGGGGAGGCTTTGCGCTCTGCATTGGTCGATCTTCGAGCGGGTTTCTTTAAATGCGGTGTCTGCGGCCTTATGCTCCATATATATCGACTGTAAGTCTGTCTCACCTGATTCTTTGCGAGATGTTTGGTTTATCCTTGCATTCACTAGTTCGTCGAGAGTAACATCAAGGACGTTTGTGTTGATAGCATCTGTTCTCCCCAGACGAATAACTGACAGCTTCTCGTTGCGTCCATGAATTGTTTTGACACCGTCCTTGAATCGCATGACCAACTCATCGACAGCAGCGTTACTTGGTGCACAAACAAGGAGCTTCTTCGAGGTCGTTGCTCTTGCAGCGGGCCGCGAATTGCCGGGCGCAGTTGGGCGTGATATGGCAACTCCTTGATCCCCAAGGGACTTGGTCAATAGTGCACCCACAAGGGCTACAATGGTTTTTGTCTTTCCCGAACCTGGAGGCCCCTGGATTAAAGTAAAAGCATCGTTGTCCAGTGCAGATTTGATGGCCTTTGCCTGAGCGGGATTAACATTATAGTTATCTGCGAGAGGCTTGAGACTGGCATCCGAGTAATTAAGGATAGGCGAGGGTTTGGCCCTGACGATCTCATCGCAAAGATCGTAATATTGAAGCGCCATGAGGGCACCGAATTCACGCTCAAGCGGCGTTAAAGATGTTACCTTTGCTCCAAAAATTGCTGCACCAGGACCAAGTGAATTTATGAAAGGATTACCAGGGTTAACCCTATAGGAAACCTCAACATTGCCCTTTTTCCTATTGATACTGGCAACTCTGGCCATGCAGTGAGGTGCTGACGAATTGGTCGCAGGGGTACTTGCTTTAGAAAGCAAAACGAGATCTGCTTCACCGATACCCAAATCCTTGACTTCAGTGCCCGGCATTACGGTGCTAACTTCGACAAAAGAATCCACCGACAGACGTGTCGCGACTTTGATTTCGAAATTCTTGAAGGAACCTTCTTCTTTCGACGATTGAAAGCCTTGCCAGGCTTCGAGTATTAGGAGAGGCTCAAATGTCCTCTGATACTCGATTGGGTCTCGGAAAGCGTTCGATACAAGACTATAATCAGTGCGTCCTGAATTAGGAGGTAGATCACCACTTGCAAAAAAGTCCCAAGTAAGAATAGTACGGTGCAGCGAAGAAAGATCGGGAGCTAATCGAGCACGCATATCCTTTGCAGAACGCACTTGCTTGATTTTCTTGACGGGACCTTGGAGTTTCAATGACTTTTTCTTACTCTCTTCATAAGCCTTGACGGCATCTGGCTTAGAGTTTGCTTTAGGGCCAAACAGCTCTTTATCGAGTTCATCTTCGCTTTCTGATTCAGACTCTGAGCCAGAAGAAACCATCATGCTATCAGCAGGAGCAGAATGGTCCTTGCCCTTCACCCCAAGTCCGGCAATGGCGGAGCCTTGCATGGCTGTTTGTTCGGCAACACCTGTGGGCGCATTCTTCTTCAGACGTGCCAATGCCGCGAGGTCGCGCTGTCTTTTAGCTTCCCTTTCCTTTTCACGTTTCTCTCGGAAGGATTGAATGGCCAAGTTGGATTTCAAAGGAGCTGCAGGCGCAGCCGGTGCCGGTTTCGAGGTAATAGGAAGTGTCCGCGTAGGCTTCTCCGTCTTCTTCTTCGCTTCAACCGCCGCAATACGTTCTTTGTTCAATTCAACAGACCGGGAGAGTTGTAGTAGAACACTATCGGAAACGTCGCTTTCATCAAATTCATCTGTCGCCCTTGAAGGACTCGGTGAGGCGGAAGATTCGGTTGGCTTGGCAAATGTAGTAATCATGCTCTGCTTCTTAAGGCTCGCAGTCGATGCAGTCACGACAGGTTTCTTGTAATAGGCCTCCAGAGCTCTCACGAGCTCCGCCTTCTCCCTCGGAGTAAGTATCGTTTTGACAGTATTCTTGACTGCAACTCCTTCGATGAAGCTTAAAGCATCTGCTCTTAGCGTTGTCACGCTGAGTTCACCTAAACGACGAAGAATCTTGGATACAAGCCCGACCAATGTGGTCGCGAGATATTCATCTTTAAGTCGGAGCCACTTAGCCATTCCACTCATTGTCGCTGTGGGCGGCTTGAGAAAGGTTTCGCTAGCAGCTGCTGCCTGGGAGGGATCTGCATCTGTAACAGCACTTAAGAAGACACCATATTGGCTGAATAAGAGATCCGCGAATTGTATGCTGTCACGGCAAAATTCCAACATCACTGACTTATCATTACCGCGACGATGCCACTCCTCAGTCTCGTCGAATATCGTTGTCAAGGCTTGCCAGAGATATTCCCAGAGCTTTTGAAGAGACAGAGTTTCTCTGCGGTCAACAAGCTTTCGGGTTCTGAGTATACCAGTTTGGCTGTCGCAGAGGATATCCACGATATCTGTACCGGTATGAATCATTCTCGGTGCCGAAGCGAATGTCTTCATATTTGAAATCCGTCGGAATGACCAACTAAATCCATACATTGTCGTGGTAAAGAAAGACTGGAGCAGATGGGAAATTGCATCTCTTCGAGCAGACTGGCTGCTAACGTTCTTGATGAGATCCACAGCCGCCTGGTAGGTATCGGGGTCAGCTGCGAAGAGAGTAGATACAAGAGCGCTGCCAGTATCCTGGCTCTTGAAGAGCTCATCAAGATGTTCTGGTTTGAAATCAGCCAGCCTTTCAATGATTTGGCAGGCGATATGAGTAAGGTGGTCGTAGATTGTATTAAATTTTGTTTTCTCTGGGACAGTCCCCTCTCTCGTCGAAAATTTCTCAAGGCCCACCAATGGTAATATACCAAGCAAAGCGGACGTTGAAAGAGCGAGATCATCTTCATGTAGGTTTACGATAACCGCGTCCCATATGGAAGAAGAATATGTACTGACACCATGCTGAAGCGAGCCTTGCTTAAGAATAACTTCGTAATCGCTCTTCAGGGACTGGCACTCGAGGGCTAAAGTGTTGCGAATGACGTCCATGCAAAGTGCTTTGATATTGCGCTGTCGACTCTGTTCAACAGCAAACTGTGGAGGTCTGAGGATTGTCTTGATATATTCGCTCACGACCCCCAGAGTTTCGGACAGAACAATACGCCCTACTGATTCTCTTGAAGCTTCGTGATCGGTAAAACTGCGAAGCGTATGGAGTAGGCTGTCCAATCCGACATCAAAGCAATGGTACCTCGCTAGGTTTGGAAAGCGCTCATCCTGCAGGCGATCTATCAGTTGATACACAAGCGACCTACATGCTGTAGGCTGATGAGGGCCTTTCAGCGAAGACATGAACGGTTTGACCCATGATAACATATCCTTCATGGCTGACTTCTCATATGCCTCGCCCTCCGTGGCTTGCATAAGGAAAGCGTCCAGTTGTGGGTTGTAAAACACCAGTTCAATAATAGCCTGAGGCGATATTGTTTGCATTGCATCCCAAAAGTCCCCAGGTGCCTTCTCTAGAAAAATCTGAACAGTGTTGAGGGTGAATCGTAAACCATGGGATTGGATGGCGAGATGTTCAACGGAGAGGCGACATGGATCGATTTCAAGCGCGCGTAGATTGTGTGTTATTTGCTCCTTATCCAATTTTTTGGCAATGAGTTGCATGCCGCGCCACAGCCGTTGGATTACAGCCACTTGCACAGGCTGCTGAGAGGCTGTCCTTAACGCATCAAGAAGGCCTTCTTTGATCGCCCAGTCAAATTCCGATGTGGTAGGAGGTCTCTGATACCGCATCCAAGAATGAATTGCCCAGAAGCTGCGGCTTTGGTTGGGATCAAACAGAAAGCGAGTGACAGCGGGAATGTAATCCGAAACCTTGAGAGTGCGTTTGGTCTGAATCAATCTGAACGGCTCGTCGAAATTCTCCGTCAGTAAGCGGTCGTTGCGTAGCATAGCATCACAGCTCAATGTCTCAAAGATGGACAACAACGATGCCCTATCCAACACATGTAGACCGATTTGGTCTGGAGGAACCTCTTTTAATTTGGCTGTTGCAGTTGTCAGATTCCTGGTAATCCGTTTAATGTCCCAGTCGTCAAGCATGCGAGAAAACTTTTCGATATCTTCGTCATCGTAGTTCTCTTTGAGTTGCTCCATAAGCCATATTTTCCCGACGTAGTATTGTTTGATGCAAAGGTCGCATTTCTCCAACGTGTCGTCTATCTTATGCCAAATCCACTTTTGTATATCTTCGACTTCCTCGTTGTAAGCCAGGATCCGCATGCAAGATAAGAATTTTTCTCTGCGGTCTTTGGCCTCCGCCACCAACTGCGCAACACTCCTCCCTGACTCATCGACTTCGTTATCGTCATCATACCGTGAATGGTCGTCGTCGTTTTGTCGTGGGCATAGAATATGGAGTTCGCTTGGAAGGGTCTGAAGCTCCCTGATAGAAGAAGATTTGTTCAGCACCAGACTAGGTAAGAAAGGAGGACGAGTGTAAAAAAGCTTGCGCTTGGTTCTTACGCGACAATATCCATGAATTCCATGGCTATCTGCTAATACACCTGGAGTGATATGTTCCACAGGCAAACAAAAGGTCGCACCACATTCCTCCGGCAAAAAGCGAGGTATAAAGTTCCGGTGAATATTTAGGTGTAAATGGAGCTTATACTGACGACAGCCAGGGTTGTGTTTACTGAAGCAGCTTAGATGACCATAGTGAAGCTTCGGAAACTGAGTACTTCAAGAGGAGCTGCGGCAGCCGATGTGCAATTGTTAAATGTACGTCAGCGCGTCAAGTGATCAGGGTACGGCTGAAGCAAAGAAACCCCTAATGTATCAAGAGGTTCAAAGTGGTTCACCTCTCAAGTGAAATAAGAAGTGTTCAGTTCCTGGGGATTGAAATGGAGAAAGAAAATAATCACTCTCTGGCAATTGATCCGTTTATTGGGGATATTCAGAGGAAGGCGGTGAGACACGCTAACAGCCACTTTACGCGCCTACGCGCTCAAGGAGGGCCTTTCTTTCACTACAAGGACTCTACGTGAATTAATCAAGGAAATACAGTGTCTTGAGAATCATCATTCACAATTAATAATGTCTCTGTAAAACCCGGCAGAGTACATAACACCCATAAACGTTCCCCTCATACGCCACTCTTGTCCAAGCTAGACCCCGACGTAAAATGACTCGCCATCAATGGGGAGAAAACTATTTATAAGAAAGAAAGATTATAAAAGAGAAACTGTAACAGGGGCTCAAGGCAAGGATGCGTTCGCACAAATGCTTTTGTACAGTAAAGGAAATATAAAGAGAAGGTCCAGCAAAGCTGTATACCGTAAAACAAGACAAGGACAGGGACGAAGGAGAGATAAGCATGGAAAAAGTCTCAGCGTGAGAATAATAGGTATAGAAAAAAAAAAGTAAAGTTGCACCCAACCACCCATATGTGTATACCAAACGCCTTCTATCGGGGAATCGACAAATGGTGCGACAAGCAGAAGAAACAGAAGATTACTCGTCAAGCAGAGATAAGAAACAGATCAGAATGCAGTGGTAAGATACCGACGTGAAGCCGTCAAAGACATGATGTTAGTATATGCAAGAGTCAAAATTGGTTCAGGCGCAATATGACGGGAGATCAGTTCGAACCCTGAAGCGGGCTATGAGGGCTTTGCGGCCGTTGAGCACCGGTTGTCAAAGACGATTCCACGCGTGTTAACGTATTGGGGTGTGTAAAGCCGTCGGTTCCATCGAAACCATGCTGGGCCCTATCGAAGGAATGCCGCGTTCGCTCGGCTGAGGATCGCACGTAGTCGACTGCCTGCGGGTGGGGATGCCGTGTGGTGTCAATACTAGAAGCATAGGTGGTTCCGTTACTACCATTCTGGCCGCGCTGATTATGCGTACGAACCGTCGGGGCAACGGATTCCGCATATATCTGCTGATCATCTGAGAAAGGATTTTGCCTCGTACCAGAATCGACCGGCTTGCCCAGATCAGAGGAGGCCGCAGAATCGTCCGCAGAGCCAGCTGCCTTCGGTACAAACGTTTCATACTGATCCAGGTATTTGAATTTGCCGAGTGTGATTTGTTCACGGATAATATCGACATCGAGCGGGAAGAACACTTTTTGAACGGATTTGACCACGAACCGAGGGGTGAGGCATATCGTAACAGTCACCAGAAGAACGATCCAGAAAGACAATGTCCCGTACGTTTGAGCAGCACTTTTATAGAACTGGGCCGAAGCTTGGAAAGAAGAGTAGACCCCGGTCCAGAAGAATATAAGCAAACAACTGATGGCATTTATCAATACCGTCAACCAGTCCCACCTATAACTGTTGAGAAGGATATAGGTGTTGCTGGCAATAACGGCACAGGAGGCGACAAGTATACCCATTCGGTTCCGGTCGCTAACGTCTTTTCCACTGGGGTGCACGAAGTTCGCTGGCTCATACAATTGATATGGCATATAGAAGCATATGACGGACTGGTAAAAACCGTCAAGCATATGCAACCTACGTCACTTAGTTCAATGGCCTAGGTGAATTTTAAAAAGAAGGGGGCGGGGCATACCAGAACTTCGTCTGAGACCACTCAAGTCTCTCGATGCCCCTCATATATAGTTGAGGAACTGCGAGCGACACTTTGTCATCCACATCCTGATCAAAGATCCCCATCAAGATAACGGGTAAAGATGTAAATGCAAGATTAACCAGGATAATGTAGGTGTAGTCGAACAGATAGGAGCCATCAAAATCATTGTAGATCGCATACCAGAAAAGTGCGAAAGTCCAGACCAAGTTCTTCAAATTGTCAGTCGGGCAGCTTAAAAATTCATTTGCAAGAGTGCTCACCTTGTAGAAAAAGTTTGCAGTGGTTTCTCCTAGGCGTCGGTACGAATACCGTCCATGAACAAGAATAAGACGTTGTAAAAATCGGAACTGGCCTATGGCATAGTCCGCTGACATGGCAGCTTGTCTACCTTCTTCACCAATGATACCAACGCCGACATCGGCGGCCTGGATCATGGCAACATCATTCGCACCATCGCCGATAGAGAGAGCCATAATATTGAGGCCCTCCTTCACGAGTCTTACAACGGCCGCTTTCTGAGCGGGACTGACTCGGCAGCACAGGACAGACTTGCATTGCTTGCAAAGAAGGAGAAATTTCTGCTTCATCTCGTCCGTGAGCATTAACTTCAGGGTCTCGCCATCAATCACAACAGCGTGGGTTGCCTCCGGTGGAGTGTGTTCCTTCCGTGCGGCAACAAGTTCTTCATCAGATCCTGTGAGGCCGAATTTTTGAAGATGTTCATCCAATTCCCGTACTGCTTGTTGCGGTTGATCTCCAGGGATATTGAAGACGATGAGCTCCATCTCGTTAGTCAAAAGATTGCAAGAAAAACCAATGTTAATGGCAGTCTCGACTTTATCACCGGTGAGGACCCAAAGCTTGATTCCTGCTCTGGCCAACAAAGATATCGTATCGGGTACACCATCCTGCAGCTTATCCTCGATCGCAGTACCTCCAATGAGCATAAGGTTATTCTCTACGGAGCTAGCCACATTTTCAAGTTTCTCTTCACGGTCTGTTAGAGCTGCGGCAGCGATGTCATGCTCTTTGCTCCAAGCTCGGTACTCTTCTTCTGAAAGCTTTCGCTCCGCGACGCAAAGTGTTCTTAAACCTTCACGCGCAAAGGTCTCCAAGTGCTCAGCTGTTTCTTTTCGAAGTTCCTGTTGCTTTCCTGGCGCAAGACGCGAATATATGATGCTATCCGCACCCTTGCAAAATAGTCTTATGCTGCGATCAGGCATGCGGACAATGGCACTCATACGTTTTCTGGTAGAATTGAACTCGAGGGTATTAAGAACCGTGTACGTCCTCTCCTCGCCCATGACGTTGAGAATGAGGTCATCGTTTGATCTCCCGAGTAGCGTAAAGCCTAAATCACGCGCCGTACCAACTAGAGCAGCCTCATCTGGGGACTGTGCCCTGAACTCAATCTGAGGGGGGTCTCCAGGAGTGTGCTCGGTTATGACCGAATGGCACAAAGCAAGGGCGAGCATGAACTGCTCTGTTGCCTTTTTCTGAGTTTCACCAGACCGACCACTCAAGTCAGCAGCATAATCCGAAGATATAAATGTAAGTTGTTCATCGCGAAGATACGGGTTATCGTGCATTTCTCGAAGTAGACCAATCATCTTGGTAGTATCCGCGGCAATTCTTTCGCGAGCACTTGCAGCTACAGCATCAGCATCGCCTCCTTCCCGGCGCACAAGACCAAGCTGAGCTTCTGTAAAAGCTTCGCCGTACGAAACCCCATTGACAGTGCATTTTTTGAAGTCCATAACGTTTTGCGTCAACGTGCCAGTCTTGTCGGAGAAAATGTATTCGATCTGTCCCACATCGTCGGATATGTTCCAGGTCTTTGGTACGCAAGCAATGCCAAGCTTTTCATAGTACATGAAAACGTCGCTGTGGATGAAAATCGCCTGAACTGTCCGGACAATTTCTAATGAAATGTAGAGGGAGATTGGTACCAAATTTTGGAATAAGATGAGAGCGACCCAGAAAGTAATGACACCGGTCACTGCGGGGGTGTCACCGTAGGCTTGTTCGAAGAAATTCAAAGACCTGTCAGTTTCGGACCATGACACACCGTTAACGATAGCCGAAACGAGGCACATGCAGAATAATATGACGAAGTTGTAAATAACATTCCAATTGAGATCCTTTGCAAGCTGAGGTCGCTTAGTCGGTGTGACACCAGAGTTGAGCATAATCTTTGTCTCGACACCGGTAAAAATAACAACTCCAAGAACCCATTCTGTGTTACGGAGAGAGCAACCACGCAACAGCAGATTGTTAATCGTAACCGGTTCGACCATCTCTGTTCGGGGAGCATCGGGATAGTCAGGATCGCGCTGATCCCAACGCACGGCACCGTTGTACGCGTATAAGTTGGGGTGCGGAGCTTCGCTCTCAACTATGAATTCCGATTTCTCACAGTCGCGTGCATGACGAATTTTTCGACCACAATGCAACGCATGTCGGACCTTTAAATTGGTTTCACCATCAAGACTCTTCGTTTCGACGTAACACGCACCGTCTGGGTCGGACGTTGACATCACCACAACATCTGCAGGGATGGGGTCGCCATTGTACAATCGGACAAAGTCGCCGACTTGTAAACTTTTCCAGTAATCACGCTTAAATCTCGCATTGCCAGTTGCCTGTTTGGTCGGATCTACCACACTGCCACCTTTCTTTGGAGAGAGCGAAGAAGTCTCTGATGGGGCCTTGCTAGTACGCGCTGCTTTATCGGGGTGCAGATACTGGCTTGATTCTGAATTTGAGAGTGGCCAATCCGAGCGCGCATCGGGCACAGGTGAAGGAACAGGAGTCATCTGGATAGCTTCATCCTGTCCACGATCTCCATGTTCCGAATCCATGGATGTTCTTGGGGAGGCAGCAGTTAAATATGAGGCGCGTCGCTCGGTGTTTGCGGTTTCGGTATTCTTCTTGTTCTTCTGGAACAAATCTCGAAGGTGCCGATATGTCCAAATCGTCCCTCGAGTACAAGCTTTCTTGAAGCGTCGCCACAAGGAAACATTGTCATCGGTAGAGTTCACGTTGTTCCACCCGACCAATCGATATACGGGGGAATTGTTCAACTCGGTATCGAGTACCGTTCGGCTCCAATCCTCTATCCCATCCTTTATGGCCGTGACGACAATGATAACAATTAACGGTACAGTGTTCATACCAGGGTTATCGACACCGAAGATAGAGAAGAACTAGCAAAAATCAGTGTTAGTTTGCGTGTGCAAGTGAGTTTAATCATGGAATGACAATGGGGAAGCTTACACCAAGGATAATGATGAAAAGGAAGTAAATATTGGCGATATTTTGAAACTGGAACCACAAGTTCTTTGGAACAAAGGTTATAGGCGTGTACTTTGCGGTGCGGACCTTGTTTCGCGGATAATCCGCTTTGGGATGGCCATCCTCGTCTCTTTCGGAGTCGGGGAGGGGGATATTGAAGTAAACTTTTCTATTCTCGTCCTCTGGGGATGGGGCAGGCGAGGGCTCTGTTGTCGTTGTCGAGTTGGCCGCAGTAGATTTCCGCTTCTCATCTCTCATTTCCGAACGCTTATGGAGGCGATCCATGATGGAAACGCGTTTCCGCATACCTCCGGCTTTGGTGGCTCGATGAGTCGCCCATCGTTGGCGGTTCGTCGGCGTTGAGATGTTACTCTCCTCTGGGCGGAGCGGCGGCGGCGGAGGGTCAATCGCATTTTGGTCGAAGTTGACCGAGGCCATCTTGGATGAACTCGCTCGTAAAGGGCGTGAAGCGGCGCAACTAAATCGTATAGGATATTAGGGAGCCTGCGCTCCGGCGAGCCGAACCCGACAGCGTAGCCAGTCTGCCGGCGTAATTTTATATCTGTATCGCGCGTCGTAAGATTATTCACAAGAAACCTAGATGGTTCCAGTTGGATTTCGCGAGTGCGCGGTTGGCAGACGTCAGGAGGCGATCGGGCAGTGCGTCGAGGTGAGACAGAGACGTCCGCTAGACACAACACAGGGGAAGGGCGGCTTTAGAGAAAAAATGATGAACGAGCGAAGAAAATCAAACACCATGAGCCATTATATGCTAAATGAAAGTTATATAAGAAGACAGGGGTATCGTGAGGAAGAACCCTCATGTAGTTGGAGAACGTGTGAGAGGGGAGCAGTGAAGGATTAAGTGAGAGCAAGAACCGTTCAGGACAGCATTTCTGGAGGAGCGCTGGCGCAGGCTGACATACTCTCTCCTCTCGAAGGCGCGGGAAACAGGGAATGTGTATTACCGCTGCAATACCCAGCTGCGCCGCACGATTGGCAGTCAGCAGCGCCGGATTACCGTCATTTTACTTACATAAAGATGTGCCATCATCCTCACCCTCCGCAATACGAGTTTCATTTTAACTATGCCTGTACGCGCGACAATAGTGCTCTTCACCTAGTTCCCGTCCTCTCAGAGGCAAGAGACAGGTTTCTACACAGATTCAAACTGAAGCTTCCCCTTCCAGGATTACAAGAACTCAGCTGCGGACTATTTTGTACGCAACTATACTTCGAATCTCAAAGCTGACCAAGCGACATCCATCCTCTTCCGGTAATTTTTGGTGTATCGAATGGTACCATAAATACAGCAGGCTGGGCCTCCCACGTCCCGGGCACGAGGATCCTCCAGCCTCATCCAAACCGGCAGTGACAGGATATGGTTCCCACGCAAAATCCTCAATGTGGCAACACCCTGCGACACATGCTGGTTTGGACATTATGGCGCAGGCCAAACATTGGTACGGGGTGAGGCGACTGCCATGGACGTCAGTGAAGAATTATTCAGCAAAGCTTCTTGATCCCAGTTGAGGGATGCCGGTCGGAAGTTCGGCGTCTCTTTAAATTGGCCGCTTGAACAGTTTCGGCTGAACCAAGGATATCAGAGCTCTCGGTATTTCCGTGCGCAAAAGCTGACCTGGTCAACTCGACAGCTAGTAGCCCCGTATCTGTTGATAAAATACCACATTGATATCGATCGACTCCATACTCGGAGTCTTCAGACTGAAACTCACTAGACTTCGATTAGGATAGTTAACGGGTCATCGTGGACTGGCGACACGAAATCACTCCACCTCTCGTAAGGGACAGTTCGATCACACAGCAAATGGCTCCGAGAAATGGATATTCTCCCCTAAGTATCTATCCGTATCTACAAATAATTCTTTCAAGAAAATCCAGCCGAAAGGAAGGAGGCCGAAATTCGCATACCACGTAGAGATGTGCAAAAGGGGATCTGGTCTGTGTAACATCGGACGATTCGCTCCTCCATTACTGTCCACTCCCCTATACGCACTCTTCGAGATTGTTGCGGACCCTACCTTCGTAGTAGTACGTACTCCCTCCCTACTTCTTATGTGATTCAAGTTGTCTGCGGGGCCGGACGTTCGGAATCCCAAGAACTGTGCACACTTACAAATGCACACGACCACTGTGTACTCTTGCACAATAATATAATATTACTTCAGCTCTTCCCTTTTCTCCCTTGTTCTGTTCTCCTATTCTAGCTCCAAAATATCCTGCTTGGCTTCTTGGGCGGCACAGGCCAGTTTCCCGATATCGTATAGTGTGGCCCCAGTCAACGCGTAAACCGAGCACATCACCATTTTACCCTTCGAAAAAGGTTCGATTTTCGGACCTCAGGCTATCATCTTGAAACGGTTTCGATTCCTTAGCTTTGACATCGCAAAATTGCACTATGCTGTCAGGCTCAGCACAGTTTGTCTCCATCCGATGGTGAATCTGACATGTTCAATAGCCTGCAGAAATTTCTTTCAACTCCGAGCGGAAACACGGCATGTTTACGGCACACTGGCACAAGTGCTTCACCATGTTTGAATCGGATACGGAGGTTTTGGTCAACTTCTGCCGCACCATTGGGAGAGACGGGGCAAAAAGGCGAAGCGAACTCCGAAGCTTGGTGGAGACTGGAGATTTGGTGTTGCGATCCTCTGACGCACGGAGAAAGGAGGGATCGACAGCAAAAGAGGGGCCGGGCGAAAGTTCCCGCAACTGTTCCCAAACAAAACGATACGGAGTCCGCGGTGACTGTTCTTTACTGCCCCGTGGTCGATCTGACTGTGTCTGATCTGATGCCCTCTCGTTCTAGCCTGCGCAGTGCGCTCAGGTTCCAGGCTGACTGTGTCTGATCTGAATTGCGGATTTGCAGTGGCCGTTAGGACCATTTCCTGCACAGCCCTGTCCTGGATGCAGGTGTAAATCTGGCGTCAGCTGAAGAAAGCTCCCCAGCCCCGCTGAGTTGTCTCTATATAAAAATAAACCTCAAAACGATGACGAGGTGTCGGTGGTTAACTCTGAACGTCCGCGCGCAATACCCGCACCGTTGAATCTTGCATACAGAGCCCATCGGCATCAGCGAACAGCCTGTATAGTACGGAGTACTGTAAATGGCCACTCTCAGCCTTCACCAATATTCCAAACAACACCATACTTAGTAATGACTTCAGATAATTGAGGCTGACTGCGAATAGCACAGTATCGTCACGGGAATAATAATAATAATATAATAATAATAATAATAATTCCCTCTTAGTCTTTGGCAAAACTCAGATAAACTCATAGTATCAAAGGATAGATACTTTCACCTCTCATCTCGACTACCAATACGTACTGGGAGAGCAAAGACAGCGGATAAATTTAGACTGATGTGGTCATGTGACTTCGCGATCCGCTCCACGCGAAAGACGTGAATGGTGATACCAACAATTGGGTATCAATTTCAAGCTTCCAGACCTCATTTGCTCAAACAATTTTCCGCTATGCCTCCGCCGCGGAAAATCACTAATTATTTCAAGCGTCCGGCCTTTGCGTCAGCCGTAAAAGAAACTCAGTCAAAATCACCGGGAGAAGACCCCGCGCCGCAGTCCTCGCCGCAGTCCTCGCCTCTCACTGAACTCTCCTCGCAGCAGTTACCATCAGATATCACAGCCCCGGACACACCTAATGGTCCGTCCTCGCAGTTAAATAGATCGCTGCTATGCGCAACAGGAGATGAGGCCGCTCATAATGAGCCAGCGCCCCAATCGAGCTTCCAAAGTGCCGGAACAGGAACATCGTTTAGCTCGGCGCAGCGCATCATGAGGCACGGAAAGGAGGTCGTTATCAGCTCCGATGGCGATGAGTCCGACTCGGCAGGATCTCTTGAGTCGCCGGACGATCTTTTGGCAAGGTTCTTGGCTCCAAAATCCCCGGTGACTCCAAAAGCGCACAATGGCGATGACAACGAAACGACGCGGCCTACCCGGAAGAACCCGAAGCATAAAAGCGTCGTAAGGGCTGAATCTGCGCCTCGAAAGTACAAGAATTCGTTAGAAAACCTCGTCAGGCAGGCAGTTTCTGACAACGAGACTGAAGCTGGAATCGCGAAGCTGAGGGCATCATTGAATGACGAATCCGACCGCAATACCGATAGTGGCCCAGACAAAGCGAGTGTTTTGAATGAGGGCGCTCTCGCATCTGCAATTGATGATGGGAACGATGATAGCATGGGGCTTCAACGACTGCTAAATGCTGTGCGGCGAACGGAAGCTCTTGACTTAGGAAAATCTTGGTCATTTTTTGACCTTCAGACACCACTACCCCCTGGCCCAGAGTTTCCACATGGGTGTGTTTCCCCCGGGACGTACCTAGGTGTGCTACGAGGTGGGTATATCGGTGTCACTAGAAGTTGTGCTACGAGATCTGACAATCCCTAGAGCCCGATTCTCGGGAACGAGCTTTCTATTCCGGAATAATTGATTTTGCCCTGTCTAGGGAACTCCTACCCGATGAATTGGTCAAGTGGATATTTCATTCTAGTTAGTATTGCCCTTTGTTTTTCTGAAAGTCGTATTACTCACGCCACTTAGTTCCCTCCGAGCCTCGGGATGGTCTGAGGCATGCTTATGGAAGAGCGATGAAGGTTTGCTACCCCACCCTGTCAATAAACGGTGTTTAACTAAACTTCTACAAGCGCTTTCCGGCGGAACGCATGAAATCACTCATACGACCGGATGATATTGATACTCTTTTTTGGCAGTTGAACGCGAAACCTGAGGCGTTAGCTCTGTCTCAAACGGTTGTGCCGGACGCTCATCCTCAAAGTAGGTTTATATCATATATATTCGATTCATTCTGGTTAATAATATCAATAGACAATACTGCGGAGTCACAAGCTCAACACCATATAGCCTTGATATCCGTCCTTGATGTCCTCCGTGATGCCGCAAGCTTGTTAGTCAGTACTGGCCGTTGCAACAAAGTCCCACTAACAATCAACTAGGTTCGCTGGTGATACCCGGAATCGCATTTTAAGTATCCTTCTCCGTCTTCCACTCGATGCTTCCTTGACTCGTAATACAGTCATATGTTCGGAAATCGAAAGAACCATCACGGCTGTGCTCGACGCTGTAACTGATGGTTCGGCCGATGAGTTGGTATGAGTGCCAACTCAATTCAGCATAGAATATTGCTAATCACTATCAGGCTACTAATATCTGTGGCATTGCATACACCACAGTGAAAGATGCAGAGTTGCGAGGTCGCCTTCTGGAACACATCGCCCCAGCAAACGATTGGATTGCAACATTAAGACGCCGTCTCGCATACATCTTCTTGACAGGCGATCCGTTAGTCGATGCTGGATCCCACGACCGAACGGCCGAGGTCAAAAGGATCATTAATATCCTCAAAGATCCTCGTTACAATGTGAAGCGTTATAAAAGGAAAGATCAGCCTGAATATGACTACGGCGAACTAAGGGCCATCACCACCTTTCTTAATATTATCATTGATTCTGGGTGGTCCGAGGCCCAGTTTCCTGATAAAGGTGCAGAAGACGAATTCAATAGCGAGGTTGATGTTCTTGCCGACAGGATCAAAAAAGTTTTTACTGCTATTGAAGATTCAGGTGCGTCCCATCTTAAGCGGACTCTGGCGAAGGAGGCCCTAGAGACTCTGCACTATCGCGTCGTCTACTCTGTCAGAACGAGGCCACGTCCGAAGAAGACCTTCTTCGGCGAATACGAATCACAGCAAAAGACTCAGAATATCCTCAAATTTGTCAAGAAGAAAGAAGTGGTGATTTTAAGCGATAAACCTGGATCTTGAAGCCATTGGACATGAAATTGTTCCAGTATGCTTAAAGGACAACCTATCCATACTTCCCTACAAACCTAAGATATTGACGACTAACAGAAATCTCACCGGGATGTGCCAGGCCCACTACCAAACTCCTGGTATAGCACATCACTTTCTCCCTCTCGGAGGATAGCCATGCCATTCATCACAATATGCTGGGCAGTGAGCTTACCAAAGTGGCTATCCGCTGCATTTCGCTCCTTAGGCTTTAAAAGCCGATTTCCATTCACTTCTTCAAGGTACTTCTTAATAGCACCGGCAATCGTCGCATGCTGGGCCGTGGTATCGCAGTTCCGGCCAGAGGAGTGGTACATCCACGACAAAGTCTCGTAGGTTCCATGTATGCTATTGCAGGACCCCTGGTCGGAGAGTTCCTTGATGGTACTCGCGAGAGACAGCACCATGGGTTTTACAAAGTTGAAAAAAACCACTTTCTGACAAGCTTGGTCCTTAATATGAGGGCAAAGAGCAACCAGGGGGCTGTCTAGTTGTATCAAACCTATGGCCGTGCGAGGATTTCACCCCATTGACTTCAGGCTCTATCTAAACTTGCCATATTTTCTAAGCTTTGTACGACCTTTCACGCGGGAATACAGTGCTATATGGCCCGAGTTCAGAAGTCCAGTAGGCGTACAGGTGATTTGTCAGTTGGTCATATATTGACACTTTTGAAAAAACAATACATCAGTACATTAGTACATACCTACTCAAGAACTCCTAATCTTCCACTTAATAGTGTAGGTGATGTTAGAGAATATTTCTCATAGATTTGCTCCACGTCTTTGAGGGCATATATATATATATATATACCATTACGATGCAACAGGCTTGACTCGCAGCAAAGGCTTCGCATAGAGTATTTTAGGAGAAATCACCACTGTATATAGGGTATGCTAATCTCCCAGAAATAAATAGTCAAGGAAGTTATAGATAAAATGGAAAGTTACATAGTTACAAGGCTGAAACTGAGAAGAGGCACGCTGGTTGCGAATTCGAAACTAGAACGACATATGCTGGTGTTCTAATCATGGAACCGCCGGTTGACGTTCTTACCAAAAAGCGTCTCCCTCACGACAGGGAGAGCGTCGATTTCGAGTAGCCGCAGTCGTTCCTCGAAAGTGTTATTGATTTCGATCTTGCCTTGGCCACCAACAACTACCACTCCGCCAGCGCTAGAGAGGAGGCGTGTTAGTAAATGGAACCGTAACGCGGTGATTTGTGGCAGGGGCTTACTTGTCGTCTGGCAGCGACTCATCCTCGTTCAAGTTGACCTTAACTTCTTTACCAACCGTTTCCTTGAACTCCTTCTCCGCCTCACTGATAGCCTTGTTAATAGCATCCTTATCTTTCTTCCGCCCACGGACATCCACGTTCACCTCGTTCAGAGCATAAAGGCCTTCCAGAATCAGCGCCTGCAACACAGCTTGGTACTTCTTGGCGTCTTTGCCGGCGATGTTCGAAATTTCGCCACGGGCTTTCTGGAATAGATCGTCCAGGAGATCCTGGCGAGAGGAGAGGACACGAAGACGAGTACGGTTGGCGAGGGTGGAGCGGGTGATCTGTTGGGACATGGCAGCCTGCTTGAACTTCTTCTCGTACTGGGTGTCGATTGCGGCGGTTTCCTGGCGGACGAGCTTGGACTTCTCAATGGCAAATTCCTCGTCGGCCTTTAATTGGATCTCGCGACCTTTCTCGAGAGCTTCCTGCCGGATGAAGGCAGTCATCTTGCGGAGCTCGCCCGCCACCTGATCATTTCAAGACTGTATGAGCTTGGGGATACCACTGCCTATCACAACGGAGCTGCGCCGTACCTGATCATCCGAGAGAGCATGACTTTGCGACATTTTGCCTGATATTGTAGATTGCGTCCAGAGCTGGGATCGACGATGTTGGAGGACAAGGAAGGGGAGCTGGGCGCGGGTTGAGCTTGGTCTGGAGTGAGGTTGGACAGGTCAGCGTAGGGTCCCACGGCACGGGCGTCGACAAAGCATGTGGTGCGGTCAGAAGGGGCTCAGCATGGGGTGGCATAGTCACCTAGTTCACGTCTATGGTATTATTCCCCAGTGTTGTGAGAGGGGATGGGCGGAACGATGGGAGGGAACGGCGTGCAGTCGGGGACGGATGCTCATTGCTTAGTCGGTTTGGATGACTTGGCGGGTTAAACTCCAGACCTCCCGCCCGCAACCATGAGATCACTCTTCCTCCCCATCCCCTTGGTCTCTCGCTCTCGATACTCTTTTCCTCTTCTGTTTTACACCTTGGAAGCTCTACAACATACCAAAATGGCCTACTCTCCTCGCTATTTGTTCTCTCGCCCTGTCTAATGCCGTGAGGTGCCCGAATTTAGCCCTCTCCCCACTCTGCATCCAATGCATGAGGATACCCCGTGATGGGCAACCTTGGTGACCTGTCGCCGCAGGGGAGTGTCGCGGTAGGTTCTATATTGGAATACAATATTCAGTATTTTTTCAATGGCTAATGCGGTTTCATTATTCAGATCGGGGTTCTTGTCGGGTTGATCTCGACTAGCCTCCAGGCGATCGGACTGACCCTCCAGCGCAAGTCGCATATTCTTGAAGATGAAAAACACCCGTACGAGTTACGGAGACCTCCTTACAAGCGGCGAAGATGGCAGGTATGATGATCAGTAGAGAATTTTACTCTCTATAGCACGCTGACTTCGTGCAGCTGGGAATGTTAATGTTTGTTGTTTCAAATATCGTTGGAAGTACAATCCAGATCACAACACTTCCGCTTCCTGTGCTTTCGACGCTTCAAGCAGTCAGTGAACCGATTCCCCAACTGCTAAAGCTTAACTAAATTTCTTCCAACAGTCCGGCCTTGTCTTTAATACCATTTTTGCTACGTTAATCCTCGGCGAAGCCTTTACTCGATACTCATTGATCGGTACCCTTCTGGTGTGTGGCGGCGCAGTTCTGATCGCAGTCTTTGGTGCTATCGGGGAGCCAGCGCATACTCTTGATCAACTCCTCGAGCTTCTCCGTGGCTGGGGATTTATCCTCTGGGTTGCTGCTACAGCTGTGTTGTCAGTAGTTATTTTCGCCGGATCGAAACTCCTCAAAGCCATTACTTCCCCTCGGTCGAAGCACCCTATACTCCGAAATTCGTATACACCACATCTGAATATCACACATAGCCGTGTTCGACTCATACGTGGGTTATGTTACGGGTTGATAAGCGGCATTCTCTCCGCGCACTCGTTGCTCTTAGCCAAGTCGGCCGTGGAGCTACTCGTTCGGACAATCGTGGATCGCCATAACCAATTCAATCGCTGGCAGTCATGGATAATTCTGCTTTCCATGATCGGACTTGCTCTCCTGCAATTGTACTACCTTCATCGAGGTCTGAAGCTTTGCAGTACCAGTGTTCTCTACCCGTTCGTCTTCTGCATTTACAACATCATCGCCATCTTAGACGGTCTAATATACTTTCGCCAAATGTCCCGGCTCACGGGCTTCCATGCCGGACTCATCGCATTAGGTACAGTAGTTCTTCTGGCCGGTGTCCTCTGCCTGTCTTGGCGATTAGAGGACATTGACGACCATGCACCCATAGCAGTCGCCGGTCCATCCCAAGCGGCCATAGGACCCGGAATGGCCGCTATTGACGAAAGCACAGAAGCTCCTCTCAGGCTGGAACTAGAGGATGAGGAAGACCACCTCGGAGAACAAGAACCCTTGCTTCGCCCAACCAACACCTTCCATGAATATCACCGCCAACGAGCACCTAGTCTTCCACTATACTCAACAGTGTCCAAACGAGCTTCCACCTCCAACATGGACCCAGCTTCCATCTGGGCCGAGTTGGATGATTCCGACGTGGAAGCAATAAATGACACGGATGCACGATCCTCTCTCCTCACCCGGTTCTCAGTCGACCCAATCCAAAACCGCTCGCGGAGCAAAAGCAACGCGCTGCGTCTCCCATCAGGCTGGGCCCCACGTCGGACTTACCACTCTGTTCATGAGGCTCGCAACAAACCTCGAAGAACATCCCTTCCGGGCACCGAGCATTCCCTTCTCCTCCCCAAACGGCGAACACCAGTCCAACCCACCGCTGCTAATAATAGAGGCCAGCAACCCGTCTCCACCGGATACGGGACTTCCTTCGACACCTCACACAATTCACTAATTCCTCAAGAATCAAATCAACTACAGGACTCGGAGACAACCCGAGAGCGTCTCCTCGCAGGCTCGAGGAACGCCCTAGGTGTTTTGCGAACCGGCGTACAGTACCTAACTCGTCTAACCCGCACTAGTAGTCCGAGAAGACAAGAGAGAGAGGAACCGTTAGCTTGTGAACGAGAGCCACTCGATCCGGAAGCAAACCCGATCAACAGGCATGTGCCAGACCAATAGCATCTACTATGGAGTTGTGGACCCTAAATGTCCAATCTGACCTAGCGCAATCTCCGCCTTGAGCTCTTTTACGTTCTGAATACAGGGACACGACATATGTATAGTACCCCAGAAATTTATTATCATATATCATGGCGCTTTCCTATGTCTTCTGCTTTATGTCTTCCGCCTTCTTCATATGCTTTATCTACACTATATACCCGGTATATCTATCCTTTTGTTGTTGGGGGGGGCAAGAATTGGCGTTAAGAGATGTTGCTGAGGACGGGCTGTTGAAGAGCTTTATAAAACCCATTCAGTCAATATAGAATCACCTATTTCTTTAAGAGCTGCATTTGTAAAAGTAGTCAAGGAAAGTCCAATTTTCTCCATACCATACATGACGTGTTATCATATCGGACACTCCCAAAACAATTTGGAGTAGAGCCATTTGACTCTCTCCACAGGCGTCTCCTGCTGCCTGAGCTATTATTCTCCACTTGCCCGCAAGCCAGTATTGTATAGAGAAAGACAACCATCTTGGGAGGAAGGCAATCACTCATCGCATAGGGGAAATCGAGAAAGATAAGAGAACAGATAGGTTAGGAAATAAAGAGCACGATAAGCCGCAGATTATTGAATCAAAGACAACCACGTTCGCCGTTAAGTAATATGAAAATAAATCAAGACGAAAAGGCACCAGAAACACCGCATCTTCCCCCTCGTCTAGGAAATGATTATGAGGTGACGGACAGTAAGATCAAATAATAATATCGAGATCCAGGTCAAGGTTGCACATTGCCTGCATCGATAAATCACCATCCCGCGCGCTCATGTTTCTTTCTCTATTTCTTTTTTCTGGGATTTTTTTTGACCTTTTCGCGAGAGAAAAGAGGGGAGAAGGCGACGTCATTAAACGGGATAGATAGCAGGAAAAAAAAAAAAGAGATATTGCCAAACGCCGGAATTGAGTATTCAGCGTCCTGCAACATTCAGAGCCGGATGGCTCAGGATATACACAGGTCAGGTTATGAGGAAAAATTCTTGTCTTGCGTAGGTTTGTTATACAACGAAGACCGGATTTAGGGTAAACAATCGTGGATTCGCTGGGTATCAAAATAGGGCCAGGAGAGTGCGCAGTTGCGCAAGAAGAAGCCATGTGGATCGCAACGCAACGATCTAGGCTTCTCCATTCTCTGGGTGGCTTACACATGCGTAAGTTTACGCAGTGGGTTGGTGCTGAGTGGGCATCCGGTTGCCAACAGGCATTCCAGGGTATTGCCCACCAGCCTGCTGCTGCTGCTGCTGGAGATTTTGATAGTAGGCCATTTGCTGCTGTTGTTCGTTTGTCATGTAGCCCGGATGCATACCCGCAGGTCGAGGGATACTCGACTGCTGGGCATTGACGTTGCTGTGGCTCACATCTTCGGGAGTCTCAGCAGGAACATCGGGGGCATCGACACCATTCTCGTTGGTAGTGGGGTCGGGAGCGTTGAGGCAGGCCTAGGGTTCAGGGGCCGTCAGTCTCATGCGAAGAAAGTCGGCATGGGCAAATATTACCTGGATAAGGTTCTTTCCTTCGGGCTTCGTCACCAATGGCTGCAACTTGGGAGTTGTGAAGGTGTAGACGAGACCGGTCTCGGACACGACCAGGAGAAGGACTTGGGTTCCAGTAAGGACAGAGAGTTCGTATGCCTGTTACGCGACCGCATTGACCCGTCAGTGAGAATCCAACAATACACGTTCTCGTGGTAAAGGGGTAAAGATGACGATGTTGTTTATTAAAAAAAAAAAAAAAAAAAAAAAAAAAAGAACAAGATGAACGGTATATATCACAATGCAGGGAGCTGCAAAGCAAATGTGGTGAGGCTGGCACTCGAGACGCGGATGTACGCACCTTCTTCATGATACCCGCCTTCCGCTTGGAGAACGTAATGTGGCGACGCGACTTATCCTGGATGAACTTGATCTCAATCTTTCTGCGTTCGCGCCCGGGCTTATCCTCGTCATCGTCGTCGTCGTCGGCGCTCATGCGAGAGCGCTTGGTACCGCGGTTGTCAGCGGCGCCGTTACCGGCGGCCTGTTGCAGCTCGTCCTGAGTGGGCGAAGGGTTCTCCTCACCAACAGCGGTGATGTCGGCCATGATTGAATTGGAATGGAGGCGACGAGAAGAATTGTTCGGATCGAGTCGTCAAATAATAAAAGGAAGGATCTGGGGGACTTGAAGACAAATGCCCAAAGAGGAATGATGCTTTTGAGGGGAAGGGAGGATGACCAAATCGAGTAACGCGTTTGGCTTCGCAGGGTTTGGGTTCAGGACGAGAGAAAGAGGGAAACGGGGAGAGCTGGGAAGTTGGTCGAAGAAGGCAAAGTGCCGGTGCAGAGAGGAAGGCGGTGGCTCACGTGCGCCTTACCGTACGTGACTACTCCACCGCTTGTCACTCTCCCCAACTTACTTGCCTTGCCTTCACTAGCGACCAATTTCCTCGACACCACGTTCCCTACAGTCGGCGGGAAAGCTATCCAGAGACCCTTTTCATCCAGCTCCAAATTTTCGCTCCTTCCCCTCACAAAAGCTCGAATCACGAAGCAAGAGTCGCAGTGGTGACAAGTGCACGGCTGGAATCCGGCCGGTACTAAGTTTGTCCAGACCTTCTAGTGGGGTCAATACCCTCTTGGCAACGCGCATTATTGGATCAGCCACAGTGAAGTATTGGGGTCGTGATTTGCCAGTCGCCCATTCCCCACCAATACCGCGTAATATTACCGGTACTCCGTCCGACGGCCAGCGCCCTCGTCCAGCCCAAGTTTCACTCCGCCTGTCACTCAAGGAGCCCGAAAGACATACCTAGAGGATACTCTGGGCATTAGGGCCAGGGGAGGGGGGGATAGCTCTCCAAACGTGTATGTCTCTCTAAACTACGAGGCGGCTGAAGCCATTTTCACCGAACACGGACACGGTCTAGTTCGCAACTGGACCAGCATTGCATGTAACCTGTGGAGTCCCAGCATACCAACCTCCTCAAGTCCACGACTTGGAATCACGCATCTCTAGCCTAATCAACGAACAGAGGTGATCAGTGGGTAAGGAATGCAGAGGCTGGCCAGCGCATCTGGGTCCCAACGGCTCACTGTTGAGGACAGAAGTACCTTACTTCGGGAGGTGATATCCTCCTTCCGCAGTCTCGCGCAGGAAGAAAGTCGTTGACCTGTGAATGAACTGATGGTACGAAGTACAATACCGAGTACGGTGTACTCACGAGCTTCGCGGGTCGCAGACCTTCCATGATTGATTTAGATCGACAAGACGGATGAGGGTCTAGACGAAAGTACAACCTTCAAATGGCGGGTTCAATATCTGCTCCTGAGTCTTGTGAACTCTTAAAATCGAAACCCACACCACTATAGGATATAGACAGCGATAGTTGACCCAATAATTCCAGCCATACCGGCAATATCCATGTCATTCTGCCCTCCATCGTCAAAGGCCAGCACGAGACACACGCTAGGGCTGGCTGGATTCTGAAAGCCGAGCCCCTCGTGCGAACTTGGGCTTGGGGTTTCAACTTTCTTGAATATCCCTCCAACCGTTTTCTTTCTTTCTTTCTGCCTTCCCAGGAAGAAACCATGCACACCCCCCAGAACCTAGACGACCAACCAGATTGGGCCAATATGTAGCGAGTACTGTCAATATTGAGGCCCCTTTTCCAATGAAAACTCCACTTCTAAGTATCTCATCCAAAGAGCTGAGACAGTTTCGTTGACTGAGGGAAATATATATCGACTAGGCTCGTATACTCCGGGGGTTCGAGTTACAGCATGCTATATATATTCAATTGGCCAATCTGTCCAATGATGATGGCAGTAATGACAACCACGCAATTCTATGATTACAGGATCTCAATTCTCGAAAAAATTACTGCACCGTTTCCCCGCATATACTCCCAGGCATTGAGATAAATAGCCCAGTCGTAATTTCTCGGCCGGTGTCAGAGAATGTGCATGATGTCGCCAACACTTAAGATGAAACGTCAGGCTGAAACAGTCAACGCCAGCACCACGAGGAGTAAAAAACGTGTATGATAATATATAATATAGTTGTCATATTAGCCGCAGCGGGCAACGGTATCTTAACTGTAATAAGATCTAGACTTAACTCATCATATTCTTGGAAGATGACAATGCGCCAATGACCAAGGAAACAAAATTCTATTTTTACATATGCATGCAGTGATAAAAAGCAGTTCTTCCCCCAGAAGTAAACGGCAGGGACACAGAAAGGTCGCTCGTGAGCAATGTTGTTGGTTCAGAGAATAGACTCGTAGCTTGAAACTGACTGCGCCATCATATTTCGCCTAGACAACGCCGAGTAATAGCCGATTGAAAATGTGCGTGTCCAACTTCGATAGTGGTTTGAAGCGGACATCCATTTTCTACCACTTCATAGATGTCGTCCGTCTTCGTTGCTGGTAAGAAATAAAAAAAAAAAAGAAGAGAAGAAAAAAGAAGGATGGACTGTAAATGAAAAGGGTCGAGAATGGTAATAATGTGCAAGAAGTGAAGGCCCTCACAGAGTCCAAGGTCCAGCCTCGGGATGTGCCGTAGAGAAGGAAATTTAGTGGATGTTGACAGTAAAATCCCTAACACCAGCACCACCGCCGCCCTTGGGACCGAGCCACACGATCTCAATGACACTGTGGCCTTCATCTTCCTCACGCACATACCACTGGTGAACATTGTCGCCAACGACAAATGTTTCCCGCAAGAGCCACCTGTCCTTGGTGACTCCAGGGTGGTCCTTGGGGCGCAGAGGTCCTAAGCGGGCCTCGTAGCCTCGGGGATCTTCCTCCCACGTCTTCTCGGAGTGATCGAAGTCAATCGCATCGTCGGGAGTGTTCTCATCATAAGTATATTTAACGAGAGAATACCCGTTGGTGAAAACCCAGAAGGTCCGGATAGACTTTCCGGTGGCGTTGTTGATTATTTCTTCCTGATCGAAAACCCATCGACGAAGGATCGAACGACGACCAGCAGCTGCTGCTGCGGAAGTCATCTTGACGACATCCTTGGTATACCAGCTGTTCCAGTGGTGGAGAGATTCAATCTTGCGACCAGATTCGTATACACCATCGACATCACCCTGCATATCCATCTGGTAGAGAGATGGCCAGAGGGTCAGGGGAGTATCACCAAATCTCTGGATACACTGCCCAAGCTTCTGATCACCAGGCTGTTCACCCCAGGACTGGCACTCATCGTAGTAGGTTTCGAGAGTATCGAGTAAGGGCTTGGAAACGAACACTCCTGCTCCTCCGAAGGCAATGTGGCCGAAGTTGTCAACCTGCCAACTAGCCTCAGAGAGCGCACCAATGTAGTGTTTCTTGTTCGCGTCGAAGAGTTTCAATTCGTGAGAGATAGTGGGGAGGGAAAGGAAGAAAGTGTCGTCATCAATCCAGCCGAGCCACTTGGTTTGGGGTCGCTCAGTTCGGATGATCTCAGCAAAAGCCTGGACAAGACCGAAATAGCGAGCAGTGAAATCCAGGGGCGACTTGATCAACCTCAAATCAAGACCACGGTTGCGGAAGTAGGTTTCCTGCTTTGCGATATCATCATCGGAGTTGGGAACCAGCACAATAACACCGGCCTTGGTGTTTCCATAAGAGTACAGAAGAGAAGGAAGTAAGCGGTCCAAGCGATCGGCAGACGTGGCCAACCCGAATAGTAGCTTATCCGTCTCGTCAATGTCGTGGTCGGCGGCAACGTCTACGTCGATAACCGGCGGGCAGGCCATCCCGTCTTCGTGGTTAGCCGGGGAAATGACCATACCACGCTCGAGAACGGTTGTAGGAGGAAGGACAGGGACACTGATATCTTCGAGCGACTTGAACTCGGTCTTGGGAGGCAGGAAATTGGGACGGAAGTATGCCCGGGTGTAGTTCTTGCGGAGGAGCCACTCGTTGAAAGGCAGAGGCGGCATGATATTCTCGACTTCGCACTGCTTCGAGTTCGAGTTCGAGTTCGACGAGGGTGGTGTAGGCTGCAGTTGAATCTGCGGAGCACCAGACGAGCCGACCCGGTCAACGGGGTGTCTCAACCGCAGAAGTGCTTCGCGATCATATCGCTGGATGCACCAGAAGAAAAGACCTATGGTGAATAGGGCAATGAGGGGGAAAGCGGTTTTCAGGCGAAAGGTCGGCATTTTGCGCGGAGTATTAGAAGTGTTCTTCAGCATGAAGAGGTTCGAGAAAAAAAATCAAAAATCAAGTGGTTGAGAAATGTTAGAGTCCGAGGTATCGAAAAAGCATCGATCGGAGAGAATATAAAGGCTCTCGTTATCGTTGGAGGGTCAGGGACCAAGAGAGTGAATGTGACAAGTGAGGCTTGCCAAACAAGAGTATCAACGAAGGACAGGCGGCGCCGAGATTTGTTGGCTGGTTTCACAAACAAGATTATGTCTGTGAAGTCAACAAGTCGAGCCGCGCGGACAAAACGGAAATCCAGGGGAAGCGGCAGGTAAACTAGGCTGAGGCCCTGCGTGTTGGGTGGGCAAGCTGGGGTGAAGAGGAGGGTTTGAAGAGTGTCAAAGACCTCGAGTCTCTGGGGAGAGAAGAGAAGGGGGAGGAGAGAGGAGCGAAGAACGAACGAAGTGGAAGAGGGAAAGATGATGAGGACGTGGTGGCAGGAGACGCAGAAAAGGCGACAGTGGACAGGCGACCCCGAGTGGGAAGCGGGAGCTGGAATTGGTTTTTGGGACCACGGGGCGGTAAATTGATCTGCAAATTACACTCAGCCTGGGTGACGCGGTACTTTCAATTTCATCAAAGCTTCGATCGATCAGCAGCGCAAAAAAGCGAGGCCATCGCTGTTTATGATCCTTGCCCAACCGTCGTCAATGCATTTCCCCCTCCTATTTAGACCCTGATTGTGGCCGGAATAATCGCATGCTGTGCGCCTGGCTCTCTGTTTGCGATGCTGATCATAGACGGAAGAATGTCGTGACTCGTGAGCTCAGTGGATGCAGCAAGTCCACAGGCGCAGGCACAGTCCGCCAGTGACGGATCCATATGCGTATTCTTCACCTGGACCCTGCCAAGTGGCATTTCGCCGCTCTCTACAGTCTACGTCCTCTGTATAGGTTTGATTCAATTCCTATTCAACCAGGCAGCTAAGGCTACTCCGGGAGACTCCGCCATTTGTGATACCTACGTCAACGAATGCTGCGTTCGCCAAAACTCTGGTTGAGACACCGTAATTGTTCGATATCTCGGAGTCTTCGGGGATATAGGGTTGGCACGTCCAAGTCGTGGCCTCATGATACTACCAGTCATTGGATCGACCGGGAAATAGTACGGAGAGAATGCAACCCCAGACTAGATTGTCCATTCAGGCAGGAGCAGCAGATCAAAGCATAATTGTCCACCCATCAGAAAACAAACATATCGCAAGGTTGCGCATGGCATGCATGCGTCTGAGCAATGTCGATGTTTCATGCTCAGGCTCTCAAACTGGTGATCGTCAAGCCCTGGAAACTGCAAACGGAGTTGAAATTACGCCACTTCCGTTTTTTGCAGTCACCAAGGCGGTGGAGTGCATGATGTGCTATTCTTATTGAGTGTGGCTCACGGAATGTTCGAGTGGCGGCCTCTTCTATTTTTGTTTGCCGTATTCGAGCTGCAGTGCTGAATCTCGGATGCCTGAAGAGCTTTTGCGTCTGCGTCAGATGTTGCCGTAATTAAAATAACGCGGTTCAGCGAACCTGTTGACAGCTTGGTGTGACCCTTGGATGCAAAAATTTCGAGGAGGAAGCGCAAATGCGCAATCGATCGGCGCCGCCTCCCGCCGGTTGGGCCATTCAGCGCGGTGCTCCTGGGGGGTTGTTCCAGTGGCTTCGTGTGGTTCTCGCTGCCTGCCCCACGGGCCGCGTGTCCCATGTACGGCGTCTCTCCTGAGACTCGACGGAATCAACACGAAACAGCTGCTGACTACAGGTGCACTGTTGTGACCAGATCTCCAGCTTTATTCAGGCCTTTTTGGCCTGGGCTTTGTCCGCTCCCAAGCTTTTGTCGTGGATCCGCGTCGCAATCTCCCGCTTGGCTCTCGGAAAGGAGTTGAGGTTTGCAGAATGAAGTGAATTTACGCTTGCTCACAGTCCAACTGCGGATTTCGCCCTCCTGCTTTGAATGTTGTGCCCCTGCCTGTGGTCACAGACTCAGCACTCACCGATCCGCGGTGTTTTCCTCCTTCAGGAATACGTTTTTGCTGCGCATGGATCGCTTTTGCTCTGTCCACTGGTCAGTCTTAGATCAGAGATGGCAACATTTCCAAGTGTCGCCCCAGCAGTGGAGGGTGATCTGCACGGTTCAGCTATTAGACGCGCAAGACAGTCGACGCCAGTGATCCAATTATGTCCACCGAAGCCACATACGTAACTTTCTATCAGAAGTCCGCCAAGTTGCACGTACACCGTAGAATCTATTCGAGGCATACTATTGTTCAAAGGCAAGAATGAAAGGGGGTGGATATCCCCTTCTCCGTTTGATATTCGCCTCGATAAAGAGACCAAGGAAAGACTGACGTTGCAGACACTCAAGTTGATGAGCGGATCAACCCGCCCACAACGCAAGGCGCCTCTGTCCAGTGTTTCAAGTTCTCAACTTCTATCTCGACAGCTTGCTGCCCTAAGCTGACTGACAGGGCAGGGTCCAGGTTCTGGAACTGATGCCCTGGACGATCACTGGATTCTCGAATCTCGCCCCATCGCCAACGGGGGCCACAGGGCTACCAAGGAAGCGGTTGAGACCGCTGGCCTCACTGAGCGAAATATACATTCTTGCATGTACGTAGTACGTCGTACACTTCCCTGCCTTTTCCAGGTGAGGAACTGGACTGCTGTCATTGAGTACCCTCCGTGGAAAAGAAACCCAAGCTCGCCATCCAATCCAATTTGAACCAATCAACCGTCCCAAAATAAGCGCCTGTCCAGGTCCCAAGGCCAAACCCTTCCAAGGGGGAATTACGCGCGTTACTTCGAGCCACGGAGGTACGGAGTAGATTGGACCTAAGCAACCACCAACAATAAACTCCGAGATATTTCGGATAACCATTTAACCAGTAGTTTATCGAACAGTCCATGGACCACGGATCTTTTAAAAGCAGGCATTCTTATAATGTTGAAATTTTCAACTCAAACCGCGTCTGCGGAGTTTCTCTTCTAAGCGAAATTGCAGACGATCATCAGACACATTTTTCGAACCTTCCATGAGATTAAGATAGGGGAAATCGCTCAGTGATTGGCTTATGGCGCGATCTCTCGACATTACGGTTAGAGATTATGATATTTCATGGCCCATCTTCATACCTTGGTCGAACCTTGATCGGCATTGCAAAAGGTAGAATAGGGGTTTACGACATCCACCTATCTACCCAATCATCGTTTCTTTGAAAGGAGGGAGAGCGCCCACTTCCCGTGCAGTGCCCACTGTCTGTTCTCGTGTGACAAGGCCCGATTATTTTTTTTGAAGACGTTGACTCGGACAGGTGCCTGGAGAATCTGAGATCGCTATGCCGAAGGGTCGGGCAGGGCAGATCTCAAGACGGAAGATTGGACAACAACTCGGCAGATCACTAGATCTCGAAGAGTCGATACCTGCCGTGCCGAAAAGTCGAGACTTGGGAGCCTACCTGGAAAATGTCACCTCGGTGTTGATCACCCGTCGAAGTATGGAATCTATGCATCTGGCATCTGGAATACTTACACTGCCTGTTTGAATGTGAGGTACGCATACCTCGGCCATTCACCCTCAAGTAAGACAGTATACGAAGTTTGATGATTGCATGAGTTATTGTTTAATTTTTGTTCAGACTGCGGGGAAATTCTGAATCGGACCAACTAGACTGCCGGCGCATGAAGGGGTGATGCCTGTTATGAATTTGTGATTGCGTCAAGTTAAAACATATCATTGGGTGTAGATCCAGTAAGCTGAGGCGGGATGATGGATAGATAGATTATTATATCGAGCCATCGACATTCCTTCAGGTGAGACAAGATGGATCGATTTACATCTTACCTGCCATAAAAGAAAAGATCGAGTACGCGCACCAGAGACAGAGTTGTGTGAAGCTAAACAATACTTGAGAATTTATACGAATACATAAAACTATTTACGCCCCCTCCACACTGCTTGCCCGCAATACAATGGCAGGGGTCCGATTACTGACAGATCCACTGTCACAAGGTCTACGTCAAATCATTCATCATCATCGTAAGCTTCACGATCTTCGAACTTCATGAACTCTTCGGAAGAAGCCTCGTCTCCCATGACTGTGGTCCAGGCGTCCTTCACCAGATCGATGGTGGAATCGTCGAAGGCAAGGTCTAGGCTCGGCGCAGGGAACCGAATGACGTTGCCGGACACGACGTTGGCGGGGTGTGTTTCACTTCCAACAGCTGCTCGTCCGAGCTGTGTGTAACGGAGGGACCATAATACTTTGGCAGCCGGCTCCATGCCGGACTGGAGGAGTTTCTCTACGGCACTTTCAATCAAGGATTGCCCTTGCTGTCCCGGGATGCTGACACTACCATATAAAACACCTGTTGCACAAGCATTAGCATGTCACAATGCAAAAAAAAATTGGCGCGAGAAATAGGTAACGTAAAATGCCATGATCAGTTTCGTAGAGTTCTCAACAATGCAATTTCAGGCAATGTAGATAAGTTTTTTGAAATAAAGTCATCACAAGAAGGGCATGATAGAAATAAAGTAACAAGGAAATAAATGGAAACTTACTCTGGCCTGTCGGACACTCCGCAGTCTCGCTAGAGTGGACGGAGATGTAAACACAAGGAGATTCGTCGGTAAGACCGAGTGAGTTTGCCGGAAATACTACAACGGCCCCAGCAGGGATTGGGCCGCCCTCTGCCGTGACTGGGAATAAATCTTCCAAGGACGATGACACAATTGAAATCGATCGTGAGACCTTATCATAGTCATCTGCAGTTTGGCTCTGTGGGGGAAAATCCCAGTCGGACCCAACCACCCACTTAGTAGTGATGGGCTCACCACTGAGTAATCGTAACTGAGCGCGTGAATCGTCGGCTCCGTTTTGCTCGGCTTGGTTCAACGACTCGATTCCGGAATTCAGGACGTATATACCGCCGCCAACAGCAAGGGCACGACATCCCACTTGGGAAATTTCAGATCCACCACCCCATTTTACCAAGACACTTCCGAATCCTGGGCCAAAGACCCCTATTGACGTCAAGTGCCTTTGGATGCGCGGAACAGCATATTGGGCTACAGTTCCCTGTGGTGGGGCTTGTGACAAGGAGAGTGAGAGTAGGGGATCATAAAGCTCAGGCGGAACCTGAAACTTCGAGGTAAGGTATTCCGAAAGAGGCTTGGCCAAATCCTCGTCTACCAGAGTTGATTGCTCTTCAACTGGTGACTCCCGGTTCAACTGACCTTGGCCAAGATGTCGAAGAAATCTCATGAGAGTCCTCTTGGACTTCATGCTTATAAAATCATCTGCAAAGACATCCTCACGACTGCTAGGAACTCTGTATAGATCCTTGTCTCTGCCAGTCGTCGGCTTATATATCCACCAACTCCCAACGGCTTGAAACTCAAGCTGTCGATAGACCTTAGATGACACCAAAGTCGGCACCAGTTGAGACCGGGAGTATATAAGTTGTGGCGATAAGGAGAGCGTATAAGCCCTAGAGGAATATAACCCCGAACCTGACCCAGATGGTTCAGGTATAAAAACGGCAGCATCCTCAAATGGAAGATGAGTGGTATCTAACTTATAAGTAGCGCAGTTAGTCAGCAGATCAAATATTGACAGGGAGGTAGATCCCACCTTTGTTTACCTCCGAAGCCCAGTCTTCGGCTTCTTGGAGACTCAGAGCGGCTTCTGGGCCACCATAATATGGATTTTTATCAACATGAAGGATCTTTTTACCTGACCGAGAAAGAGCTCTGTTTGGCGGGATATTAGCCAGATGTCGAATCGTGACATAAAGTGAACGTACAAAGCTAGAAGTGACTGGGCAATTCCAGTGCCAGAGATTGTCACATCCCACTGGGTCTCCTGCAGTGACTCCATTGTAGCTGGCACCTGGTTACGGTCAGAGCTGTGCGTTAGTGTCGCTTGTTGTGTTGAGTAGTCAAACCAGCTATCATCACGCCGGCTGGCTAAATCCTATGCGCCTTTGGAAAGTCCTGCGACTCATTTGTGGTGGCTGACGAAACCGTTTACCCGCGGACGAAACGCTGTGAGAGAAAATCGAAAAGAAAATCTGAGAAGCCCACTGGCGAAATACAAATGGAGTCGCGCAATCACGTGATATAAACTAGCTCCAGCTGGTGGGTATCGGAGGGACAGAGCTGGTGCAGATAGAAATACAAAGGCGAACAGAAAATGACTTCCAAGGTTAGTAGTGCTCTGTTGGTATTTGCCGAAATAATTATGCAATTTTTTGTATAGTAGTAGTTTTGTGCCCTCAAGCTGCCATGCCCACCTCCAGAGCTCAATATACGCTATCCTTAATTAGGCTAGATCGACTACAGCGGCACACTTAAATGACTTTTTCTCCCGCGGCACACGCTCTTTCTCTCTGCACACCACTCCTGATGCTCTGCATAGCCAGACTGCCGTTATCTCCGTCGCAGTTTGTCTTATTCGCACAAACCTTCATTGGCTTTGTCGTTTAGGAGTGGTAGATAGAATCTTGTCACTCTGTATCTGCTGCTCTGGATGGAAACATTTGATGGAAGCGGTTCGTTTGTAGTGACACATCTCTATTATAAGCTTCTATTTTGCTGAACGCTAGATGTATCTCCTATCATCGAGGCGGCAATCTAAGCTTAGTAGCGGGTTCGACAACTACCCATATCACCACAGGCTCTGGGTTTCTCAGCCGAACCCTGTATCCCCAAGGTCCTATTCGACGCGAGTGTTGTAGCCAATGCGGCGATGGGATCTCGCATCTAGCTGTTAACCTAATCGTTGCCTGCCATGTGTAAGATAAATTGACAGTAGGTGGCCTTGTTCTTGGCCCCGAAATGCCGGCACCTTTATGACAATCGTGTTGGAGCTTTGGGGGCAATTCACTCTTCGCTCCCTTCGTCCACAATCCTGGCGCGCAGTATCTTGACCTCGTCCATCGGCCGGTCTTCGTTGTTTGTTTTCACAAGCCCCATGCGCTGGATTATCCTCATCCCACTCTTTACGCGACCGAATATTGTGTGTTTCCCGTCGAGCCAAGGAGTCGGCGCCAATGTGACAAAAAACTGACTTCCATTGGTATTGGGTCCGCTATTTGCCATGCTCAATATCCCGGCTCCAGTATGTTTCAGGTCTGAGCGAATCTCGTCTTCAAATTTCTCGCCGTAGATAGAACTTCCTCCTCTCCCAGTGCCGGTAGGGTCACCAGTCTGGACCATGAAATTCGGTATGATGCGGTGGAATATGACATTGTTATAGTAACCGCGCTGTGCGAGCGTCGCGAAATTTTTGCATGTCTATGGTGATTACCAAGGTTAGTAACTTGCGCGTTGAACGCTGAGTGTTGCGGTGGATAGTTGCGACTGACCTTGGGAGCATGCGAGTTGTAGAGCTCGACAGTAAATGAGCCCTGCAGAAGGTTAGAGTCTATACAATATATCTAAGCAACAGCCTCTTACCATGCTCGTATCAAATGTCACGTCTGTCGCCATGATAGAGGATGTTATCGTCAGTTGTATGTGCCGGGGGGTTGCGGTTGAGTTTGACCACCGAGGCGGAAGCAAGAAGGCAGTACCTAGTCTTGGCATCAAATGTTGTTGCTACTGGACATGGACGCAATGCGACTTTTTCGTTTTCTCAACAAACACCCGCAACTTCAGGAATCCCACATTAACCAACCAATACAATAGAGTCTATTTCTCGAGACTTTAACCCGCTCGCCTGGGCTCGTCTGTCTAACAATCTGCTCTGTAATACGACCAAACTGCCAACGTATTATGGCTGAGGTCAGTCCACTCGCAGAGCTCCTGGGGCAGGCGCTGTACCAATTTACACTCATGAAACCGATGTTGCCAACTTACGGCCATGTGATTGCGTCAGCGCTGTTTCTGATATATATCGGAGCTCATGCCTCACTCTCGAGGCCAAATTCGGCTGCCAAACCTCCTAAATCTGACAAAGATGCCCAGAGCGAGTCAGAGGATGAGGAAGAAGAGGAAGAATGCCAAAATGACGACAATATAAAGGAAGGTCTCTCTCCGGGCGATGCTATAATGTTCCCTTTGACCGCTGGTGCTACCCTTGGTGGCCTATATCTGATCATCAAATGGAAGGGAGCTGAACTCTTGAACAAAATACTCGGGTTTTATTTCTCTCAAATAGGTATTTTTTTCGCCATGGCTTTTGTGAAAGATGCTCTCTCAGTTTTGAGGTCTTTTGTCTTTCCGCGCAAGTATACATCCGGTGGGCGGACTTGGAAACCTAGACCGTCTGAACGCATCTTCTCAGCCCCGACCAGCTCAGATGCTTCACTGGCAAATGGCGTACGGCAGTCTCCTTTACCAGGGGTATTCGGCTCAATTCCATTACCTTTATTTGTTCTGAAGGGACTTTGGGCCTGCCGCGCGGCCCTCTATTGGCGTGCGAAGCTTCGTGTCCACATACATCGCATCCTCCATTTCGAGTCCTCATTGAGCGCCATGGATATCCTAAGTGGCATTTTGTCTTTACCTGCAGTGGCCTATTTCGCGTTTATTTCGAAACCATGGTGGTTAACCAACTTTCTCGGATTCTCTTTCTGCTATGGTAGTTTGCAGTTGATGTCACCATCGACCTTCGTCACCGGCTCTCTCATTCTGGGCTCGCTTTTCTTCTACGATATATACTTTGTTTACTTCACCCCTTTGATGGTCACAGTTGCAACGAAGCTCGATGTTCCAGTCAAACTCTTGTTCCCTCGTCCGTCAGATCCTACTGACCCTGCCGGTGCTGTTTCTCTGTCGATGTTGGGATTAGGTGACATTGTCATCCCCGGCATGATGATGGGACTGGCCTTACGATTCGATCTATATCTTTACTACAAGGCGAAGGGCGCCCTGAAATCACGGTTAGAGAGCGAAGACTCAGGGGTCATCAAACCGACCTATCAATCAGCCACAGGAGGATGGGGAGAGCGCTTCTGGGCACCAGAAACCCGTTCAAGCGAATCAGAATTGGAACCCCCCTATCGCGACGCCCGCTCCTTTCCTAAGACGTACTTCAAGGCCAGCATTGTTGGGTACTCGTTTGGAATGACTTCAACTCTTGCTGTTATGCAAATTTTTAACCACGCACAGCCGGCTCTCTTATACCTGGTCCCAGGAGTAGTAATCTCATTATGGGGCACTGCCTTGGTTAAAGGTCAAATTCGCGAGATGTGGGAATTTGATGATGCCGAAGATGAAGATGAAGACGCGAACAAGAAGAATAGCGAAAGCCGGGAGTCATCTTCAGACCACAGCCGGGGACTCTTCGCTCGCATATTTTCCAGCTCCGATAACGGCAACGGGTCCAAGAATTCTGACGAAGTCTCTGACAAAAAGGATAACACCTCAGAGACCCCAGAGGGAAAAGCTGGTAAGACCGAGGAGAAATCCGAAACCAATGACAAGGAAAAGCCGCAGTCGGATGACAAAAGTGAAAACGCCAAGACGCTGGATCTATTTTCAGTCTCAATATACGTCCCTCGCAAGGCAGGATCACAGAACCCCGAATCTAAAGGGGGCACTGCTGAATCTGTTCCCGATGATGAACACTGTTACGTTGGCGTTGGTAAACAGGACAACGAGCCCCCTACCAAAAGGCGACGTCGGAGTCCTAGGATAGCAGCATCACCTGATAAATAATCAGCCTTGCGTGTGACGCAGTTTGGACAGCAAAGAATGGCGTTTGACGATCTTTACTGGGGGTTCTCAGCAAATCATTGTGTGCGAATGTGCAAGTGAGTTTTGATGTGTATATTATGATAGTATTGACCATATTGAATGTGAAAATGCTGTAAATATTGTATTTTCTATATTTTTAACATCGCCCAAGAATCTGGTTGATATCCTCCCACCTCCGAGCCGATATGTCCACTAATGTCTTCAACTCTTTCCTATCAACCGAGAGCCCGCCGTTCTTTTCCATCTTTACGATGGTAACCTTGCCATTTTCCGGGTCTTTATCAACAACAAAACTGACTCTTTCAGTAGCTAACCCTTCCTCGTAACCGTCAGGGTCAGCCAAGACCCATCTCCTTTGAATACCTTTCCTGTCACTCTCCACTAATTTCCTCTCCTCTTCAGCGTCGGGGATGATAACTGCTCTCCAACCAGCCGCAGCATCTGCCTCGAAGACACCAAAGGAGCTAGCAACGGGTAGACCCCGCAGCGATAGCTTGCGAGCTTCCGAAACAAGATCCGAACACGCCACCGTTTCATTATCAACATCCCACCATGCGCGCGGCAGTTTCGTATCACGGAGAGCGGCCAGAACAGCAGTCCAAGCTGCGTCGAATGGGTTCCCTGCTAGGGAAATAATCATGACATCTATGTAGAGGACCCAGAACGCCTTAATCTCACGCGCCTGCAGAGTATCCTCGCCCGGCTGCTTTTCAACGTCCACGTCCATCTGTTCGTCCTCGTTATGACGCTCCAGATCTTCTGGACCTAGATTTGGTCGATCATACCATATTTGCAGATCCTCGGAGCGGACTAGGCGGGAGCTGTGCAATAATGAGAGAATCTGATGCGATAGAGACTGAGTTAGAGCGGCAGGAGGTGCGCCAGGTGTGAATCCTGGCGCGCATCCAGTGCTCAAAGAGAGGTTGGGCACGAGTAAACTAAAGTCTTCGATGTACGAGTTCTCCTCCTCTTCGTCTTCCTTTGACCCATCTTCGCGATCTTCACCAGGTTTATCAGCCGGATTTGTCAATTTCCGTCGTTTGTTTGAGCCGGAGAACGACGAGTGCGAGACACTCCATGAGGCAATATCTTCCGTGTGTAGGATCTCCGCTTTCACACCGCACACGGCAGTAGTGTCGCCGAGTCGCACCACGGCGCTTCCATTTGTGTGTGTTAGTGAGCCTGTATTTGCAGATGTGACGCGGAACTGTGAAGGAGCGCGACCATTGGCTCGAATTGAAGGCTGTTGGCTCGATGCGGGGGGTGAAAGGTGGGCGAGAAGGTAGGCATGTGGTTGAAGTCGGGCAAACTGGGAGGGCGGAAGCGCGAGAGATGGCGGCGCGGACTGTGGTGCTGATGCTGCAGTGGTAGATGTCATCCTGTTAAAAGGGGTTTGATCCTGCTTTCCCAATACTCCGCTCAAGGTCAGTCGATTAGTATTTTTGGCGGTTGACAGAATATAAAGAAAATCGATTTTATGCGGCAGAATAATGTCATGTACCAAGGCGGTGAGGATGATATACAACAGGGACCGGCACAAAGAACGGCCGCCGAACTGCATAAACCATCTGATCCAGATCTACACCCACAGGTCAATGATGTACCGTGGTCTGCTTTGAGCCATGAACAAGGAGTTTTACTTGATCTGGTCTAGCTATTAATTGGAACATTTGGCTCACGACGTCGAGTCAGGTATTCTACTCATTTGGTAGCCGAATTCAGAACTCGCACATATTTGCTTCGCAACACTTTTGATTGTCTCTGGAAAGGCTCGACGAAATCCCACTTCTACAAACTGTTGAATTTGACAGGGTCCGATCCAAATATTAATACGGGCTCACTATGAAAGTCAATTCGTCTGCGTTGGAAAGTGAAGCTTTGAACTTTGAAGGCTGAAGAGGCACGCGAGTACAGGTCACCATGATGTGGAGGGAATCATTTGGGTTCCACTGACAAGTGCTCTCCAGAATTGACCATACTGGATTTGTTAATTTCTGACGAGTGCAGAACTCATTTTAAATTTTATGGTTCCAGCAAATCTATATATAAATACGAGAAGGTGTCGATCCGTCGAACCCCGAGATACCTCCTTGTCTCCTGTTCATGGGATGGCAACAAACCAAACAGAACGAGATGTCTATTTTGTGTTACCAGCTTCTTGTAACTATATCACTGCTAGTTTGATTTGTGGTATTCAGTGGTACCTGTTCACGTCTCATGTTCCATAAGATATTGCATAGCACCCCGGCACTCCGTGGAGCAACGGTTAGTTAGTTCATCTGCGAACCACTCTTTCTCCCAACTTCTTTCCCCTACCCGACTCCCAAAGACTTTTATTCCAAGATCACCATGACGCCCGCCCTCCAAAAAGGCATATGGCCGATGTTAGTGGCCTGACTAAGTGGAGGATTCCAAATTGTCCCTCCCAAGTCCCAACGAGTGGGTATTGATTTCCCTATTCCCCTCGTGTCGGTGCATCAAGATGCTTCCGTCGCCTTGTGAGCCGTGTTCGATGTTATGCGAGTGGCGTTCTGTTGACCCTTAGCCTCGTATTAGCCCACTGAAATGATGTGCTTGGACACTATCGAAACTGAGTATCATTCCTCCCCCTCCTGGCCATCAGGGCGCCAGAGGCCCTTATCTGTGCTATTTTAATAGAATATCGCTATTATTCTTTTCACTTCACGTGTTGTGCATCGAAGAAGGATTCCTTGGCACGCGTGTGAGTGCTCATATGTATGCAGTGTCTGCTCATGCTCCAGAAGTGACAGCCAGGAGCACATAGAGGGAATGACAAACTATGATGGTCGCGTTTGGCGAAGGTCGACAGAGAAGTTGGGAACTGTCCATCAACGCTGCCTTGAACGATACTTCTGCGCCCTCGAGCTTGGGACCTTCGACTGAAATCGATGTTATCTCTCCATTAACACCTATCGTTCGTCGTGAACCGTTTCCCACACCAGGCACGTATGGTACAACAGCTCGCCAGAGGGAAGACAGTTTCTCGAAAACAGTCAGCGATATCTCTCCTCTAGACCCCAGCGAATCGTGGAATGATGGGCTCTGGAGCGACGCTACAACTGCTGGTGCGGTGCTTTCTCTGCTTCATAAGGAACCACCGGAATCGCTATCCAGAAATGCGCCCATCGGCCAGCAAACTCGACGCATCTCACGCATAACATGCTCCGTGTGTCTTGAGGCCTTCGAACCCGGTCATTATCCAGAAACACCGATAGCTGCTGGGTGTGACCATACATCGATATCTGGTACGCATCTGTGTACCATCTGTTTGAGCCGCAGTCTGGACGCACAGTTCTCCATATCACGATCAGCGTCATTGGCCTGCCCCCTTTGCCATGCACAACTATCTGACGAAGAGGTCGAACGGTGGGCTAGCACGCCAACATTTCTTGCTTATGATATGGCTCGGACCTGGCGGATACTGGAGCAGGATGTGGAATTTGTCATGTGTATCAACCCAAACTGTAGCTCTGGACAGCTACATGCTGGTGGGTTGGGGAATCCTGTCGTCGTCTGTCGGGCATGTGGTACGCGGACGTGCTTTAACCATCGGACTGCTCCCTGGCACGACGGCTTGACGTGTGCAGAGTACGAGGCAGCTGACTATCAGAGTGCAATTAACGACAATCGGATAACAAGGCCACTGGGCGTACAAAGATTCGAACATGCAAGACAAGGTCAACCCGTATCTGACGAGTTTTTATGTCAAAGGACCATACAGGAAACTACTCGTGCGTGTCCCGAATGTCACGCCGCCACGGAAAGGGCAGGTGGTTGCAAACACATGCGATGTATGTATTCTCTTCCTGAAAAAACGATCAGCATCTTCTGCAAATGGAGTATTAATTTCTCAATAGGCGGACTGTGTCTGCGGGAATGGTGCTGGGACTGTGGTATCTATTGGCAACAAGGGCATCTCGGCGTTGATTGTTTTGCACCGTATAGTTAGCGAATGAGCAATGATAGCGACTCGGTTTTTAGACAGATGGCGATTTGAGCGAAGCACTTCAGTTTAAAGTATGGATGGAAAAAAGCCCATAATTTTTTTCACTGGAATTACAATAATCTTTTTGGGTATGAACCTGAAGGTTACCATGACTATACAAGTGGACGCGGCAAGGGGGCATTTGCGCATATATCAGTGGTATGTCCAATGGGTATACGGTGAATCTAGAATCTCTAGACATTTAGTAGGACCTGTATCTGTACTGGGCTGTGGCTAGGGCTTCCCTTTCCTGGTCTGGTGAAGTCAGGTGATAGAAAGGGCTGACTCGACCAGCCTCTGGTTCAGGCAAAAGCTCTCAGTGATTCTTCCCAATCATGCATCACCTCCCGGAACTCGGAACGGGTTTCGCGGTGAAAGTGCAATGAAATCAACTCCTCGAATCAACAATCTCGAAGATGCTGCATCGCTCAACACTCACAAATCATTGCACCCGTTTCAAGCAGGGGACTGCCCATCCCACAGAGGGAGCGAGTAAGAGAGTCGGGCTTGCCGCCGACCCAAGGAGCAACCGCCAATCACGCCGCCATGACGGTTTCTGAGAGTGACGAGCGCCCAGACTGGCGCATTAGTGGGGGATCGAGCTGCAGATTGGCACGCCCACGACGATCTGTGGTTGGCTGCGGCCCGAGCAGGAACCCGTGCAACCAATCTGTTCCTCGCCGCTGGAGATCTCCCTCCTGCCAAATGCAAGCATAACTCTTCCCAGAGGGTCAACGAGGCGTTGCGCCGAACTGTGTGCTCCCCGCATGAGCAATGTGACAACCAATCAGTCCCTATCGATTCGACCCTGCCACAGAGTTCATCATGGCTGGCGCCGAGGGTGCTGAGGGTAAGCTCAGAGGTCGGCTGGCTTTCCCCTCCTCTGGCCATGCGGCCTTTTCAACTCTCGGCCTCCCACAGGAGTTATGGTTCTTTGATTCATTCCTCCTAAGCCGATCATATCCAATTTCTCTTGTACATACATATAGGGCCCCGACCACGGTTTGAGACCAAGAATCTTACATGCTTGTCAAGAGCTCCAGGCAGTTAAAGTGATATGGTCGCCAACCGAAGCTCGACTCAATGGTTTGAGTGAGACACGGGAAACAAACGACGAACAATATTTGGTCATTACTCTAATATTTAGCTCCGAAGCTGGCCCTCCGGAGCGCATTCTTCAGTTGGTATCTCGCTGACGTCGAAACACCAAACGACGGAATTCGTGGTTTCGAGACACTACGTCGGATCATGTCCTCTTGGGATAAAGTTGCTTCCCTGGTGAAGCGCATTAAATTCCCTACCAACGCCCCCTATGATGATGCGATACTCGCTGAACGCCAACGGGACTCATGGACCGAAGCTGGGAGGTATGGAAGAGGCTGGATATATTTCTCCCTCGTGCTGCTAGCTGTGACGACGATATTTCGATTTTACCATACATGGAGTGACCGGATTAGAATCGCTGTACACAAGGAGAAACCGCAGGCAGGTTTCCAATCGCCTCAGGATGAATACGAGCTCCCAAGCGCCGCTACCGATAGCTCGACTACACTTTTTTTCCCGCCTCCAGATACTGTCCACAATAAGAAGCGGCAGGAGTCGCCTACTTCAACCGTTTCTCCACTGAACAAAGGCATCGCGCTCGCGCGCTGGGTTTTTTATCGATCGCTTCCAGAGATTCGAGTAGGGAGATACCGGATTATTTTCCCATCGCTTGGTTCTTCGGTGATCATCCTTGCGGCATTGATATTTGTTACGTTATATACCTTCATCCCGCAGCCCTTCTACTATTCGACTATCAGGGTTGGATCTCCACCCCTGGCTATCCGCGCGGGAATGCTAGCAGTCGCAATGATTCCCTGGATTGTGGCCATGAGTACAAGAGCGAACCTTATCAGTATGTTGACTGGCATCGGCCATGAGAGATTGAATGTCCTTCATCGCTGGGCTGGCTATATTTGCCTATTCCTGAGCTTGATCCATACAATCCCTTTTTACATCACTCCTGTCTGGGAAGATGGACTTGCCCTGTCAGTATACCAAATGTATCTCCAGCCACGGAACATGTACGTTTATGGAACTGGGGTGGCGGCACTCGTGCCTCTTGCATTTCTGTGTGTTCACTCACTACCAATTGTGAGGGACTGGATGTATGAGTTATTCTTGAAAGTTCACCTCCCTGTGTCCATCATCTTCATCGCCATGCTTTTCTGGCACACGAATAACTTTTTATCCTCCTGGGCTTACTTGTGGTCCACGATTGCAATTTTCCTCCTTTCTTATGTTATGAGGTTATTTTACCTCAACTGGACCAATCCCCTACGATTATCGTTCATGATCGGAGAAGATTCCGCGGTCACTATTTTACCACAGAACGCCATAAAAGTTACGGTTCCAACCCAGGTGAGGTGGAGTCCTGGACAGTACGTGTACCTACGTATGCCTGGAGTTGCGTTCTTTCAGAACCATCCTTTCACCATCGCCTCTCTTTGCAGCGGTGATTTGCCGTCCGCATATGGCGAGGAATATCGCGACCTGGCTCTTGTATTTAGGCCTTTTCGTGGTTTCACGAGGAGTGTGTTGCGCAAAAGTGCTGAATATGGTCCGTTCAAGACATGGACTGCCTTCCTTGAAGGGCCTTATGGTGGTATGCGGCGACAGATGGCAAGTTTCGACGACGTGATCTTCTTTGCCGGTGGCAGCGGCATCACGGCAATTGCTAGCCACTTGCTCGATCTGATTAAGAAGATGCGTGAGGGTAAGGCTGTCACGAGATCAGTTCGAGTTATCTGGGCCTTGAGAGATCCAGAGTCCATTGACTGGTTCAAAGAAGAGCTGCGTATCTGCAGAGATCACGCGCCTCTCAATACAGTGCACTGTTATTTCTTCCTGACAGGGGCCAAGGATGACCATGGAAACCCATTTCAGGTGCAAGACCAACAACTCTACCGCGACATGGTGCAGGAGAAGATCTACGATACGCTACAGGATATCGAGAAGCGCAGCTCAGCATACATCCGCGAGGAAGCTGCCGGAGACGAGGAGCGAGAGAAAGAATTACGTAGAGAAAATGAAGACACCCTCACTGCCCTCCCACGCGCGTACACCGCGAACTTGCCGCGATCTTCAAACTACCAACCCCCTATGCAGAACACCGGTTTTTCGCCATACCAATCTCCGTACCAAAGCCCTCACCAAACACCATATCAGTCTCCCTACCAGTCCCAACAACCTGAATTCCAGCAATACATACACCAGCCCCAGCAATTCGCCTCTATATCACCTGAAACTCCTACGAACGTCCCCTTCGACTTTGGCTTTGGTCAGAATCCAACCCAGTTCCAACAGCAGATGCCAACGAAAGAGCAGCCGCAACTCACAATTCAAACCACCCCATCCGCCCCCGCTCGACCAAACCCACGTTTCGCATCTCTACCTCTGCAAAAACGCAACGGATGGAAAATCGAGTACATGCGCCCAGACGTCCCTAAGATGCTCAACGAATTCTCCAAGACATTTAGTCGTCGGACTTGTGTCTATGTCTGCGGCCCTCCGAGTTTGCGAATGGAGGTTTCGGATGCGGTTGCAAGATTGCAGTCTTTGGTTCTCACGGATTCTTCCAAGGATGAGATATTCCTGCACGCTGAGAACTACAATATATAAACAAAACTGACCTATCTCTACTTGACGCTACATATGCTCTTTATCGTCTCTTGTCCGCTTTACATTTTTATTGGGAGCTTGATACCATGGTGTTTGGGGTTTGATTACTTGGTTCGTTCTTCGATTTCGAAGGTTTACTGGTGATAATATGGCTAGTAATGTAGATGTGAGAGAAATGACCAGTTATATATTTAACATCTTATATTTCACATTACGCATTCGAGTGTGACATTGTAAACTATAAATAAAATGCAAGAGTGCTCTAAATAAAGGGGGCCTGATAAACAATAAGGGTATCCTAAACGACAAAATGCAAAGAAAATGGAGAGAGTACAAAGGCGAGGTCATCAATAGAAGATAGCGGAGAGACGTCACATCCAGTAGGTGTATAAAATGAGCTAATGCTTCTGCGGCTCTTCATCGGCCTTTCGCTTCCTCCTTGCGGATTCATTTACACCTAAGAGTGTAGACTCTGTAAACGACTGCACTCCGAGCTCTTCGGGTTCGAGTTCGTCCTCCGCCTCGACCTTTTCCCAGTCATCATCTGCGTCCGGGGAGGCCTTTCTTCCAGTCTCCGTCTGCACCGCTGGGAGCTCTGCAAGGATTTCGGTGGCCTGATTGTCACTGGTGTGGCCCCACTGGAGCTCTAATTTGACAATCCGCGCGCCCGAAGGCTTCAGACGGCGATAGTAATTTTCGACTACCCCTTCCTCCACCAGAAACCCACGTGAAATGTACCACTTGAGGCCGTCCTCGTTTGCCTCGTGTACATGGGCCGTGACAGAGCGGATGTTGTAATGTTTCACAAGGTCTGACAATTCGTACCTCGAATTGGAGGTCGGGCTGGGGCTAGGAGGAGACGAGAATAAAAGCGAATTGAGCAGAGAAGCTGCCACTCCGTAGCCACGATACGGAGAGAGTAGGTGTAGTGTCTGGATGTACAGGTTTGTCGGTTCCTGCCCGTTGTCTGATTGCGAAGGAGCTTCAGAAGTGCCTGGGGTGAGTCGCTCCAGTCGACACCGGATACCGCCAATCACTTTGTCAGTTCCTGATGTAGGCGATTGGGTGGGCGCCGACGGCGGCGCGACGGCCACGGGGTGATCATGGTATACGGCCACGCGCGAGACGGATGCGATCACGGGATCCGTGACAGTAGCGGTGTAGAAAGAATTCGGGTAGCGGATTGGCAAGAGTAGGCCAGTAATGCGAGATAGCGATTGGATGTGAGCCGTGTTCACTGGTTCTACTGTGACATGCTCGTGCGGAGTAGAATAGCCAGGCTGAATGGGATGAGGATATGGCGGGGGTTGGAATGAAGGGTCTTTAGAGGTTGGCGGTTTCAGTTTTGCGGCTATATTGATGGCCGAGGGCACTGGCGGCGCCGGAGGCGGAGAAGCAACCATTGGTGGAGGGTACTTTGGAGGCTTGCTATGAATGCTCCGCGATGATGACGGGGATGAGGAGTGCTGGGGGAGCGGGGGAGAAGTGGAGGAGGGCCGCTTAGCTTGATGGGCTTTGGCAAAGAACTGGTATGCCATAACAGAAGTGACCCGCTCAGGAGTCAGTAAACTAGGTGGTATTTTGGTATTCGAGCAAATCTAACAGATAAAGCGAGAGAATAGGGTAACGACAGAAGACGCGACTACAAATCCGGTGGGACAAGTCAGGCAGCGGAGGAGCGCGGAGGACGCGACGAAGGCGGAGATGGCGATAAGATAAGATCGGGCGGCAGAATGAATAAGGTGGAAACCCAAGGCCAACACAGTCAGCGGCTCTTGACCACTTCTTCGGCTCACGACTGCCCTTCAGCAGCACAGTCCCAAAGCGCCTTCCAATCCGGATATCATTCTTCTTGGGGTATCTGCTCTACATGTGGACTGTTTCTTATACATATATACAATAAAGCCATATTTTGTGGTTGATTGGTGTGGACAGGTAAGCTTCGGTGGTGCTGTTGTCATGCGAACATTAACACACTCACTCCCTTGGGCTGCGTCTTTAGTGTTACTGACCCTAATAGTCTCCACCATTCAAAAATCTATAGATGAATGGGCTATAATCAGTGCTATTTCTTTGTGTATTCGTCGCGCCGGCGCCTCCCCATTGATTCCCGACGCTCCTTTGTCCCTTTTCCGGCATACGCTCCAACTGCGATCATATAACACCTAGTTGTGTCCTCATCCCCATCGTCACAATTCTTCCGATATCTGGAGGCATTGATTTTATGCTTCCTTCTTTCCGCTTCGATCCATCTACTTGCACGCTGTACATGGAGCTACGACTCTGAGTTCGGGATTTCTTTGCAGCTGGTCTCCCGCTTGTTACCCTGTTCTCCAGTGCTAGGGTTTTAGAGATACTTTCGGAAGTTGAATACAGAGGTTAGTTTGATTATGCGCTGCTCTACGGCTCTAGCGTGTGTCGGAGTCTCGCCCCTTGGTTCTGGTACTTCATAGACAAGCACTACCAGCCTTGACATATGAATTTTTTAGCCTATATACCAGCCGAGTTTCCTTAAACAAAGCCTTTCCATTGGATGCTTAAGAAAATGCTCAAATGCTAACATCTTGTGTATCTAGAAGAGTTTCAGCCATGAGCGAACAAAACGGCACAGACGGGCAAAGCGCCTTCCCATCCGGAACGATTGCGAAATTGGTAAGCTTGATATTATTATACCACTATGTTAAACACTGCGCTGATTGTCTAGACTTGCGACGTTTTGAATGATACTTTCTATAATATCATTCACGACATTGTTGCGAAGGCCCATCGTGAAGAAAAGGTGGCTCGGATGCGCTCTGCGGTTGTTGTTGCAAGGCAGAAAGGCGAAGAAGAAGCAGCCAGACGTCGCGAAGAAGCTGGAACCAAACCTGCTGTTCCAGCGAAACCAGGCGATCAGGACCCGGAAGAGTTCAAGGACATTCGCATTGAGACCGATGCAGCAGTTTTTGATGAAGGCAAGGTCTACCTCAAGGGAAACCCACTTCATACAACGAAAGAGATTATTTGTCCTGATTGTCGATTACCTCGTCTTTTATACCCAGTGACTGGGGTAGGAGCCCGACCTCCACCAGATCCCTACAGGGAGTATTGCCAAAAGCAACCGATGATTAACAAACCTGGTCATGACGTCCATGGAAACCCATTTGCGACTGACAAGCTGAATCCGAAGAAAAAGAAGCAGACGAACACGTCAAATACACCAGCATCGAGTCCTCCCACGACACCCGATAGCTCTTTCAAGCAAGCGGCGCCGGAGAAAGTGTCATTTCCGACAGTGAAATGCCCAAATTGCCCGCGTTACTTCGTTGTTACACGGGTTGCGCAGCATTTGGATAGATGCCTGGGTCTTTCTGGCAGACAAGTCAACAGGAACAAAACGCCACAGGACAATGGTACCAGCACCCCGACTTCCGTTCCGGCAAAGCGACCTTTAGATGACGATACCCCCACAACACTGCCAAAGAAGAAAAAGCTGGGTGCTCCGAAGAAGTTATCTGGGAAGAAGCCACCGCCCCCTTCGAAGTTAAAGAACGGTATCACGCCTGATATGGCATCTTCTGGAGACAGCGAAATCAAGACTGAAACAAACGGAGATGCATAATTGCTATTCTCTGAAACTCCCTTCCCTTTCGGACATACAGGTGTGTCTGTATGGGGGCGAACATATTATCTCCTAACTTAATGATCTCGACGTACATATTTTCCGGCATCGCAGGCGTCAACGGGACTGCACATCATGTCTAAAAGTCTGGACATCATGACGTGACATTTACATTTCCTTGCTTCTTCAGGCTTTATGGGTCTTTTGTTTTTGTTTTTGGGAATAGACGATTATGTGGTTGAACGAATGTACAATAGCCTGAATGATGGATTTCAGGTTCAGAGTCTGCAGTGCTTGTATAATCATGGAACTGGAAGGTTGCTTTTCGACCATGCCACCATGCCGTTGATTTCGGTCTCTGTGTGTCTGTAGCTTCCTATAAATAAAGACCCAGGATTCTTGAAGATTATCCGGGCCACTAATGCTTCCTATAACTTAGAGAGTTAGGTTCATATCCTCCGTAACATTCTTATTTAGGCCAACCAGTTGGATGGTACACTAAGTTTGCCTGAGAACCAAGGCAAACATTCGTATATCCGCATCACTATGATTCATGTCAAGTTACTGTTCTCTCCTCCGCTTTTTCTTATTTGGAACCACGTTAAATAATCTCTACATTTTTTCTTTCCTAATGTTATGATCCAAAAAGCTCCAACAGCTCGCTTTAACTCCACGCGTCATGAATATCTCCCCCTTTGTCCCGCGGCTTGCCAAAATCCTGCCCCTCGACTCCGACTCCCTAACCCAGATTCTCACCTACGCCGCCGACCTCTCTAAGGAAGAAGCCGCCGACCACCTCAAAAACCTCCTGGGTGACTCACCCGCCGCGTTTGAATTCATATCAGCGTTCAACTCGCACCGGGATGAGCGTCAACAACAATCCACCACACCGTCGCATCCCTCACCGTCTCAGACACCAAGTTCCGGAGCGGGCTCTACAAGGAAAAATAAGAAGAGCAAACCACCGCTACATAGTGCGGGGCCTCCACGGAGACCCGAGAATTTCGGAAATGTCGCGGGGGGCTACAAGAAAGCCGATTTGGATGAGGATTATATGTCATCAAGAAGCCGGGCGCTAGATGTTGGCTCGAGCTCGAGTTTGAAGATACCCTCGCACCATGGATCAGCAACAACGTCAAGAAATCAGTCGCCTACTCCCCCAGTAGGGGGAGGGGGGTCGAAAGCCCCGCCCTCTGCAGCTGGACCTGTGTTATCAGATCTCCTTCCAAATGTGAAATCCAAGTCGGCAAAGCCTTCGAGGGCTGGGGGAAGCGGAGGGTCTGGGACGGCGACACCGAAAGGATCATTGACTACGAACAACATTTCAGATTTAACGGCTGCGATTGCTGCGCTGGAAGTATCTACGAACCCATCGCTAGGTGGCGAGAAGAGGAAATGTACATGCTACGGGACGCTACATCCCGTATTTGACGCGGCCCCGAACTGCTTGAGCTGTGGGAAGATAATCTGTTCGCTGGAGGGGCTACAACCTTGTTCGTTTTGCGGGACGCCGTTGCTGTCTAACGATGAGATTCAAAGCATGATTCGTGAGTTGCGGGCGGAGCGGGGGCAAGAGAAAATGCGCGCGCATAACGATAGCCTTCACCATGAGGGCGGCCCTGGAGTGACTAGTTCCAGCCCATCGCAATCGTCTAGTAAGTTGGATGCTGCGAGGGCGCACAGGGACAAGCTTTTGCAGTTTCAAGCGCAGAATGCAAAGAGAACACGCGTGGTCGATGAGGCCGCGGACTTTGATACACCTAACGTTTCCTCTACGATGTGGATGACACCGTCACAGCGAGCGCTGGCGCTCAAGAAGCAACAGCGAATTATGCGCGAGATGGAGGAGAAAGCACGACCGGAGTGGGAGAAGAAGAAGACGATTATGAGTTTGGATATCAAGGGCGGTCGCGTCAGAAAGGTGTATCAGGCTGCGCCAACTGAGACTACTTCCGCCGCAGCGGAGGACGAGGAAGCCGAGGATCTATCCTACGATGTTGGCCGCCAACGAAGCGGCGGTGAGGCATTTAGTCGCAATCCCCTGCTTGCGGCCGGTGGCCTGATGCGACCTGTTTGGAAAGCGCCTGAAGACAAGAAAGGCGAGCCTAAAGAGCGACAACAGACGTGGCGAAGAGTTCAAGATGACAAGGATGATAACGAGCAGTGGATTCTGGATGGAGGTTTGCACGGTTATACTGAATCAGAGACGTAGTAAATATAGACTGGGCACAAGACCTAGAACAAAAAACAAAATATTCCCACAATGTTGAAACAATTAAAAGGAATGGATGGCCAGTGTATACTCGGGCTGTTATAACAGAAGACGGACAAACAAGTCATGGTTGACAACGGCTACGCTACGGGCCCCTGAAAGTTTACCCAACCACGTCGCCGTTGGCATGTGGAATATGACGGTATACGCTGTAAAAGAAAAGCGGCTCTGGAGGGCTGAAATCTATATTCATGGCAATAAATGAAAATTTGTCTTGCCAAGTGCCAATGTTTTACTCCAGGTGAACTGTCGCTGAGGACACGTGAACACGGAATCCGTCCACCAGGCACTCTTCGCCCCTACCATTGAATGATGCTGGCAACTGCTCCATTCACAAACCCATGACTTTCAAGTCCCTAAACACTCCCTTCAGTGCTTACTTTGCGCCGCCTGGACTTATATGTCTGCTCAATGCATTCCCTCCTGACGCCATAACAATCATCCCCTATCCGCGACCATCATAATGACGCCCTACAACACCCTTCTAGCAATCACAGTCCAGAGCACCTTTCTCAATGCAATTTCCAATATACTGGCTCAGATTATAGACCAGTGGAAGAAAGATGTATGTTACCCTCCCAACACCCCCCTTCCCCTAGATACGACCCCCGTAGACTAGGTAGACCTTCTTTCCTCCCCCTTACTATAAAAACAAAACATCGCAAGTACAGCAAAGTAATCAGAGCCATTGGTATGTGCTATAGAAACCGTTCAGTCTGAACGTTCCCGCGTTCCTTCAGTTCATCACCTACGGTATTATCATTGTCCCCATCAACCACTGGTGGCAGCGTTGGTTGGAGGTAAGTATCTACCGTATTGGAACCCCCGTCAAAATTGATCTATTCCACGTTTCACTGACATGCTCATCACAGGTGACATTTCCGGGATTCTTATTCCAGGCAACGACGGATGCAGGCTCATCGTCATCATCATCTTCTAACCCGGGTGCACTGCCACTATCCACCATTCCCAATGAAAAAGGAGGACGGGAAGTTGTTGAGATCAAAGACAAGTTCATTCCACGGAGAGTGACAGCAATACCACCAACTGGAAAGCGCAGACGCCTTTACAATTTCGCCATGAAGTTCCTGCTAGACCAGACGGCCGGCGGGATTTTGAACATCGTTTTGTTTGTTGGGCTGATTAACCTGCTTAAAGGCGCGAGTTTGGAGAGAACTTGGGAGTTAGTTCTTGAGGTATGCCCGTCTATTGACTCCGTCATACCTTATCGCACTGCTGTTTCCTGGATGCTTGTTTCAATGGTGATCCTAACGAGAAAGCAGGATTTCAAGCCGATCATGATTGCCCGGCTGAAGTACCGACCTGTTGTATCGACACTGTTGTACACGATTATCCCTCTGGACCGACGGGTCGTATTTGGGAGTTTCACCGGAGTGCTTTGGGGGTGTTATCTGAGTCTGTATGCAGCTGTTTAGACGCATTGCAAGGTCGTGGAGTTGTTCTGGGCTTGGTGTTGCGTTGCAGCGTACCCTAAATTCCAGCCATGGCCATGTCATCAAGTTATAGATTAGCAGATTTCATTTGTGTTATGTATTTGGCTGGTTTCGGGCTTTGTTAGCTTATACGGGGTCTTCCTTGTTAGATAATAATCATTAATTTTGTCGGACGCCAACTCGGCTGGCCACTTACTTCTTGAGAATACAATCCATACAATCCCGCGTGGGAGGCGCAATTCATTGTTTTTGAGCGGTTTGAACTTATAGATTGCTAGATATGATAGAGATATTTACAGACAAATGCCACAAAAATTCATAATGATACATTTCCACTTTGCAATCCTGGCTGCTCTTTTGTTGGCGCTGGGGATAGGCAAGGAGCCCAGCTACTGCAGACCATGTACAGGGAAATCAGAAGCCTTCGCAGAGGCAGAAGATATGAGAAAGGCCAAGAGACATAAGTATGGACAAGAGAAAGAGAAAGAAGAAGAAAAGTCGTCACAGAATATCATGATTATTGCGAGGCTTTAATTCCCTCTTTGCTTGCGACGAGCGCAATCAGAGCCGCGCCAACTCCACTGCCGTCCTTGGAAATACCAATCCGTACCTTCTTCTCGCCGGCTGCACTGACCTCGGGGACTTCACGTAGAGCCTCCCTCATGTATCCCTCGAAGTTGGGGTAGTACTCGACCAGACTGCCATCAACACCGACATCTACCAGATCGTCGGTCTGCAGCTTTCCGGTGGAGATGAGGACGGCGGCTAGAGGGACGGCGCTGAGGCGAGCTGCACGCTTTCCAATGGCGTGAACCACGGTTTGAACGGCTTTGCAGTCGTCGTCGCTTGGGCGTTCAATCTTCAAGTGCTCCTTTAGTGCAGACTTGATCTGCTCATAGTTCTTGCTCTTATCCGCTTCGACTATACTGAGCAGGCTGGTGTCGATACCCCATTGTCGGTATAAAGAGGAGGACTCCGGGACAACGACATCTGATGTTGAACTGGTCTTGAAGAGGCCCAGCGTGTCGTTGTGATGCAGGTCAAGCAAGACCAGACGCAGAATCTCGCCCAGGAACATACCAGACACACGCTTTTCGAACATTTGAATACCGGGGTTGTTGCTATCGGCATCCAGCTGCTGATCATACTTGGTATTTGGCAAAACGCTCAGGTGGTTGTCGAAGCTACCCCATTCCGCATTGATGATCATCTCACCAGTTGACTTGTCATAGTCCGAGTGCTCAATATTGTCCATCTTGGTGATCCTGTCAAGTTTTTCGACATACGCACCGTTCGTGCCTGTTCCGAAGATGGCACCAAGGAAAGTTCCAGTTTCACCGGGAGACGTATATGAACGAGCCATCAGCGTACCAACGGTATCATTCACAAGCGCAGCCACGCGCACAGGGAGATTCAGCTCGTCAATGGCATCCTGGAGGAGCGCGCAAACGTCCTGGCCTACCGCGTCGGGGATATCGAAGCCCTTCGTCCACCGAATCAGGGTACCCTTGTTAATCCCCAGCTGGCGTACAGGAAAACTGAATGTAAATCCTAGATCGAACAAGTCCACCTCCTTGGCCTCTATCTTCCGCCGTAGATGAGCCTCGAAGTGCTCGTTGTGATGGATGCGCAGGAATGACTCGATCTGGCGCGCGAGGAAGAGGAAGAGTTCCTTTGATGATCCTGACGTCATCAATTCACGCGGGATCATAATTTTGGACTGCGTGAGAGAGAAGGTATTGTTGCCGTGCAAATCGATCGAGCACACTCGGAAGTTGGTGCCTCCCAAGTCGACGGCCAAGTACAAGCCCTGTTTTAACTAATGTCAGAGCCGCCCTGATCGTGCTCGTGAACCGATTCTCGTACCTTCTCGGTGCCATTGGGCACGGACGTCACGAACGTTGGAATTTGGCTTAAAGTGGTGCCTTCCTGGGAAAGTCCTTCGTCAACCTCTCTAATGTACTCCTTCACGCCTCGTTGCACTTCATTCGGCGAGTAGTCGAACTGGTTCGCGATGCGCCCAGCTTCTTGCACGAGGGCAGACATGATTTCGGGGGAGAACTAGACTGTAGCGGGTTCAGTAAAGAGGCCAGGCCAAATGGGAATAAAGGCAGATGAATCCTACCTGGGTGTAAGACTGCAGACGAGGTTTTGAAGCAAGGACGCGGCGATCTGTCGAAAGGGAAGGGAAGTAAGGAGGGGCAATGCGGAGGGGTTTCTGGGGAATGAGAAAAGTATGGCGGAGATATGAGGATAGCAGTAATAGATGCGGGAGGAGCGAAGAATATTAATTCCGAAGACGATAAAAGTGAAGTAAGATGGGGATATTAATTTCTGGATACGGAGGGGCCGATGAGGTCAGTTGTCAAATTGTCAAGGTGAAGTGGGTAACAAACTGTCTCTGTTTGCGGGAGCGCCGGCCGGCGGGGCTCCAGTCTGTTCTTCTGCGCGCGTCTTCGCCCGGCGCGGGCTATCATCGGCATCTCTGGGCATTGCGATATTTTGCTCGGGTTCTTTCGTAACCTCTTTACATCAAGTCCGTGTCCCGAGTGGTCTGCAGAAACAGTGAGATTATTGGCGGAGGCCAAAGCGAGTCCACGGCCTTCCATCTCTAATCCTCTGACGCTACGAAACACAGTGGGGATGGCTCGGGTTTTTGCTTCACCGGTGAGAAACAATGGTTAGAATTGGGGCAAGGGACGGAGACACGCGAAAATAAGACATGGATGCTTCTAGTGCGACCTGCAGGTTCAAGACGCCGGGAAGAGAGACATCCCATCGCTCGACCTGTGATCCAACTTCTCATCTCGGTCGACATAGCTGGCACTGGCATGCAGCCCGCTCGCTGCCTTGCACCTGATAAGGCCGTCGTGGCACATCCTGTAGTCTTTGAAGGTCACGCTCGTTTGTCAATTCCGTCTCGATTCTGGAGGAACCTCCGTAGTATTAATGCCTTGAAACGGCTTAGTCCTTGGTTTCTTGGAGCGCCACACTGTGACGCTATCCATCACTTGCCTGGAGGCCCACATTGCAATCTGTATGCCGCATTTGTGACCTTGGTGAAAAGCACACAATATAGAGCGACGAGGACCCTTCATAGCCTTTCTCCGCAAAGTTATACCCTCGAAAGGCCAAAACTGGCACCCTTTTGATTGGGGTTTCTAGGCTATCGAATTTGGGGGCCAAGTGACAAACCCCTTCAGTGCCTTTACGGAGAACCTTTACATCTTTTATGCTGGCTGTTTAAATCCCGTAATTCGTATACTTCAATTAGGGCCTCCAGTAGTAAGGGAGGACTGGAGGATGGTAGTTGGAGGTTTATCCGCCGCGACTTTGTATGCGTGCATCATCAACGGATTAATCGCAGATGTAACCTCAACGCAATTCAACTCCAAAGTACCCGACGCTTCAAGTAACATCTGCACCGTGTCCAAGGAATCTAGGTTCTTCGCGACAATTCCTTTCGTGTAGTTCCACCCAAGTATCAAAATATTCACTCGTATGATTTAGGGCTTCAGTGGTTGCTTCCATTGATTTGGTGCTTTTTACATGTTGATTAAACACTCTATCCAGACAACCTTAGTATAGACAGGTGAAGATTTGCATTGACTTATTCTGTTGTAGCATCGCAGACTTTATGTTGGAGGGCTAGGCTCTGGCGAAGATCTGGCTCGTTGGCATGTACTATACAACGCCCTGGTCTTCAGCGTCGCTTTACTACCATGTACGTACTGCTCGGATCGGCCCGACAGTGGTTGGACTATATCAAGCCTGACAACAGTCGCACCATCTGAAACAGTATTCGTCCACGACGGTTTTCTCTCCCCAGTTGGGATACAGGGCTCTCCTTTTATCTTTTCACTTCTGCGGCTGTCCTCAGTATAATCAGAATACCCGGAGCCCTTCATTGCATTCCAGATGCCTATTCAGCCAGGCGGCAGAGATCGTAATGTAGAGGTAGATCTCATCCATACATTATACAATCATGCAAAAGATCACAATTATGGCCAGAATGTTACCTATGTCTGCAATGGCAACTCTGTCAATCGATAGAATCCTTATGTAATCTGAACACAACAAGGGACTTATGTAATCAATGTACCTTGGCACGTGACCACCGCCGGCGGAAGTCGGCTGCAGTATCAACCTCCATTCCGGACGACGACCTTGAATAGCTCCCCAATTCACTCCTTACACACCATTGCGGCGCGCTGTCAGCGGACATATAAGGAGAACTTTTATATTTGGACAAGAGACTCCAAGTTTTCCTATAAACACAGCACATAATGGGCGCTGGCGGCTCGAAGCCCGAGGCCTCGGCCGGGTCAAAACACATTTTCGAGAGGTACGGACCACTACACTCAGACCACAATGGTCTCTATCGAGGGCCAATTAGATTGAAAGACATGTACTGGACTTGTTTTTCGTCCCAATGGCGCTTTCTCCGGGACAATTTTGGACTATCCCGAGAGATTTGAAACCTAAGAGCTAACCAGATAAAACGACTACAGCAATTCCCCAATCCAATTCTCCTCCAACCTCGTTGATGGCCTCCAATCCAACACCGAAGTACGTCACCCATAACAGCCCACAAGCGCGTCTAGACCCGAATGTGGTGGGAGGGAATGCAAGGTTCTAACGAAATCAACAGACCGACTCCGTCCGCGCCAAAACTCTCGAACTCGAAATCCAGGCCCGCGTCGCCAAAGAACTTGAGCGCCTCCGCGCTCGCGAACAACAAACCCTCGCTGAAGTCGAGAAGCGTCTTGCCGAGGCCAGGGACTCTGCTGGCGCCGCTACCTCCGCCGCACCCGTAACATCAAGCATCAGCAGCTACCCAGCCGGCTCACTAGATCTCGACGCGCCCCGGATCCCGTTTGCGGGCCGTGAATACACGCCTGTTGCGCCCGCTGCCGTCGAGACCGCCGTCCCCATTAACCGCGAGCTGACCCGGGAGTCTGTGAACTCGGAGATTGAGGAGCTGAGGCTGAAGCTTGAGGGTCGGAAGAAGCTGGCGGAGCTGGATGGAAGCGTTGCAAAGGCCCAGGCGGATGTGGCTAGTTGTTTGAGACTGAATGACCGACGGCCGCTGGATTGCTGGCAGGAGGTGCAGAATTTCAAAAGAGAGGTTGCGAAGCTTGAGGAGGGCTTTGTGGACCGGATTGTGGGTTGAATGTTTTTTTATGTGATGTGGTGTGCCCGAGCGATATCGCTGTGAGAACAGAGCGTCTTTGCCGAAAATAGAATTGTTGGATTTATCGGTCCTGTTCATTTATATTACTTGTATACCTACTGTTTACTTGAGGTCATATGATTTGCTTTACGCTTAATTTGCCGGAGCCACGGGCAGTGAGCCACAGACTGGGGGAGGGATTCTTCCTTGATAAGCAGCATACTGTTTATTCGTACATCTAATCTATGGGTATCATACCATTATACATCTCTTTCGAACTTGACTTGTTCATAATTCCAAACTCGAGCTGGGTTCAAACAAGCTCCCAGGAAGCCAATCGACCCACGGTCTCACCTGCATTTCTAACAATGCACATATTTCTTTCTTTGCTCTTTCGTTTAGGACCATTCGCTGTATCTCTTACTTTCGATACCAGTATCGAACCTATCCCTGTGCCCTTCCCTTCAGAGAGGTTAAAGTTTCCTGTCGTGACGAAGCCGATAAGGTCATCTTCCAAAGGCAGGGGCAGATGATCTTGGTGGCTGGAGGATTCAGTCCTTGACAAGAGGGATGCGGCGAGACGTTGTCGGGATACGTCGACATCGTCTGCATTCATATTTCGCTGGGGTTTTGAGACAACCTCGCCTGATGCCCCAGACCGTGGGCTCTTCGTCGCCAACAAAATCCATGTCTGCCGGAGGTCCGGGTTATTCGAAGGAAGTCGATAAATGCGTGCTCGTGGAATGGGATGGCCGCGAGAATGGAGAGTGAGCTTCACTGTCGCGAGAGCGGCCTCACTGGCCTCAGGTGAAGACTTGCCGTTGACGGCAAGATTTGCCTGGGGATATGGCAGTTGATGAATGTTCAATCGTGGTTCGGCTTCATCCTTCCGCGTCTCGGTTGATGCATCATCAGATTCTGATGCCTTTCCTTTCTCAGTAGTTGTGTCCTCCGTGGAGGGATCATTGCCAGATTTAACTAGTTTCTCCCAATCACACGCCCAGCCATGGCCGATTTCGCCCTTCTGGCCATTCCGTAGATCCAGCGAGTCGAATTCAACCCGCCGTCCTTTTGGCCGCCGTTCCCACTCCTTCTTGGCTGCTTCACGTTCTCGTAGGCCCCATTTCCAACCAGCACGGGTGCCCGGGAAATCACCAGGAAACCATGGCTCCCCTGCTTCGAAGGCGATCTGTTGCTGCTCTTTCAGTCCGCCAAACCTAGGGTTGCCTCCGCTCGAAAGAGGATAGTACATCAAAGAATACCATACCGGGGCCACACATTTCCATGGGAGAAGTACGGTCCAACTGCCGAGTGAATTGCTGCCCTTTTGTTGAGAGCTAGGCCTGTTTGCTAATACAAGGACCGGGATATGTGGATCAGAAGCTTGAGGGGGTGGATAAACTCCCAATCCTGCCTCGGTGCGTCGTCGGTTGATGGCCTTTTGGCTGGCCAGGTCGCGGCTAGCCGCTAATCGGTTGCGCCGATCAAATATTTCCGGTGGTGTTTGGTTTTTATCAGGAGGCCAGGTTGATAGCAATATAGCCAATTCCTGCATTCTCTGTTCGGTAAATGAAGGTTTGAGTTTTTGAGGAGGGAAGTGCAGACGGGGATCTGATATGGAGAACGAAAGGAGCGCATTTTGTGGCAGCGAGGAGGGATTCGTAACCCCCAGAAGATCACGCCATGTGACCTCTAAGCTGTCCGCTGAAGCATTTTTTCCCCCGTGGTCTAATGGGCGTAATGCTGCAATCAGCGCCTCGGTTGAAGCTGGTCCGGCAATGTCGATGCTGCCAATCTCGAATCGCAAATCTTCAACCATGACCGGTGGGCTTTGTTTCTTTGATAGCCCAAGCAGCTCGTTCCAGAGGCGCAAGAAAGCCGAAGGATGGACCCGGACGAACATCTTCGTTTTCTCTTTTTGATCCGATTTCTTTTTGTCGTTAGAATCACTACCAGCATCGACCATTTCCACATCTTCTGCTGTCCTTCGGGCACATCGGATCAAGGTAACAGGTGCAATTGGCCTATGTTGACCCTCGGATTCAAAAACCCACGCGCGGAGGCTCCTCACACCAGCTCTCCATCTCTTCCCCTTCACCCCCCAAGCGTCTTCCCCGACAATGCCCACATTTCTCAGGACACTCTCCAGAGCTGCCTCCGCGCCCTCGAGCTGAATCGTGGAAATATAGCTCATGTCCCAAGCTACTGCGCCCCTAGAGCCACTCGCCCGATGCGTAGGTCTATAGCTCTTCTCCGTCGGTGACAACGGCACCGCAAACCTCCATAACGGGTCTCTGGACGTAGCCATATGAGCGCGTTTCGCATGAAACATGTGAGTAGGCAGCCAAATCTTCGTACGCTGCCGCTTCTTGTATTTCGACACCGCGGGTGGTGGTCGTGCGAGCTTGTTTTTCTTGATCTTAGGAACTCGTGGGGCGATAGCAAACGGGTGACTGCCTGCCTCCTCCAAAGCCTTCTCGTCATCCTTGTTCTGCTTCGCCTTTAGAGCGGCTCGTTTGGCTTTGCTTTTGGCATTGAGGTTCTGTAGGCGCCTAGCGGTCTCGAGGCGGATTCGCATCGTCTCGGAGGGTTTCCGTCGCCGTGCCGTGACAGTCGGTGTGTTGTCCTCTATCATCTATCCATCATTCAGATATCAGCGAAATAGTCTGGGAAGATAAAATGAGGATGTAACAAGTCCGCGGCAAAGGCGAACGCTGAATGACAAAATCAGGAAACATACCTCTCTCTTCGCCCGAGTTCTCAATCTCCCCGGCACTCTCTTCACATTGTGGCTAGCTGTCCTCCGTCTCAGCGATCGAGGCACTTGCTGAAACGCACGACTGGTGAGAGCGGCTTTCGATCGCTGGATACCGGACTCAAGAGAGCGAATTTCGAACTCGCGAGCTTTAACATAAGCAGCTACATCGAGCTCTCCCGTCACAGAGAGTGCTGCGTCAGAAGACTGCACGGCAAGTGAGCGAGCATCGACGGTCTTCGCGCGTTTGCGGGCAGCGGCGGAGTTTTGACCCGGAAACGCAGTTTTGCGCTTTGTCGGCTGGTTGAGGGCCATAATGGCCGAGGGGCAAAGAATTGGAACTCCTCACTGGCGTGAAAGGTGGCCTGGGGGAAAACAAAAATTTCTTGGTGTCGGATTTGGAGCTTGAGGACGAACATCCGTAGGGGTCTGGATTCCGCGTTGGATGGAACTTTAGCGCGTCATCCCTCCCGGCCGAGAAAAAAGCGCACAAAAGTCGAGAACCAATCGATGTCGAAAAGAACACTCCGACAACGCTTTAACGACGTAGATCTTGTGGAAGCCGGGGTAATTAATATTAAGCTTACTTTGTGGTCTACGGGTCCTTGCCACCTGTTGTTCAATGTTCCATGCTATACGTACTACCTGATCGTCCGTCCCTCTACCCCACCCTTTGTCAAAATATACATTGAATACAGGCCAAGGGGATGTCAAGGATATTCTTTTGTGTTTTTCATAGCTTCGTAAGGCATTGTATTCCTCTATATGCGGAAGGTCTAAATCTAATATGAACTCCTGCTTTCGCAGGACATTACCCCACCGGTGGAACACATGCGTTCTGCTAGAACACATCTATCGTCTCTTATTCATGATTTACAGGTTCTTGATAACAGTGTCGGCGCTAGAGAACTCAAGGTGGTTCTTAGCAGGCTCGAGGGCGGCGTAGCTGACCTTGCCGTGGTCGAGGACGATGGCGAAGCGCTTGGTGCGGCCCTCCTCGTCGGCCCAGCCGATACTCTTGGAGAACTTGGCCTCGGGGTCGGAAAGGAAAAGCTGAGGGACATTGGGTCAGTGGACATTCGGGCTGTGCAGAAAGGGTTGGGGGAGAAAACGTACAATGTCGTCGTTCTTGACTCCGTTGGCCTTACCCCAGGCGCTCATGACGAAAGCATCGTTGTAGGCGAGGACAGCAACAACGTCGACACCCTTCTCGCGGATCTCGGGGAGGCGCTCAATGTACTCGGGGACGTGGCGAGCAGAGCAGACGGGGGTGAAAGCACCGGGGAGGGCGAAGAGGATGACCTTCTTGTTGGCCCACTCCTTGGAGGCGTAGTAGTTGATGGGGATACCGCAGGAGGTGATCTCGCCCTGTTCCTCAGACCAGGGGATGTAGCTGTTAGAGCGAAGACGGTTAGCCTCGAGGTCAATTGCACTGTCGAAAGATAAGAGCAACTTACGAGAAGGTAACGTCAGCGGGGAAGCTGTCACCGGCCTTGAGTCCAGACATTGTGAGTGATGTGGTTGTGTGTTTTGGTAGGTAAAAAAGTAGATTGACAGAAGACAGGAAATCAGGTAGGTAGGATTGACTTTATAGCACGGATAGTGAAGGAAAGCAAAGGAAGAATCGGGAGGGGAGGGAAGGTGGGTATTAAATAGGAACAGTGCCAGAGTTGCCGTTGGAGATCGCTCGTTCCAGAGAAAGGAAGGGAATGGCGCAGTTCCGAGCAGCAGAGACGCCATCCATAGTGAGGTGATCCGAAGTAGAAGGATACCGAACGAATCCTGTCGATGATTCGCCGGTCTGTATTATCAAGAAAGAGGGCCGAGACTGAGGCCCCGCCAATTGCTCAAGTTCCGAGTCCCAGGAGGCCAACACCTTACTAAGTTCCTCCCTCATCCCCCCACCATGGGTGCCTTCTTCGGCGCCGCACCCACGCAATAGTAATACTATGCTATCTAGACCACGACATTGACTAATCTAATTCGAACCGAGTGATATCACCAGGACTCTCTAGCCTGTGATTTCACCTGTTCCAACGTGGCATTTTCGTCTGTTTATTCAGTTCGATAATGCGAAAACGGATTGCGATGTCTCATATTTACTCTCGAGTACAGGGTTCACAGTACACACCGCACTTTCTACTAACCCCTCCCCCGGTGCTTTGAAGTTGAGTGGGACTTCAAGCTGCGTGTGGCATTGGCTCAATGACGCATAAGGCCTGTCTTTGGGCCGTCGATACTACATATCCAAGGTCCTCAGGCCTGAGGATGATCTCTGAATTTGCCCCTCCTTACTGACCTGTGCCTGAGGCGCGTCAGCGGCGAAAGTGATTAGGTTACCTTTTCCAATCCCGACTTTGCCAGAAGTAAAAATAAAAAATAAAAAATCATGTCCCACCGCCTGCCATTTTCTGTCAGAGATTGTGAGGAAGTATTTACCGCCGAGCGCTGCCCCTCCGATAGACGTGCAAAATTCACGTGGTGGCCCCCGACCGAGAGTTGCCTCCGGGACCCAGCTCCGAAGACCTCCCGAGAGATGGTCCTCTTAATAATTGTAGATTCAGGGTTCTGGAACAGGGTGTTATAGATTATTCATAAATGCTCTTTTTATCCTGGCGAGCTCGGCGATAGGTATCCGTGTTTACCTTAGCTAACTGCTCGCCACCGGAAATAAATGTTGTCCCCCACTCTCCGAGCCGCCATCGGGTCTTAGACTCGGTTATTGAAATCTGATAAGATTTGCCCCCCGGGTGATTCGGTAGACGAAGAATACTCGGTCGGTCTTGATTTGCAGTAATTCCAGATATCTCGGGACCTTTATATGGTCATATGGCGAGTATGTCTATGTTGATGTCATTTCCCCTCTTGTGAGAGATAAACCATGCAACTGCAAAACATTCTGTATACAAATACATATACAAAAGCACGGAACAACATTTCCAGGAAAACTACAGATTGGTGGTTTTTTGTAATGATACAGAAACAGTTGTCTATTGATAGAGATATGGTTAAAAAACAATGTTTTGGGTTGAATTGATAAGATGTACTCCAAAGATACTATATAATTTATCGAACCAGACCGTTCGACCATAAAAACACGAGTGACATATAACTAACTGGCCGTCCATCTATATTGCTTTATAAGCCAACATATTTTACCCAACCATTGGTAGACCCCAATTCTTTCTTGGCTGGTGTTGAAGATACCCGGCGGTGCTCCAAGATATATATTTCTGACCAACCATGAACCCCGACTCCTCCTTGGTGTTACTTTAATATAAGATGCATACCGTAAGCCACGGCACGTGATGAGGCTTATATATATCACTGACGTGTTTGACTAACTATTGCACATTGATAAATGAACAATCCGTCCTTGACTTATCTTGATTCAATCACCCCAGTTCCGTGGTAATCATGGCGGACCTCAAGCCTCCTTTTACTGAAGAAACAGCGAGGAAGAAAGTCAAGGTAGCCCAAAACCTCTGGAACACCCAGTAAGAACTTCTCAGGTTTCTCCTATAACTTTAAACGCCTTTACAATCTGCATTGATCAATTTTCTCATTTCTGTTTCCATGCATTTTCTTCTAAGTAGTACTTGTTATCACCGTTTCTGTTAGCGGTTGAACTTTTCTCGTGGCGAGAAATGCCAATCCATCTCCATCCCTTGCATATCACATTCCCACATGTTCAAACCCAGGCTGCATGGCCCCTCACCCCCTTCTTATATGCAGTCTTGCAGTTCATATTTGAACAACCACACGGTCTTTATTGCTCCATCTTCCACAACTCGAATAGTTTATAGCCTCGTGCTTACTCAGGATGCCAGAGATCCCGTACGCGTTGCCCAGGCATACACACCGACCTGCATCTGGCGCAACCGCAGCTCATTCTTCTCCGGAACAGAGGGAATCATCGACTTTCTAACAGCTAAGTGGAACCGCGAAAAGAGTTACAGGTTACGAAAAGAACTTTTCTCGTATACCGATGACCGGATCGCTGTCCAGTTCTGGTACGAGTTTCAGGATGCCAGTGACTCCATGCGGTGGAAGCGATGCTACGGACTTGAAGACTGGACATTCGATAGGGAAACAGGAAAAATGCGTAAGCGGATGATGAGCGGAAATGATATCCTACTTGGACCTGACGGGAATGGTGAAGGACGGTGGTTTGTGGATGGAGTTGATGTTGAGGATGTAGATATTGGGGAGGAGCACTGGTGATTTATTTGCGCCTCGAATGACGAGAGTAAATACTTTGCAGCTATTATTATGAATTCCCAGCAAATTGCAACGGACTAAGCTATGCTTAAGATATTAAAGCTGACAGTATTCTTGGACGGTTGGAATGTTTGATCCGTTGGGTATGTTGATGGAACTTGGATGGGCATCCCTTTCGCCCTTGGGTGAACATATTCGCCCCTGTGCTCTAAACTCAAGCAAAGCAGCACGGTCTGGAGAAGGTGGTTTGAGTATCGCCACAACGAAGACACGAACTCGTAATGAGAGCTTATCGGATATTTTCTGTTGCTGCATCTGGGATTATTGGTATGCCATATTCGGGTGTTGTGAACGAGGTATGATTTCAGGACGTGTTGATCATACTGATTGAACAAAATCAATTCAGATTAAAACATCCCTTCATTTTGAAGGACATCTCTGTTATTAAATGGAATACAATATCCGAAAGACCGCCAGGGCAACACTAGTCGCAATCACACCAAGTCGTGGTCCCTCTTGAACCGATAAAGGTTGGAAATATCGCTGCAACACTATCGTCATATTTCCTTCGATAACTGTCTAAAAAAGTCGTCATCATAGATGCTGTAGGAATTGATGTTCATAGTTGAGTAAAAAAACACATTCTTCAGTGTGATGCCATTTGGTGACGGGGGAACAAGAAGAATCCTGCTCAAAACAAACACCTCAATCTGAACACTGGTCCATTCCACAAAATCTGGCCTCTCTGTGGCATGCCTAACTTCTCCAGCTTCCTGGTTTTGCACTTGGCGGATCTTGGGCATGTGTTTTGGTAGCATTTTTGCAGGAAATTGCTTGACATTTTGGAAGGGTTCCCTGAGCCTATGCCGGACTGGTATCATTCCCAACACCGTTCCGCGACGACTGAGAGCCTTCTTCCGCCATCTCTGGCCTCGAAGGACTTTCAGTCTCTCTAAACGGTTCTCACCTGCTCGACGCCTTTGCGACTACTAACCACTAACGAGCAGGGACGATTCGACGGCAATTTGAGGGCACTAACTGATCAATCAGTTATCGGGTATCTATCTCTACAACAGTACACGTCCCTCTATGTTCTGGCACCTACAATAATTCATATTCTGTGGTAAGCCCCCGCAGTTGAAGCCCATAGCGCCCATATGGTGTCTAGCCTAGTTATAACTGACATGATTAATAGTACACCACGATTGATCCATATGTGCCTTTGCGATAGGAGATCCGCGTCGTGTTAGGGTATTTCCAGGCAATGGAGGAGTCGTCTCCTAATTTCTACTCCAGAGCAGTGCGATCACCCTTAACCGATGCCAGCAGCAGAGTTAACAACTGCCAAACACCAATTGCAGAACGAGCATCGATGAGGGAGGAATACATGCTGACTTCACCGGAACCAATGTCCATCGTGACTAGCCCCTTGTCGCCCCAGAGCAATGCGGATAAGACTTGTCTCTCGCCAGTAGTCGACTCCAGGGCGGGTTCTAAACGAAACTCCACAATATCGGCTACCTCCATTATTTCGGGAAAGGGAAAGAGGAAGACTCATGTTGGACCATGGCAACTGGGAAGGACACTTGGGAGCGGGGCGACTGGCCGGGTGAGACTCGCGAAACATGCAGTCACAGGCCAAACAGCGGCAATCAAGATCGTATCTAAGAAATGTGCTGCCATATCGCAGAGCGACAGCATTGCTGCGATGGATAGAAGCGCGGGGAATTTCGTTGGAGGTGGAGGAAGGCAGATGCCATCTGGCATTGAACGTGAAGTGGTAATCATGAAGCTCATTGAGCATCCTAACGTCATAAGTTTATATGACGTGTGGGAAAATCGTGGGGAATTGTGGGTAAAGCCGAGTGTTTTAAATCTCTATAGAGCTGACAGTGATTAGGTACCTTGTTCTGGAATACGTTGAAGGGGGCGAGCTCTTCGACTACGTTTCCAATCATGGCCCACTGCCAGAAGAAGAAGCAGTTCGACTGTTCCGACAGATAATAGCGGGCCTTGGGTATTGCCATCGCTTCAGCATCTGCCATCGAGACCTGAAACCGGAGAATATCCTGTTGGACGGAGAACATAATGTCAAGCTCGCTGACTTTGGAATGGCTGCCCTTCAGCCCGAAGGGCACTGGCTCAATACCTCCTGCGGAAGTCCACATTATGCGGCGCCGGAGATTATTTATGGCCGCAAGTACAGGGGCGCCAGTGCTGATATTTGGAGTTGTGGAATTATCCTTTACGCGCTCTTAACTGGCTTCCTCCCATTTGATGGAGGTGATCTTCACACTACCTTGCAACTTGTCCGACGGGGGGACTACATGATCCCGCCGAATATCAGTGACGAGGCAGCAGACCTTATCCAGCGTATCCTACAAAAAAAGCCAGATGACCGCATCAGCATGAGGGATATTTGGCGGCATCCGTTGCTGAAAAAGTACGAAAAGTTTCACCAGGCTATAAGCAATCATCACCTAGGTCCCGCACCTCCTCTGACGGCCCAGGATTGCGGCCCGCCAGTTGTAAGACAAGACATTGATGTGGATCTGCTGAGGAATCTGCAAACTCTGTGGCATGATGTCAAACCAGAGAAGCTCATCGAGAGACTACTAAGCCTTGAGTAAGGGTCTACTCCACATTATGTCAAGTGTACAATCCAGTCTAACACACGATCTATAGGGTAACGCAGGAACGGATGTTCTATTATGCTTTGGTTAAGTTTAGGAACGAACAATTGGAAAACTACCAAGGCCAGCCTCTAAAGTATTCAGCAAGTGATTATCACCACATTTCACGAGGACAGGCCCGGCTTTCGAAGCACCTGCGAAGCCGCTCGCAAAGTGGATCACGAAGGCGAGCGCAAACCCCAGCTGCCAAAGAAACTGGCAAACGCAAGCCCTCCCTAAAAGAACCAAAATCACCATGTACAGTTGAGAGTTACGACCCTTTCCGATCACCTTTCCAGCGTGTGCCAGATAAGTCACCGCAGTACGCACGTGTCACCATTCACCGAGATGCGCCTGAGACGAGCCCTAAACCTGTCCAAGTTGAAAATGACCCCTCAAACCCATTCCTCGACGTTGACTACGACGAAGTCGAAAGCCAACAAAGCCCCCCATTCAAGATAGTGCGGAAAAAGAGGCCAAGAGTCAGTTCAGTCAAGTCATTTCAATCAAAGACCTCGCTTGCTTCACGTCGAGTGCCGAATTCCGTATCCAACCCCCGGTCAGCCAGTTACAAGCGAAATGTCTGCTTCCGCCACAATAGGAACCGTTCGCAAAGTTCTGTATCCGTTAGGGCGAAGATGCCTCACCCCAGACGACAAGCAAGCGAAGGAAGTCTCCTATCATCGCTTGGAGATGATCCGTTCTCAGACCCACAAGGTAGCCCTATGTTGCCGGCTCAGCCAACAATGGTCCGCGGTGCTGGCGTTGGCGTCAAACACAATGTACAACGGAAGGTACACAATTCTGACTTCATCTGGAGAGACGATGCGCGGAAAGTCTCACACGAACTCAGTCAGATATGCGAAGAGGCTTTCAATGGGAGTTCGTTGTCCACTGAATGTACCGATACCACTTGCGCAGGGTCAGAAACTCCTGCTACCTCGGTATCAATGGCTAGTGCAGGGGCATCGGATCACCAGATGGATGATGGAAGCTCAACTATCTGTATCACAGAAAAGACACCAGTGCCATCGCCGAAGGCTTCCCAAGCCAGCAAGGAGTTAGAAGAAACCCGCCGCAAGCTCATCGAGCATTCAACTAAGGATGGCTCCAAAGACCTCCCGGGGTATATTACGACAGTCATCAACCATCTTGATCGGCTGATAGAACAAGAAAAACTGCGGCACCATGGAAAGAATTGCCGAGAAAAGGACTCCGGCGGTTCAACGAGTGACCTACACTCTGGATCCTCACTCGAGACCGCCAGACTCTCAATTGTGTCCGAACAGCTGAACACGATACCCGTGAGGTCAGACAGCCTGAATGCTGGGAAGGATGGTAGACAAGCCTCTGGATCCACTGCTGCAGGCAGTCGAAGAAGTGACATTAGCCGCGGAAAACGCTCAATTCGAATGGTGCCTCATAGCTCCGTTCAGTCCATGGGCAAAGCCGATCCTCTGACAGTCGGCAAGACCCGCACACACTCGGAGCAGAGTGATGTGGGATTTGACACTGTCATTCGAGCAACATCTACTCATAGGCATTCTCGCATCCCTTGCGATCTGGACCCAATTGACGAACATCCAGCGTCCCCCAGACGCAGTGCTGTACGAACCTCCGACCACAAGAAGTGGTCTTGGTTTAGGAAATCCCAGAACATTGAAGACGATATCGCGAGAAAATCACCTAGGGTTGTTAAGCCTCTACATCCAAGCTCAGCAACAGTGATTGTCCATGAAGTCCGTCCTACAGCCGAAACCACAACAGCGCCGGAAAGCCCACCAAAGCTCCGAAAACCATCATCGGACACACCAAAGAGCTCTTTTTGGAAGTTCATGAAAAGGAAGACAAACAAGAATCCTTGTACGTCAATACTAACTAACCTCATCTATTGACCTTCACTAACTGAATCCTCACGCTCAGACCCCGGACCAACAACCCCATACCCCCCGTTCCTTGATGCCCGTCTTGATAATGAACAGCAACACCTACCACAATTAGAGCCGGAACCACAGCAAACAACGCAACAACCAGGGGCCAAGAAATTCAAGTCTCGCCGAAGTCGGCGCTCCGGTGGGCGAAGCAACAACTGGTTTGCCCGTGTATTCCAATTCAAACCCGCTACGCGGGTCGTACCTCTTAATACAACCAAGATCAAAGGCCGCAAGGAGATCTACAAAATTCTCCGCGAATGGAAGCAGTATGGTATCGAGGACATCTACCTAGATAAAGCTCACAGCATTATCTACGGCCGAGTTGGCGAATCAAACTGTACGTATCTACTACGGCTTCTCCTCTCCCTTCTCATCCCTTGAAAGAACAAGACCAACCCTCAAACCTATTTCACGACAAGAGAGAAAACAAAATCAAAGAAGCTCACTAACAGCCACTCCAAACAGTCCTCCACCTCCGCCCCGTTGAATTCTCTGCAGACTTTTATACAGTCATCGAAGACGGCCGACAAGAAAACCTCGGCCTTGTCCGGTTCCGACAAGAGCGCGGCGCCGCGTCTTCATTCAACAAAGTCGTCGACACACTCTCCATGGTCATGAAACAGCGCAGCCTGGTAGTCGAGGACCCGGTCCGCGCAAAGAAAATGGTGCAGGTTCTCGATCCGTATCCCAATGCGTGATTGCATTCAATACCGAAATCATCCACCTACTCAATCACTTATGCCCTTCTCATTCGTTCAATTGGCTTGGGCTGTATCATCTCATATTACATAGCAATACTTTTTTTTGATTGAAGTAGTTAACTAGCTAGCTTTATTGGTTGGTCTTTTGATTATTGATATATTTGTCTATCTATTTCCCTTCCTCTCCTTTGCCTGGCTTGCGTTGGCTTGATTTGAATCCGGTGATACGACGTCCGTTTCCCCTCAACCGACATGCATACATACTACATACAGCAAGTGATTTTCTCATCAACCCCACCAACCCCGGGGATCCGAAGTAGCCGGCGCCGTCCTGAGGGCCCGCTGCTGACGCAGTTGACACAGCCACAGTAGTAGTCCCCATACTACGTACTGGAAACTAGCTAGCCGTGGGCTAGGTAGTCGATTCTGACGCTCGTTTCATACATTTCCTTTCCATTTCATTTGTGTTTCTCGGAAAGACGGGTTAGGTTACTTCTTCATGTATGTGCGAGCGGTACTTTAGTGTTTAGTGGTTCATCTAATGTAATGACACCCTGCCAAGTTTCCCTTCTTATGAAGAGAGAAAAGGAAGAAGTATGTGATCTTATATGTAAGGGATCTAAGGCCTAGAATACTCAGCAATGTACATGCAGGATAGGGATATGCTAGATAGTGCAAAAAATAGATAGTGATCATGGTTTGCAATGATAAATAGTTAAAATATGATCAGACAGCCTCCCAAGGTAAAATAAAAGAGATATTGATATAGAAGACAGATTAGAACGGGCAGTAAACAACAGAGAGAGCCTCCCTTTTTCGCAAAATGACGACGTAGTTAGCCACCCAAATGAACGGTTGAAATGCAACAATACAAAACCGTAGGCGAAAGGCCTAACGCAAAGACAGATGGCCACCCGAAATATACTGCAAGTGTAACAGAATGAACAAAGCGTATTGGATCGACAAATGCCACGCAAATCACAGAAATCCTTCCAGATCAAATCGACGGCTAAAAAGCAGAATTCCGCACCGGTCTTCGCTTCGTGATAACAGACGCAAAATACCGCCTTCTTGATGCAAGTCTTCCTCCCAGCTCCAGAGTAGCGTCAATCCCAAGAAGATCCATAGCCTGGAGTGATGCCCATAGATAGCTGGTTGTGGACGACAGGAGAAAATTTCCATTAACAGGTTGCCCCGAAATAGTTTATAGTCGTAAATCTTGTCTTCCAACACCCACGTAGTATCCGCGTGGGCGATTTTGTTTTTTTCTTTTGTTTTCTTTTTTTTTTATTGGTATTCTTGGTATTTGATGTGAGACGAGAGACCGCCTTAGCGTCCGCAGACAAGCCGCGAAACCAGGATAAGAGCCAAGCGGCGTATCCAAGCGGCGATTCCGCATGTTGTCGCGTATTCGCAAGAGTCGAACCAAGTTGGTGAATTAGCGTATTTCGCCCTCATGTCAACACCATAATTGTAGATTGTGCCAGCACAATTCGTTCTGATACCGCAGCTGCTTCACATCAGCCTTAGACGATACGAAACGAAATATGTTTCCGTTCGATCCCGCCAAAAAGAAATAGATCCACGGGGCGAAGCAACACTATGTTATGAAGCTTTGCTGTGATAGGTCTTTTTGGCCAATTGTTTCAAGTTTTCTTTTCCTTTCTTTTTTGTTCTTCTTTGTTTCCCGATCTCCGGTTTCCGATCTCTCTCTACATCCAAGTCTCCGATTGGAATGTCGAAATGGGCCTCCGGCAGAGGAGCGAAGAAGAAGAAGCGTGTGACCTGCACACGAGCGAGCCGCGCCGAGCCCCACCGTCTTGATACAACCTTTCTGCCGTTGCAAATCTTCACCCCATCACCCCCTCCAAGGGCCGTGTTTAATCAACACTATTCAGCTGCCTACTGGCCTAGTCCCCGGCGGTCCAACGCATTGAGCATATCGCTATCGGTACTAGAGCGGCCCGGGTTTTCGCCGGGGTTGAGCATATCTCGCACATTTAGTCCATTCCGTGGGGCAGACCCCGGAGTTGAAGTTGGCGGAGGCGTGATAGCGCTCTGGGGATGCATTGCAGGATAAGGCGATCCGTGAGGGGAAGAAGAATGGCGGTTATCGTACGCATAAGCGGCCTGAGGCGAAGGACGACGGTCATGCGGAGGTGGGGGATAGTACGGAGCGGCACGTGGCTGGTACGGAGCTCCGCTGACTGGTGTCACAGGGGCTAGGTTGGTGGGATCGGGATAATCAAACCCGGAGCCGGAGCCTCGGCGAGGTCTCTGTTTGAGGGAGAAATAGAGTTTAGCTTCTCATAGAAAGCAGATGTAAGGTATGAGATGAGTCATTGGAAACCTACATGATCTTGCTGCACAGATGTAAGGGGTGGAGGTGCACCAGCATATGGAGGGTACATTCCCTGAGGTGGCGGGAGCGTCGTCTCTGAACTGGCTTGGGGTTGCTGTTGAGGAGGCAGGGGTTGGCCGTGCGCACCGTAGAGCACAACCGGCTCTCCCCCAGGGCGCCCTCCGTTCTGACCATTTCTCATGTGTGGGTAGGCGGCGTGAGCAGGGACAAAGGCCTGGGTCTGGGATGAGACTGGAGTAAACATGCATGGCTGGTTAAAGCGAATGCAATTGCTGCAACGGCCATCTGGATTGCTGTCAAAGCCCGAGCATCGGATCTACCGTTATCGAACCGTTAGCCACTACATAACATGCAATTGTTTTGAGTAGGCCATACCTTCCGTCGCCGACAGTAGCGACATGCGATGGCAGTCCTCTGGCGCGGAGCAGCCTGGTAAACGACCGCACCGGGTGCAGATGGAGGAGCCGGAGGCGGAGGCTGTTGGCCACCATATATTTCTGGACGGTAGGCACCTGGAGGAGGGGGTAGTCGGTAGGGGTCTGGCTGGGCGTGGAGTGGGTGAACGGCAGCCATATTGGGTTGAGGAGGGTATTGCGACTGAGGAGGATATTGCGCCGGCGGAGGGGGATACTGGTGGTCCGCAGACGGAGGAGGAGGGTAGGAAGCTGGAGGATACTGGAGGAAGGAAGTCATTAGATTAGTATTGGTCGGGCGCAAAGAGTCAGACTTGAGGGGATCGGAGGATTTGCAGGGGGAGACGTGTGGTTATAGTTATATAGAGCGACAGCGGCAAAGAAGGAGCCAAACATACAGGAGGATATTGAGAGGCCGGTGGGTAGTGAGGGCTCTCGTCGGGCTGACTGGCGTTCCACTGAGGCGGTGGATACTGTCCCTGTCGACTAGGGCCGCTGTAGTCGTGGGGATTGGACATTGGAGACGAGGGAGGCGAGAGGCTGCCTGAGAAACGGGAGAGACGGACTGGGGATTAAAAGGAAGGGAGATGCAGGATGATGTATGAGCGTCGGGACTCCCGTCGTTGGCGTCGTTGGGCTCAAAGCACAGAGCACGGTGTTGGGGGGAGTGTCAGAATCAAGTCGTAACGAAAGCGTTTGCTGCGTATGTAACGGTATGTACGTATGTAACGCTGTAAGGCGCCGTAAGCCGTATGGCGGAAGGTGGACGGAGACGGTGAATCGCCCGCTGGAAGAGCGAATGGAGGTGAGTGAGATGAATAATAACACAGGAGCTAATAAGAGGCGAGGATGCGCAGTTCAAGTTCAGAAAAGAGGCCAAATCACAGTGCTTGTCCGTCGGGTGATGTGCAGGGCTAGCATAGCCTCGTGGTCACCTGAAGCCCAACGGGGAAACAGACGCGAAGAGAAAATGCAGCGAGAGAAAAATGGGAAAGGGCTGAAGAATGGCTTAAACCCAAGAGGGAGGATGAGGCTAGAGGATGGAAGGGAAAAGAACAGGGACAGTGACAGGGGTGCGAAGAGGCGGTGGAGGAGATGGGTGATATAAAGGGAGGAAAAGGGAGAGCCCAGAAATGCAGAAAAGAACAAAAAAAGGGAAAAAAAGGGAAAAAAAAAGGGAAAAGAGCCTCGGGCTTCTGCTTATAATGTTGACAGTTTATAAGTGCGAGAGAAGTGTGATAGAGCAAGCGGATGGCAAGATTAAAATAGAGGAGGGATACAAAAAGGAAATGAAAAAAAAAGAATTTAAAAAATAAGAAAAAAAAAAAAGAATAAATCAGAAAAAATAAAAATGAACTCGACTCACCAGTGGAGAGGCAGTCAGCAAGCAAGAAGGAATAAGGGCGTCCACTACACCAGCCGGTCTGGCAGTAGTGCGAAGCAAAAGTGTCAGGATACGTCCAAGCACAGTGCGTTTGTTGAAACTACTCCCGAATTGCTGCAGCAGTGCAGACAAACGACGACGACTCAAGGGGCCCGTGGTACGTGAGAGAGCGGAATCTCGTTTGCGTGGGAAAAGAGCGAAATCGTGAGAGAAGTGAAAGTATCCAATGGCAGAGGTCCAGAGTATTTTGCTAATCGACTAACTACAAGAAATTTCTTTTGTCCAAGTCCAACTCTTCGACCAGCTGGTAATGGCTCCATCTCAGAGTCTGGGTCGCCGCTCGCCGGTCCGTTCGGGAGGCAAGGAAGGCGGGAAGACTCGCAGATGGGGAAGGACGAGGAAATGGGATGCGTCCTGCAATTGATTGTCTGGGTCGATGGGTCTTTGGCCCTGCGCTGGATACGAATGATCATAATATGGGCGAGGGCGAGTGCCTCGACATGACGGCTCAAGGCTTGAAGAGTCGAACCGTGCTCTCGCTAGTGAATGATTCACCGCAACGGGAGCAACCTTCAGAGGATCTCAAGGCAGTGGAGTGACGAGGGAATCGAAATTCAACCGATCAAACAAGCGGTCATGAAGGCCAGAGGCTGAAGCAGAAAACCTGAGGTGTCCCCAGCGGGTGGGACCGCGGTACCCAACGCCAAACGACCCATAGACATGGATGAGGACTCCCAAGCCGACGCTAACGCAGCGATGGCTCCGTAGAACCCAGACGGATTTAGAGATCAGCTGAAGCCTGAAGCCTGAATGACGGTCTGTTCGAAAGGGACGCCGGGACGGGTAAAGGCGCCGTGACGGAACTCCCCACTGCTCCAAGCTATTTCAGTGCTCTTTGACCTCTGTTTCTTACACAATACCGACTGCGTATTAGTACCTTGTGTCCAGTCTCCGAGAAGCTGCCGGGTGGTTATTGCTGGCCCGCCCAGACATCCTGGGCACTTAGGCAGTCTGCAGGGGCCTCGAGGACCTCGTTCATTGCTCACTGGTGTTAATTGTTAATAATGGTGCTATACCCACCCGTTCTCTTCACGCTGAGCGGGAGGCTCCACCCGCATCATGATAGCCGGATTCCCGCCCGGTGATTGGTGCAGCCGCAGGCTCTTCGAGTCTCAGCCGTTAGGTCGCCTCTGCGCCGCTGCGGCCCCTCTGCCTGCCCTGTCCTGCTTGCACTCCCTCCTGCACCAAAGCATCATCCTGCTGGCCTAAGCTGACTTTCTGATTTGGGGTTTGAGCCTAGATCTTGGATTCTCCCAGTGCTGCAGACAACAACCACCACCACCACCACCACCATCCGAGTCGCGCCCTCCTGCAGCATTATTGCTGGTACCGTACCACCGCCTCTGGACGCCTGGTTCGCGCTAGGAGACACCGTCTTCGCAAGCTCCCATCGAGTTCCTTTCCAGTGGGATTTGCGAACCATGGTTGACTTTACTAGTGTTCCGGATTTCGGTTCACCGCAATAACCGCGTGTTTTGTCCCCTTTTCGTCTGACGCTTTGCAGCCCACTAATTCTGCCTACAAAAACCCAGCGGAGACATGAGCTGTCATCAAGATTATCGCCTAGCCTGCGGTACCGCCGGAGTTCCGGCCAAGTGGTCCTCGCCCGATATGTGTGCGAGGAGTCCGACTCTCCAGGCACACTCAAGGAGACTGGGGATAGCGACCTCTGGCGCTGAATTTCCGGATGTATGCAAGGTATTCAAGGGACAAGCACCCCGTCCTCGACCGAAGCCCGCGCATACCTACATCAACTCCTTACAGAAAGTTAAAACGAGCCCTCTCTATTATCATCATTGCTCTCGAACTTGAGACCGTAATCTCCGCTGCATGTTTGGAACGGCGACTGCAAATGCAAGGACGCTTGCAAGGGAGATTCGCTTGAATAAGAAAGATACCAGCATGACTTTCCCGGAACTTGGAGGATCCTGTGCATATTCACCTTGCTTACCAAACCGGATGCATTGCAGGGTTGCAGTTCATGCTGTGGCATTTTCTCGCTCGGTCTCCTGCCAGCATGCAATATATGCGCTTGCTCACGGCTCTTCGCATAGACAGCGGAAGAATACGATCCCTGGCGGCCGCTGGCATGTGCAAAACTTGAATGCAATTCGAGTCTAAGTAAGACGACCATGCGCTCGCTCTACATCGGCCGTCGATTCCCTGTTTTTGATGCCTTTTTTACGCATACACGGCCTTAAACGCGATGCAAGGAAATCAATTATCATGATTGCCTATCGAAATGCAGCTGCGCCCTCTTGTGACCTCGCGTCCCTCCGTCCTCCGTGGCTTGAAATTGAGAACATCCCCAAACGTGGTAGTTCACTGTTTGACCATTGGCACGGACCGGCTGGACCCAGGAGAAAGGACCGCTCCGAACCAGAATCAAAATCGGTAATTTATTGGGACACGGATACAAACTGAACCATGGTATAAGCCACGCACTGGGCCGCCGCACCAAATATTAGAATTGCAATCCCAACGGACCCATGGGTCTGCTTCGGAGCACGCTGGGGCCCAATGACGGTATGGAATATGTGAACTGAAGTACGTAACGGCCTGGCCCGCAGCGAGGCGTACGAATCCTATGGCGATGACCAGTAAACTTGCGACTTGGTTATAGGATCGAGGGCATCAGGGCTAGGGCTCCTTCAGCAGTTCGTTCCATGGATTCAAATGATACGGAGAGGCGAGGGCCGACAAGAATACCGGAACTGGAAGGTCCAAATCCGTCGAGCCTCCCGGTGGCAATTAAGATGATGCGTGTACTTCCCCTTTCTCGTCTTGCGCCTCAACGACCCCAGTACCCGGTTTCACAGTAGATCAACGAGGTTATGTCTGCCTCGGCACTCCGCTTTAAACAGTGTCGTCGCACAAGGGCTGGTGAAAAGTTGGATTACAGGCTCCCATTGGCCCCCGAGATATACAATAGTAGCCAATAGGGGATTCAGTTCAGATGAGGATGGACGGAGGTTGTTCAATCAGAGTGGAAGGGCGGCCATCTTTTGATCGTGGAGGGGCAGGAGGGGCGGAGGGGCAGAGGGGTCTGGTGTTAGTGGCGGGGGCTCCCTCCCAGTGCTACAGTCCTGGGACCGGGGTGAGCGACTGAGCGTTGCAAACTCTCCAACCGACGGAGCTGCCGCGGGCTTCACAAAATAAGTTGCATTAGCGCGACTCGGCCGGTTCGAATTTTCTGCCGGCCTCGCAGTTTCCAATTCCAGCTGAAGGAGGAGTATCGTGTGGCCTGCCAATCAGACTGCTGAACCGCAACTGTGATCAAGACAAACCCGGTTGCGGGGACGTCTGCTGACATGCATTCCCATCCATCATCATCGCGTGTCCCATTGCCTTGCAATAATAATACCAAGTCAATAACGATGATCTTGACTGTGCCTGCTCACGATCCTTGCTGCTGTCGTAATATTCCCACCTCACTGCCTTCGTGAGGCCCGTCTGGCTTTGGGGCAGGGGCGGCAGCCCCTGTGAAGTCATCGATCCTGTCATTTGGAAACTTTCGGGCATCCCACCAAAGCCATCCTCCATTTGGCAGACTTTCTCACAATGAAAGCATCATAATATTACCCCTGCTCACGGGCGAGGTATCGGCCTCCGTCCAGCATGACCCCTGCTCCGAGACTTGGATCGTGTGACCTGGACACTTTCCCCAGAACGACAGGTTTGGTTGAAAGGAGTACGTGTCGGGCACGGTGCTAGTGCCCACTCTACTTTGTGGGGGGTCGCACATTGATGATGCGACCGACAAGGATGGCTCTTTTTGCGCGCCCGGAAACAAGAGTTCAACGCGCTCCTGGAAATGCAGGTGCCTGTGCCAGCCTGTCAGGGCGTTGGGCAACCACACCGCGATTCGATCATCCCCCGCTAGTAAAATTAATTGTCGCCTTTCCCATGCCACAACGGCCCGCACCGTCTCCCGCCAATCTAATGCACGAAGTGTATCCGTCGTTATGACCTGCTGGGCAACACCGGTTCAATCCCATCCATGGCTAGGCAACCAGACAACCACCGGACAAGAATGCTCATCTAATTCACCGCTCTTCATTGGTTTCACCGGCCGAGCCATCCCTAGTAAACCATCTTCCGCCTACGAGGCCCCTTGCTCTAGCCCTCTCTCGACTTCCTTGCCGGAAGCAAGGTGCTTTAGTTCGAGATGTCCTTTTGTCCATGCCGGAGGAACTGCAGAGGCGGTTTCGCCTGCTTGAGTTTGGGAAAACCAGCTTGCAGCATTGCATGTGGGCAAACTTCGGTGTGCGACGGCCTCGTACATATTGAAAAGACGCTGCCAATAAGCCCGGTCAACTCCAGATAACAAGTTCCACAGAAGTCGACTCTCGCACTAGCCTCACTCCATCACATTATAAATTTATAATTATTTCCTAGCCGTTGCCCACGTTTCCAAGACGCTTCTTTTTCGCACCTTATTTTGTGATCATCATAGCAGTGCTACTCGGACGCCTTTCCATACCGTACCAGACGGCACTGAAACGGTCCAGAAATACGGTATTACGCGCCCGGTAAGATACACGCCTGGTGTCGCAACTCGCCCTTTTTGATTATTTTTCATCCTTTTGCCACGTTTTTCGATCCCAATCGGCTCGGTGCATTGCCGTCCGCGTCTTTCCGCTGCGGCCCAGAACCCACAGGCCACAATCACCTGCGTTGCTGGGCTTTGCCTTTTCCTCAGCTCAGCTCGTCCCGGTCCTTCGTCTCCAGAACTCCCCACTAGGACCCCACCTCTACAACCAAACGTTCTTCACCGCCAGCCACCTGCGGTGGCGGCCGCTCCAAGGACGTCAGCAGCCTTACTGTTTGTATTTTTTCAAGGCCCTCTTTATCCTCTAGACTGATCTTCCATT